TAACGTCGCGCGAGGCCCGTGCCAAATTTATCGCGAGGCCCCCTAACCTCCCCCTTTCTTCTTTTTATGAAAGCCATTGAATTTAAAGACATACAAAAGTGTTAAATAATTTTTTTCAATATTTCAATTTATTTGCATCAATTATAAACGAGATAATGGCCTGCCTGCAGTTGGTGGGTATAAACAGGATCATAATATAACAGCTCAACGCAACTAGAGATTATATGAACACGCTGAGTATTGCATATTTTCCCGGGGCCGTGCTAGGGCGAACTGCCAAGCCAGGGAGCCTAAATGCGCGAGGTCCCTAAATTCGCGAGGCACCTAAAATGTGTGTGTCCCAATAGAAAATGGCCGTGTTCTCGTAAAAATGGGCGTAGCACAGTAAAGCGCGAGGCCCGCGGCATTTGCCGTATTTGACACGTGGTTAATCCGGCGTTAAACGAGCAACAAGCTTTCATTTTCTTTAAACGCGACGTGTGGGGAGACAATAATAATTTGTAGTGTCGCACTGGGCCAACATATCTCAATGCTGTATTTTGGGTACTAGTACTTGTGAAATATAATAAGATCAATAGACATTAATGTATCAAAATAAAGTAATTTTACTGATTATTTTAATTGTGCATCAAAGTAAACACACATTATTCTAAACTACAGTATTTGCTATATGCCTATAATTTGAGTTTGAGGTGGTAGAATATATAATAAAATAACAAATCCTTGTATGGATAAATGTTCATTTCACACGCACGCTATTAACAGCTGCTTAATAATTAATTAACTTATGTATTCGTAAACATTTATACTCGATAGTCGATATGTAAATACTATTAAAATGGTACATTATATGGATCAATGCAAACTGGAACAAAACAACAATTGTCAATTGAAGTTCTAATTTTGGGAAATTTAGTAACAAATATAAAATCCCTAAAGAGCTCATCGATTTGTATGTTTGCGCTATTAATAAAAGTAGACAATATTGAACAATGATCTGAAGTTGTCATGCAACCGACAACAATATTATATTTCAAAATACCTGTATATGATGATATTTTACAAATATCTCGGAATTTTTGGACCAATTTTAAACTAAGCAAGGCAAAAAGTCTCCATTCAAGAATATATCTTCTTCTCAAAAGGTAAAATACTTAAAATACTTGATTAAATTGTTTACCTCGACGGTATGTAAATTAACAGCGTTTGACTTGCAAGACGTCAAAAACGGACGATTTCAACGCGCTGTCGTTTATCGCGTATTCATTTGCCAAAAGAAGTATTTACGTCAATTGAAAGCTTGTTTATTAAAGAGCCAACTAGTAGAAGCATGATCGATTTGGAGCTTTATCGCATGGTGAAAATCGGTTTTGTTAAGAGGGTATCGTAAATGAAGTAAGATAGTGTGCCCCAAAACTACGATTATATCTATTCCTAAAAGTAATTCAGATTTCCTGTAAGTCATGTATACCGTCCTTTGAATAACCGAAAACAAGATTTTTAGGGTTTTAGATCGATTAGAAACGGCTGTCGTCGTGAAATTTATCTGTAAAATCAGCGCATATTTTCCCAGAAAAAATGGCGATTTAGGGTGGTCGTGTTAAAACGGCATTTTCTCAAAGTTAAAAAAGCATTTGACCTAAAAAAATATATGGTGCATTTTCCGATATAATAAGGTATATCTGGGCAAAATTTGAGCAAACTCGATTTTTCAGTCGTGGCCGCGAAATGTCTCATATGTTCGATTTTTACTGACATTCACTCTTAAGGTTTCCCTCTGTGGAATTCCTCTGTAACCGATTTCATCCAGTATGTCTAAGATGGCATCACTAGTGAGGAGTTGTTTCACTTGTTCATTGGTTGATGCTGTGGATAACTAAATTTAGGTAAGCAATATTCATTTATGTGTGCATTTATGATTTGCTACATCTACAAGAAATATTTATTTTTTTAATTTCACACATTTCTAATTAAAATTCATGTTTTTCTTAGTGCAAATTCTGTTATCACAATTCAGTTTATGAGTGGAAAATGTTCACAGTCTAATGTATCCCTCATGACGCGATTTTGGACTGCATTAGCAGTAATAATCCATGTCATGTGGATAAGAAGAAGAGTAAAAAGCAGACCTCTCAACTCTCACGCATTCGGCGTGAGTCTCACGCAATTCGCTTCACTCTCACGCTCTCACGCCACGATTAGTTAATCTCACGCATATAGCAGTTTCATAGTATTTTTTTCAATAATATAATATTGTATTCTTAATAAATGCACATTATTAATCATTATAAGGATTACGAATCAAATATATAATCGCGTGTTATTGTTCCTGCATATATGGTCCGACATTTTGGCTTTTGCCCGCAATTTGCATGGATACAAAATAGTACGCATATGTAAATACGGCAGACAAAAGGCAGAATCAGTCGGAGCAGAATTCTATATGTAAATTATCACGCAAATTAAAGCTCATTACTGTATGTCACAGAAATACAGTTATAGTGCCTTGTCTCAAGGACGTTATGAAGCAATGACGTATTTCATTAAAAAACACCAACTCTCATAATGTACGAAATGCCATTTCAGACCCCCGGCCCCGGACTTTTACAAAGGTGTCATCCACATCCCCAATCTCACTCTTAACTTCTCTGCAAAGTTGAGAGGTCTGAAAAAGGAAACAAATAAAAACCTCTGTTACATATTGTACAGTCAATACATTTGTTTTGATTGGCTATTAAATAAGTAAGACTGATCTAAACATAACACCAGACAATTTTAATCGTAAAGGGGAGAGCACTGGCACTTAATGGGTTAAACTGCTTGTTGGAAACGAAGACTTTGAGATCACAAAAATAATTAAATATAAAGATTAATGACGAAACATTCTATATGTGACTTTGTCTATTTTAATGTTTAAAACAATTATAGAATTCCTTTTTATGATACCCAATATTATCTTGAAAGGTGTCAGTACTGTAGGTGTGTTATCAACTTCCTTTTTGGCTTGGTAGTTCGCACTTATCTTGACCTTTTATAATTTGAACTGCATATCACAGAAACCTACTCCAACAATTATTTAATAAAACTTTGTTTGTCAAAGCAGTAAGTAACCCACTTATAACTGGTCAATGAAGCATTGATTTTTGGCACTATGTCAATTTTCAAAAACTAATTAGGCCTGTGCAGAAATATGTTTGCATACCATGAACAAATGATGTTGGCTGGATAGTCAGCATTGTAAAATTGTGCCCATTGTAAAATTACATTTGCCATTTTGGCCAGGAACAAAGTAAAAGTCATTTAATTAAACTCAGTGAAATTGATGGTTATAAAGCCTCTAACACAAATTTAATGAACCATACTTACACTTTCACAAGCTGATTTGTTCTTCTAATTTTTATTTCCATCTGTTGAAAGCGGCATATTAACAATTTGTGCAAGTATTTGGTGGAGATAAAAAGTGATGTGCAGGACCACCTTGCATAACAGACATCCCCATTATTTCTCCACACAATTTGAATTCTCCACTATTTATAGCCATAGTTGACAGCACAGGATACCCATTGGTGAAGTATGTATGTTGCATGACTGTCAACAATTCTGTTGAGAGAAATCAGTAAATTGCATGTTGTACAGTGTACATATGCATGTAATGTATGGTATTAGGGGCCGACTATTTAACAATTATCCAATCAGAACCCAAAATTTCTTGTATAAAATAGTATTGTATATCCTGCCAAATGAAAATCAGCGGAAAATGTCATGGATATTAAGAACATCAGGCCTTAAAATATCGGTCGGTCACGGACATTGTCCGACCAATTTGTGAAATTGTACGACGTAGAGAGGAAACCACCGGACGACCAAAATGAAACTGAGTTTGCTAAATAATTTGTAACAATAAAATACTTCTAAACATTTTATAATTCATACTGTATCTTTTACTTGATGGAAATTGTTACAAATTTATAGTATGTACGAGGTTGGCACCATTTTCCTTTCAAATTCGAAACATTGCCTCCTCGGCGATTTATATGATGCGATATAAGAGAAGAGTGATGTACATTCGACATATATATAAACATAACATGTTAAAAAGAAAGATTACAACAAAAAATAAAAGAATACAAATAATTTGTGGCAATTCAAGTTCTATTCGTGAACTTTTCGTCCCCCCCGAGTCTTTATTTCCATAAAGCCCGCTCGCAGGCTAATATTCCAAGAATCTTGGAGTATTTGCCTGACATGTGATCAGCGTTTACCAGGGCCTCGCCCACTTTCGTGGCCATATTAAAAAATTGGGTGGGCAGGCCCTGGGTACGAGGTTGATATTCGTATTGGTGCGAGTTCTAATGTTTAGTTGGTACTTAACATCATCTTTAATCAATGGTTTGACAATACTCACTTAATTTCCGAAAAAATAGTACTGCAACCACAAATCCAACTTTCAGGTATACGTTCCATTTCGACCATGAAGAATACACATTCCTTGTGAAATAGTTGATTGCAGGTCATACCAGTTGCCATGCCATCACTCTGCAGTTGGCAATATTCATATGCGGCACACATCTTTTGTCCAGTATTCATGTACAGATAATGTAAATGAAAAAGAGAGTGGAGTACCAATAATATAGTATGATTATATGGTCACCAGTATCCTGTGAGCCAACCACATTACCTACAATATACCTAAACAAAACATCAAATTCTAAAACACATTCATCTGATTGTAGAAACCATAGACCTTTCAGGCACAAACACCATGCAATATTGGACTTGCAGAAATATGCACAGAGTAGGGAACTTTTTGTTCAAAAAAATTTTCTTTTAAAATACCATATAGAGCATTTGACATCAAGTGGCTTTTTTCAAACCTTTTTGACCCACAGTACATGTGTATACAGATAGAGTTTTGATCTTCCACAAATATGAAAGAAATGAATTATGACAAGTAATAATTAGTCCCCTCGCGCCAAATATATAGATATATGCATAACAAGATGGCGTTGTTACATGAAGCAATTGCTGGGATAGTTAATAAATTTAATGTGAAGGCGTTAAATCGCTTTCAAATGGATGCTATTACTAAGTTTGTTGATGGAGAAGATATTTTTATAAATTTGCCAACAGGCTACAGCAAATCGTTGATTTATCAGTCTTTGCCGCTAGTATATGATGCGATTTTAAAATCACCTGGTCACATTGTTGCTGTTGTGTCACCGTTGATAAATTTAATAGCAGACCAGGTTAGTTACCTTGAAAGCATTGGTGTCTGTGCTACCTGTCTAAATGCTATGGTAAGGGAAGAAGATAAATTAGGTCTCGAACAAGGCAAATTCTCTATCGTATATGGAACACCCAAAGCCTGGCTTACAAATGAACGTTGGAGATCAATGTTGAACAATTCTACGTATTCAAAGAAGCTATGTGCCATAGCCGTTGACGAAGCCCATGTCATTAAACAATGGTAAGCCAACAATATGAATACAATAGTCATTTGTATTATCAAGTGTGCCAGTATATAATTGGATATTAAATACGAAATACCAAGGTACTTTTATTATAAACATGTACTGCAGTACTGTATATGTTTTGTGATTGTCATTCTTAAGGTTACATTTTAACAAACTTTGTATTTATCATGATATTATCAAATTATATGAAAATGACGTGTGGAGTTTAGTTCTTTACCAGGAAGACTACAACCTGGGGTCAAGTCAGTACTTTGATTAAATTCATTCTGTGAAATGTAGACACTGTGGATATCAAATCAGATATGTCTTTGATTTATTTTATGGATTTCTAATAGATAGTTTGTTTTGGTTTTCACTGACAAAATGCTGCTGAATTGACAAAACACACGGGCTGGAACCCTGTCATTTTGAAGCAAATCTCATCTCGTGAATGGATTGCAGTCATGAGGGTAATCCCAGGGTCACCTTGGTTAGTGCTATTTTCCACCCAGCAACTCGCCTAATGCCATTTTTGAAAGATGCAAGAGGTGTTAAATGGCTATGTAACAAACCCTACCCCTACTGTAACCCTAAACCCTAACCCTAAATAGATATACAGATATATAGATATATATATAGATATATACACTGTAAATTCAAAGGAGTCGTTTTGACCCCTTGAGGTCATTTCGGGCTCTTGAATTGACATTATACAGTTCCGTAAATATGTAAATATGACGAACAAACAATTTTGGCATTACCTTGGCAAGTGCAATTTAATATCTGGCATTAGAACTTTATACTGCTGTTTGCAAAGTCGAATAAAATCCACTGGAGTTTGTCAGGTAGGATACTGACCGTCCTCTGGTAGTAGTCAGAGTAGAATATATAAAAAATCGTTGGACATTGGCCAGCCAGAATATACAATAGAATACAATTCCCCATAACCCTGGTATTTGCAGACCTCTGTTGTGGCACATTGTACCTTTAAGCCATCAAGTGGCAAGACTCGCCCTTAATGAGTAAAATTGCCTGCCATGCAATAGAGTGAAAGAATAAAGTTTGCAATGCACCCGCATTGCCCCGTCAAGGGGTTAACAGATGGATTTGTTTACCAAACAACTAGCAAGACTCTCCCTTCGACAAGTAAAATCATCTGGCGTTAAACAGAGTGAAAGAATAAAGTTGGGTGCATTGCCAGTCGTCGATGGGTTAATAGTTAACCTATTAAAGCCCAAGACTCTCCCCTTGACGAGTAAAATCGTCTGGTGTTAGACAGAGCAAATAATAAATTAGGGTGTAATTGGGAGCATTGCAGTTTAATGGGTTAACAAGACACATGGGTAGATTGTGGCATGGTTAACCCATTATAGTGCAAGATTCCCCCCTTGACAAATAAAAGTGTCTGGCATTAGGCAGAATAAAATAATAAAATAGGGTGCATTTAAGCGCATGTGGCTTAATGGGTTAACAAAATATATTTGGTGGATAGTTTGTAAATCCACCGAGGCACAATTACAGTAGGTTCTTCTCTTGACAAATATAATCATCTGGTGTTAGTTAGAGTAAAATAACAAAGTAGCTTTAATTATATTATTATACATAGACATTATATACATATTACTTATATGCATGCAGTGGTGTACAGCACATACATTATTGAGTGGATAGATTGGGAGCGCTTTTTGGTGTATCTATTTTAGAAGACAAGGGTCACGCACGCAATGAGTTGTGGGATATCGTGTATCAAATTTCAAGTGTGATTTGCAAATTTTCGACTTTTTCGTTTGAGTACTGACTTCGATCAAGAAGACCATGGTATTTATCTTATTTTGCACTGGATAAGTGCCTCCGAATCCTGCCGAAGGCTTATTGATCTCAGGTATGAAATGTTACTGTTTATATCATATAATTATAACGTACATCAACCGTATTTACCCATTTTATCTTGTGGCTGTTGTGGCTGCTAAAATTTGAATTTGCGCGTGCGAGGTGTTATATATTGAATTATTTCATTTCAATGCCGTCAAATATTAGTTAAAATCGACAATTCAAATTTTGAATAAATGCACATTTCCTGGTGCACATTTCCTGGTTTTAGCATGTAAATGATTGACTTTAAATTAAGTATTTAACCCATTGAGCTGGAATGTGCCCCAGTGCGGCCTACTTTTTTTCACTTGTCTAACGCCAGGTTTTTGACATGTATATTAACCCTGTATATATGTGCCTGTTTATGTGATAATGGCTGGACAGGAGGTTTTAATCCAGGATGGTGTGTTTATATAGACGGAATACACCCCGCCTGGCAGGGGTGATAGAGTGCTTGTATGAGAATTTCTTGTCCTGACAGGTGTGTTGTGCCACAACTTTAAATATTGTTTTACTCTGTCTAATGTCAGATGATTTTACCTGTCAGGGGCCAGTTGTATCAAAGGCGTTTAACTTAAACAGTGGATAAGTCAAAATTATCAATCAAATCTATGAACTATAGACTACAAGCAAACATAACTTTTGTGTCTAAACATAACAACTATGCATAAAACTACACATTTTGTTGATAAAATTTCTTTAGAAGGGGCCGGTTGTTCAAAGCTGGGTTAACTTAACCCTGGGTTAACCTAAAATTCAAAGCAAACTTCCTCACAGCTTGTCTAAAAATTTGAAAATATTTCTTCAAAGATCTTGTCTAGATTGATAGGAGTTTACTTCTTTGAAGTTTTGAAATAAACAGACGTGCAGAAATACACAAACTAAAACAGTGGGTTAAATTTTAACCCAGGGTTAGCTTATCCACCGTTTAAGCTAAACACCTTTGATACAACCGGCCCCAGTGCTATCACTCAATGGGTTACTGAAACAAGCAGCACTTATCTCCAATACAACTGAGGTTCAACCATAACCATATGAATGTTTTCTGGAATGTGAAGCAACATAGCATATTAAATCACAAATACTAACAACATCACCCTTACATTTTATACCCATATAATGGATTTTGCTGTTCAAAAATTCTTTCTCATGTTGTAAACTCTATCCTACATAATAGAATGATTACAAATAAATTATGTCTTTCTTTTCGTGGGAAAATTTGAGTCACTATGGTCAATTTGAGTCCCAGAAATCATGGTCCCACAGTCAAAATTTCAAATTTTAACCCATGAAGTTGCATCGCACCCTTTATTGTATTCCTGTCTAATGCCAGACAATTTTGTTTGTGAGTGGGAGAGTGATGGTGGTTAATTGGTTAAGGACGCCAAGTTATATCATTATGCTTTCAATAAGTAACAGAGTTGTAACTTACCACTTGCCCGGGGCAAGTAAATATCGTTGCTACTAAAAGCTGGGCGTCTTTAAGTTTATGTTTTCATTGCCGGATATTTTTTTGTGTTTTTTTTCCCTCAAAAGGAAGGAGACACAGACTTGACTATCTGGCTACAAATGAGACCCGCTGACATACTGTATCAGGGATGATCATGAGTTATTGGCGACATTCGAGAATAGCAAAACTGTAAACGCCATCATTTACTTCCTGGCGTTGTTCTACTCTACCTGCTCGACCTAGACTACCCATCCAGATTCAGCAGTCTGACATGGTATAGGCTTTTCAAGAAATTGAACAATATTGCTACGTGTGAGAACTTTTACATTTATCTATCAGTAATTACTTTAATAACCTATTCATGTATAGCTGGTAAATATATTATTTTAAACATTCTTAATAGGATGACAATAGCAAAAAATCATGCCAAGATTATTATTCTAGTTTCATATTGTCATTTAAGAAAAATATTCTTAAAAGCCATGCACACCGGATCGAACTAGAATAATTTTCTTAGCAGGATTTCAATTCAAGATAATTTTTCTAATTTTGTCCCATGGGTAAGTAAAATTTTCTTATTAAGATTATTTTTCTTATTTCAAGAATACGTTCTAGCAAAATTCTTAGTTTCCCAAGGATTATTTTCTAGTAATAAGAAAATTTTGCTAGAACGTTTTCTTGAAATAAGAAAAATATTCTTGATAAGAAAATTTTACTTGCCCACGGGACGAAATTAGAAAAATTTTCTTACCAAGAATTTTTTCTAACCAAGATTAATTTTCTTATTTTAAGAAAAATTTTCTTGAAATCTGATTGTTACCTAGAATATTTTACTACCCATGGGACAAGTAAAATTTTCTTAAAACAAGTAATTTTGTGCTTAAAATAAGTAATATTTTCTTAAACAAGAAATTGATTTTTTGCAGTGTGGACTTGCATGCCAAGCTGCCTCTCACTGTCACGCAAACAATAAAACTGTTGGGTCAATGAGAGACAAACTGATGTTGATTCAAACATTCATGTATAAATTGTATTATATGTAATATTATCTTATGTATTTTAATATAATTTTGAAACAAACCATATGTGATAATAGTACTTTAATTAATATATATATATATATTGGTTAAAACCCGTTCAAACGTCGCGCTACTGCCGTGCCGAACGCACGATCAGCTGAAATGCCTCATTATTTATTGTGTTTAATGCATTCGGCATGGCAGTAGCGCGATGTTTGAACTAGGCCTTAAGGCCTTATTTGCGTACTTTGGTGTTATCATGCTTTAACGTGATTGCATGTGCCAAGCGTTCAAGGTTTTAAGAAGTTTAATGATTTTTAAATCGACCCTTTCATAGCGCTAAAACGACCCTTTTAAGGAACTAAAACGACCCTTTTAAGGAACTAAAACGACCCCATGAAAGGGCTTTTATACTCTTTGAAGGGGTAAAAACGACCCCTTATAAAAAACTACCCTTCGCAATGACTCCAAAATAGGAGCTGAAATGACTCCGCTGAACAGCTAGAATGACCCCTAGAAAGGGTCATTTAGACTTTGTTAGAGGGTCAAAACGACCCTTTGAAAGAGTAACATTGTGACCCTTTGAAGAGCCAAAATAACTCTTGGTGATAATACTCAAAATAACCAAGGTGATAATACTCCTCCTTGGCACACACCTTACTGTACAGGAAATTTCTCTAATATCAGACCATTCGCTCGAACTCTGCTTGTTTGTCTCTTATACCAATTACGCAGCAGTCGCCACGATTTACCATTCATACCATTATTGTACAATTTGAAAAACAATCCATCAATCCATACCGTATCAAAGGCTTTGGCAGAGTCCAGGAAGCAACAGTAAACTTTGCTCCCACGTTCTACATTGTGCGCAACTGCTTTCTGGAGAACAAAACTTGCATTTATGCAAGAATTTTTTTTTTGATAAGCAAACTGCAATGGATTCGGTATGCCCCAGGTTTCAAAGACAGGTAACCAACGTTGCAATACGAGTCGTTCAAAAATTTTCCCGATAACATTTAAGAGAGTTATGCCTCTATAGTGATCTTTGTTCAATCGATCTTTTTTTTCCGCCTTTAAATAATGATATTATGTCTCCAAGAACAAAGCTATCAGAGACTATTTCAAATTCTCTGAGTGTGTTACAGATTCTAGTCAATTTAGGTGCCAAGGTGATCCCTGCATGTTTTATGTGCTGTACGTTAAACCATCAGGTCCGGATGCCTTTCCATTTGGCAACTTGGAACAAACGTCTAGCACTTCATGTTCTGTAAATGCATTGTCTAACGGATCATTTTCTGCATTAAAACTTTCACTCTCATACTCTGTTATCTTTGCCTCCACAAACCTTCGAAACTCGTCATCGTACTTAGGATTTGTTTTAGGTGTGAACAAATCACTGTAGTGCTTTTTCCACACAGACAGAACTTCTTCTGGATCATATATTAAGGTTCTGTCCGCCTCTAGCATTTGAATGCTTACTTCTTTTTTCTTACGAATGCTCGAGGTGATTTTAAAGAATGTGCTACGGTCAGTCTCATAATGCTTTTCTAACGATTCAAGTTGTTTTTGTTCTTCTAAATATATCTTTTTTCTCAGTTCTTCCCTAAATAAACGTTTCGCTTCTTTGTATTCTCTATAGTAAATGTTCTCCCGATCTTGTGATTTTCCATTCTGTAACCATCTTTTTCTACATTCTCTGCTTTTCTTATGAAACTCGTTTAAACCCTCTTTCCAGTAAGGGCGCCGGTTTTTCCTGAATTTCTTTCTTGGAATGCTTTCTTGTGCTGCTGAGTGCAACAAATTTGTTACACTTGCAATCTCAGCTTCTATTGTGTCAATGTTGTATGGAACACTGTCTTCGCCATTATTCTCTAATGATTCCAATCTCCTCTTAACTGAATTCTGGTATCGGATTTTAACAGTTTCATTCAGTAATGACTTCCATGACAAAGACGTGTGAGCTGTCTTTGATCTTGTAGTCAGGAGTGGTAACTGTACATCCCACGAACAAATTACTGGTAGATGATATGATAGATTTCTACAGTTATCGCTTTCGACATAACACCATTTAATTAAAGGTAAGTCTTCTTTGTTTACGAAAATATGATCAGTAGTTGACAGAGTTGAGCCTTGATTACTGTGGAATGTCTCAATTGGCCCATTAACACAATTCTTGAGAGTTGACCGAAATGAATTGAAACTGATCAAGTAAAGAAATCAGGATATGTCCTCTGTTATTCACCTCCTTAAAACTTCTAGGACCACCGTGATTACCAATGTGGGCATTAAAGTCTCCCGCAAGAACAACTGCCCCCAGAGATTTAAGATGGGCAATACTGTCTTCCAGGGTGTTAATATATTCCCTATATGAAGATGTGGAGTCATTTATTGAGGGTAGGTATGTTCCAAGGACAAATAGGGCTTTCTGATTAGGAAGCTTGACTTTGATTACAATTATTCTGTCGTTGCCAATATTCTCTAACGGCATGATACTGAGTGATAGGCTTTTACGCCAGAGTATAGCAACTTCACCTTTTCCGCGACGATATAAAGTGTGGTTCAAGTTCACTCGAACTCCTGGCATGAGATGTAAAGTCTTCATTAATAGAGTTTAAAAATGACAATGAATCAGGGAATAACCAGTGCTCAGTTAGGATACAAATGTCCGATTTCTTGAGACAGTTATCTAAATACTTGACATTATAAAAAATGCCACCAGCATTCCACGTGCAAATTCTAATGTCTGCTGTCAGCCGTCTGTCGTTAGTTTTGATCTCCTCCATTACACGAGTGTTGAGTAGTTCCCAGCTCGGGTTGATTGTGGTTTCTTGCTCGGAAGACTATTTGATTTCCATGGCTTGCACTTGACAAACTTTGGCCAGAAATTTTCTTCGGACACAATTGGACAATCCTTAGAAGGAATGTTGATCTTTGTATATATATATATATATAGATAGATAGATAGATAGATAGATAGATAGATAGATAGATAGATAGATAGATAGATAGATAGATAGATAGAGAGAGAGCGAGAGAGCGAGAGAGAGAGAGAGCAAGAGGCAGAGAGAGCGAGAGAGAGAGAGAGCAAGAGGCATTGGCACTTTTGTAACCTAAATGTGGCACTTTCGTAACCTCGTGTGGCACTTTTGTAACCTCGTGTGGCATTTTTGTAACCTCGTGTAGCACTTTTGTAACCTCGTGTAGCACTTTTGTAACCTAGCATGCATGTACACACTTCGTATCTATTTTTTCAATGTGTAGCACTTTTGTAACCTAGCATGCATGTACACACTTCGTATCTATTTTTTCAATGCAAAAAACAAGATGGCGGTAAGAAAGAGTTATTTTGTTGAGAGGTCATATTAGAAAGCTTTAAAAAGCTTCCCTGTCATATTGTTATACCAGAAGATGGTTTAAAAGCTTTTGGTAATGTCGTGGTTGAAATGAAAATTATTTTTGTGATGGCATTATTGGCATACTAGTGGAAAGTTTGTTGAAAAAACACCAAAATGCAAGTGTCAATTTAGACATGCATAGCGTGACAGGTATGGAGTATTCATTTCTTTACTTTGTTATTTAATATTGTATAATCAAGAAATCTAGATGTACAAATACGTACTTAAGCTTGTTATTTTCTCGAATTAGTAGGAATTTATATGGCATTACTCTCATTTTTTGGACCAAAGTCCAAAGGCAATTGCCCGGCTTATAGCTTTCATTTATACTATACTATACTCTAGTTTGTTGTGTTGTTTTAACAGCAGTTCTTTATTTTCATAACGGTGTTCCTTGGCTTTTGATGTTAGGATTATGATACTTGGTGGATTTATATAAAATAGAATCTTTTGGGTCATATCACTATTATAAACAAGGCTATTAAATCCATTGTAAAAATGCTCTTACTCATAAAAGCAGCTGGCCACCTGCAATTTGTTCATGTAGACTACTTGCATTTAACATTCAAATTTTATACTTATGCCAGGTTAATACTGTAGTACACAAAACTGACAAAAGTCACAAATGGCATGCACTCCCTAATACAACATTTGAAATATGACTGCTTATATAATGCTTTTTGCTGCATTCAGGGCATCACACACATTTTATTAGGCATTTAGTTCCAAAGGTGAATATACTATGCTTAAATTAAAAACAGTGTATGATTGGTTGGGTTACAGCAATTTGGTTTGTTTTTTCTATAACAGGCATAATATTAGTGCTCCTGGCAAAATAAAATATTTTTTCAGGGAAGTTAGAACAATACTGGTCAATACCGGCACCACATAAATTAAAATATACCAAATTTTTCAATAATTACCCCCAAAATAAAAATATTACAAAATACATGGTTGCAGCTTGTGGAAAATGTGAGGTCAGGTGACTTAGCCTTCAAAATATGTTTTGGTTAACTAACTTGAATAATGCAAAATGTGAAAATATGCCTTAAGTCTAAATATGACTTGATGGCAGGCTATAAACTGAACCTCAAACAATAACAGTTTGGTGGAATTAAACCAGATCTTCACATATATTAAACAGAATGAATGTTTGGAAAGATTATACAATGAATATATAGTTCATTGATAGTATTATGGCTTTGTCGGCAGCTTATGTATTGATTTTGTTATGATTATAAGGTGTTAGTTATCTTCATAAAACATCATAAAACCACCTTAGCAAGCTATAATTTAGACATAGACTCATGAAGCTCATGCTAGTCTGATAGATGAGATATGACCCATTGAGTCGCATTGCACCCTGATGTGCCCTACTTTATTATTTTACTCTGTCTAACACCACACGATTTTACTTGTCAAGGGGAAAGCGCTGGCTCTTAATGGGTTAACTGGCCTATCTGCCCATGTGTCTATTTAACCCATTGAGTCCCATTGTGCCCTGATGTGCCCTACTTTATTATTTTACTCTGTCTAATGCCATACAATTTCACTCATCAGGGGGAGAGCGCTGGCCCTTGATGGGTTAACTGGCCTATCTGCCCATGTGTCTAATATTTAACCCATTTTATTATTTTAATGATCTGGATTCTTGCACTTCACTTGGGGGAATTATTTGAATATTAGAATGTTAGGGTTTGTAATCCAAGTGAGAATATATACATTTTTTAAGACCTAACCAGGAACGACTGCGAAAAATGCAGCACAAGGTCCTCTGGTAGGAATTGAACCTACGGCCCTGCGATTCTGGTGCAGCACTCTAACCAACTGAGCTACAGAGGCCAGCTGTTGAGCTGTAACCGTAAGTTCATGTATATATAGGTAATCGGGTGTATGGGTTGTGATAAGGTGGACTTCAATGATCTGGATTCTTGCACTTCACTTGGTGGAATTAATATTAGAATGTTAGGGTTTGTAATCCAAGTGAGAATATATACATTTTCTAAGACCTAACCAGGAACGACTGCGAAAAATGCAGCACAAGGTCCTCTGGTAGGAATTGGACCTACGGCCCTGCGATTCCGGTGCAGCGCTCAGAACCTATGGCTCTGTGATTCCGATTCACCTTGTGTTGCATTTTTCGCAGTCGTTTCTGGTTAGGTCTAAAAAAATGTATATATTCTCACTTGGATTACAAACCCTAACATTCTAGTATTAATTCCACCAAGTGAAGTGCAAGAATCCAGATCATTGAAGTCCACCTTATCACAACCCGCACACCCAATTACCTATATATACATGAACTTACAGTTACAGCTCAACAGCTGGCCTCTGTAGCTCAGTTGGTTAGAGTGCTGCACCGGAATCGCAGGGCCGTAGGTTCAATTCCTACCAGAGGACCTTGTGCTGCAATTTTTGCAGTCGTTCCTGGTTAGGTCTTTAAAATTGTATATATTCTCACTGGGATTACAAACCCTAACATTCTAATATTAATTCAACCAAGTGAAGTGCAAGAATCCAGATAATTGAAGTCCACCTTATCACAACCCGCACACCCGATTACCTATATACATGTATACATGAACTTACGGTTACAGCTCAACAGCTGGCCTCTGTAGCGCAGTTGGTTAGAGCACTACACCGGAATCGCAGGGCCGTGGGTTCAATTCCTACCAGAGGACCTTCTGCTGCATTTTTCGCAGTCGTTCCTGGTTAGATCTTAAAATGTATATATTCTCACTTGGATTACAAACCAGAACATTCTAACTTTATTATTTTACTCTGTCTAACGCCAGACGATTTCACTTCTCAGGGGGAGAGCGCTGGTGCTTAATGGGATAAACAACTATTTTGCTGGGTAGATAATTGATATAACTTCAGCGAAACCAAATTTACATTGAGATTACATGTTAAAAATGGCTTAGGTCTAAATATGTCTTGATCGCAGGCTATGAACTGATCCTGAAACAAAAACGGTTTGATGGATTTAATTAAACCTAACCTTCACATATTAGATAATGATCGAATGTTTGGAAAGATTATACAATGAAAATCGGCAGCTTACATTGGTTTTGTTATGGATATAAGGTGTTACACTAATTATCTTCACAAAACATCATAAAGCCACCTTAGCAGGCCGCACTGTAACTTAATTATATAGACATAGACTCATGAAGCTCATGCTACTAATAGATTAGATATAGACAAGTATCTTGCTGAGTAAATTTATATAACTTTAGTGAAACAAAATATTTACATTAAGATGACATGTAACCAGTCTTCAAACAAAAACGGTTTGATGGAATGAAACCAAACCTTCACATATTAGAGAATGAATGTTTGGAAAAAATTATACAATGAAATATAGTTTATTGATAGTTTTATGGCTTTGTCGACAGCTTACATTGGTGTTTTGTTATGATTATAGGGTGTTCATTATCTTCATAAAACATCATAAAGTTACCTTAATTAGCAGGTTATAACCTAAACATGGACTCATGAAGCTCATGAACCAAATTTACATTAAGATGTATGTAACCGGTCCTCAAACAAAAACGGTTTGATGGAATAAACCAGACCTTCACATATTTGAGAATGAGTGTTTAGTATTATGGTTTGTCGGCAGCTTACATTTGTTTTGTTATGATTATAAGGTGTTAATTATCTTGATAAAATATCATAAAGCTACCTTAGCAGGCTATAACTTTTGACATATAGACTCATAAAAGCTCATGGAATTTATAGATGAGATATGGACAAATACTTAAGGACAAATGCTTGTCTTCGAGGATGCGCAGTGTTTCAATTCTATTTCAGAACCATCCTCAGAGATACGAAAAACTAGTTTCATATTAATCTGACACTGCAATCGAGCAACGAAAAATTTGTATCTCTGAGGATGGTTCTGAAATAGAATTGAAACACTGTGCGTCTTCTAAGACAAGCGTTAGTCGTCACAAAAATATTTCATGCACTTAAATTGGATAAAACTCGCTACCAATCCCTGTTGACTCGATAGCTCAATAGGTAGAGTGGCATGGTGATGGTAATGTGGAACGAAAGGCATGGTAATGTGACGAGGCAAATGAACAATTAACAAAATGTCAAAAGGATAAGAAAAATTCCCGTGTTTACAAGCGGCAGAAAATTTACCGTGTTGACATTGAGTTATATCAACACGGCTCTTAGCCAATCAGCGTTCAGAATTTACTAATGCTATATTATAATTTAGTTTTGTCGATGCTTACCACAAGTTTAAATTACAGTACTTACATGTAATTCTTATTTGTTGACCTGCATCTAAGGACGAAAGCGGATTTATATTAATTTATGCAATGTTCTTTCGTCAAAATTCAAGATCTGATTTGTTATGTTAGTGAATATATGCATGCTAATGCGACCGAAAACAACTTATAAAGCAACTCATGTATGCATATTATTTTTTATGATATGAATTAAATTATTGCTTGCTTTGCCAATTCTATTCCCGGGCCGATATTATAGGTGCATATGCAGAAAGCGAGTATATCTAGCTGGAGTATATTAGTAAATATGTGATAACTTGAAACAGTATTGTGTTTTGCCCAGATTGGGTTTGACATGCATGTATTTTTGGTACGGCATGGTTGTTTATGCATTCAAATGCACAATCTGTTATTGTAGGTGGATTTCACTAAGTAATTATACAAGGGGAAACACAATTTTCCATGCATGATCTAGCCATGCAAAACTATTCTATTCGCTATTGACAGATATTTTAAAGCAAATTGTATTATTGCCAGCTAGTCTACAAGTAACTAGTACACTGTTATTGCGACTTTAGGACTTTAAATATATGTATATGCAACTATGATATTGTAAGTTGTTATAGCTAACTATGCAACCCAATGACAGTATTATAGCAATGATGTACATGCAGTAAAGCAATTATTACATGTAAATGCAAATGATTTTGATAGTTGAAATATTTCCACTTCCTTATACAGTACTTTATGTATGAATTCCCCTGTGACCTGGTTACTGATCGAGGTCGATCTGCAAAACATCAACTGATAAACTGTACATGCATGTAGTCATTCAGTCACACTTCTTTCTATATCTGAGAAGAGAGTGCTGACCATCTTCTCTTCGAATCTTCCCACAAGAAATGTTTGCATACATCAGTATATAACTATAATTCGTTACAATAGATAGAGCTATAAGTTTGAAAGACTGGCCGCTTTAACATGATGCATGACACATGTATCGACATTCAATTTATTCAGGATTTAGTCCCTTTCAGTCACAACCAATAACAACCAAGTATTTTGCCTAAGCATGCAAATTCAAAAGCGGAAACCAGTAGAAATCAGCGATTTTGCTTATGCTTACGTCTCAATAATGATATTATAATGAGGTTATAAGTCCTTAGATGCAGGTCAACTAGGCCTAATTAGTAGTCCCTTGGGCATTAGAGCTGGGTACAAGCCAATATATGTATATATATATATATATATATATATATATATATATATATATATATATATATATATATATATATAGTATATATATATATATATATATATATATATATATATATATATATATATATACTAATTATAATCTTAAAATTTTATTAATCGCTACACAGTGTTTCACGCTTTCAAAGCGATCTTCAGGCGATACTACTCTAAATAGTTTGCTTGCGCCATTCATTCAACGGTCCGCTGACGCGATTGCATCATGCGCGCGTGCGTTTAAAATTCCGCGCGCTAAATGAGTTTCTGTGGCGGCACTTTGAAAATAGTTCTGTTCGTTTGTTCAACGTCCCATCTTTGTGAGATTTAATTATATAAAACTTCTCCTCTAAGCAAAGGTTGCAAGAATTTGCACCTGCTGTATAGGCTGATGCATGCGACAAAACCGACCACTTTATAGTATACGGTCGGTTACTTTGTTTTAGCTTCCATGCGTACTTAGAAAGTTCGGTTTCGTTTGAATAGCTAGGTGAGTTGATGGATTTTTTGTGGTTGGCGTATCTTGCTTTAAACCTCCCTTTTTTTAATGCGTTTGGCACATGAGAAGCGCAACGTTTGAAACAGGCCTTACAGTACATATCCATGTCTCACATTTTTGCGCATATATAAACAATTATATCAAAACACGAACAACATACAAAACATTTCATTAAGTTTTTGAAACGGAAAGAAACTTATTTTTGAACAATTAGAGAAACAAAGCTTTCTATAAAATACAGTTATTTAAACAAATTTAAATAATTGTGTGCCTAAAAATGTCATCTTAACAAATTAACGTAATTATAAATATATAATCCGTATTAATGAGATTAATCCGTATTAATGATTATTAACATAAATGTTTCCCAAAACAAAATCAAACTTTTTGTAACAATTTTAACAACATGCATGCATGTCAATGATGCAAGCAAAGCTTATATTTTCTAAACTAACATTATTTCAATATATATAATCTTAACTAACAGGGAACTATATTTATTTTTTATAAAAGCATAAATGTAATACTTATGTAGAGTTTTTGGCCACTGAGAAAAATCGTATTTAAACACATGTAAAAAATACGATATTTTTACACGTGAAACTATAATTTTTGCAAGCCAATGAATAAGCGCGTAGAAAATATGTTTGACCAATCAGAGAACTTGTTGTAAAACGCATTGCCACGGATGTTTTATTGTTTTTCAATTATCGCTTTTCAAAGACTGCCCTTTATATAAGAAACACAAAAATACATAGATGCTTGGACATGACAGATTTATTTGTCGTGTTGAACTTGATATACTATTTATTTGCTGTGCTCACTTGTGAGATATCAATTCAATGCTCGAAATAAATCTGGTATTTCCGCACACTCATTAGACTTGGATCAAGTCCGTCTCTCTAGAGTCCGAGTCGCAAAGCGACGAGATCGAGGACTCTAGAGAGACGGACTTGATCCAAGTCTACGCACTCATGTATTATTCTCTATTTAGTATTCATTGTATCAAGAATTTATAGAGAGTATATAGAGAATAATACATGGGTGCGCGGTGTGACGCGAAATTCCTGACTTGCGAAACTCTGACTATTGTAGAACTTGCCCATGTGCAGACAATGCGCATGAATGACTTTGGCTTATATATTTCTCAACAGACAATACATGTATTTATATATCATTTTGTTGTATAATATTTATACATAAATTTTTAAACATCAATTATACTGATATGACACTATACCACTGATTGTGAACGTTAGCATTCAGCGATAATAGAGCTTGAAATTCTATGTTATACGTTTCTATACATAAATTATACGTGAATTTATTTCTCGTGTTGACCACACTTGGTCAACACGATGCGATATACCTGACCAAGCGTGACAAGTCTGAAATTTTGCACGTGCAGGCGCAAAATATATGGCGCTTGCTAAATTCTAAGTGGGCCAAAACTGTTTTTTAGAGTTTGCTTTAGATAAAATAATTAGAATGCTAATTTCTAATACTTCATTAAAAATTTCAAATCACCATCTCCAAGTTTCAATCACAAACACTTTAACTTCAACTCAAAGTGAGTTGTGTGGTTGTGACCGCGAAATAATGCATGACGTTTGCTAAATACGGTCCGTCTAAACGATTTTTAAGCCCATATGCGATGTTACCAAGTGTTTCTAATATAAACATCGCCAAATCCAAACGGCCAACTAACGAATTCATTGTTGCTGCTTACTAAATAGTGAGAAGGTCAAACACGAAACTATTTTTGATGCTTATGGTAATTAATATAGATAGCATCATGCACCTTTGACACTGGAGTCTATTTTATATCACTAAGAGCACTTTTCGATTGACTTTTTCCATTCACAGATTTTAGATTCAAGCTTTATTATCACTGAACACTATCGTTACAATCAGTGGTATAGTGTCATATCAGTATAATTGATGTTTAAAAATTTATGTATAAATATTATCCAACAAAATGATATATAAGTACTATTTAACTCATTCCCATCCAGTGGAAAAGTAGCAATTTCGAGTGGTGTTGTTTCAAACGCTTATATCTCTCAAACTATACATCGCAAGGAAACAGAAATTGCATCGTTCGAAAGAGGAGGACTTCTGCTTTCCAACGATACCAATTTCAATTTCATCCGGAGCTTGGTTAACGATTTACTCACAAAATTTGCATAAATTATGATATAAAAAAATGTTGCAATTATGCATAAATGTATTTAGTGGTTCAAATTTCAAATATGTCAAAAAATTTTATGAATATGACTGAAAGACACGGCTATGATCTACCAAAGTGTCATGCATGTAGCATAAATAGAAATATTTTTATTGAATTTTTATATAAACTAGGTAGTGCAGAGACCGCGGAGTCATTTTTTGATTGGGGGGGGGGGCTAGCGAACACCGGAGGTGCGAGCCTTCTGGGGGGGTCCCGGGGCATCCTCCCCCGGGAAATTTTGAAATCTGAGACCTCTCAGAGCCCCAGAAATGCAATAAAACCTGCTAGTTTCTCTTAAAAAGTTTCTTGAACGACTCTTAAGCAAGACATTATATAAGAGTAAAATTTATTCGCTTAGTACATTTTCCTTGAATAGATTTTTTCGTCGAAATTTAATGCTTTATTTAAGCGTAATTTAAATTGCATTTTCCATACTTATCGTCCTTACTTTTCTCAGAAATGTTTTTCTGGAAAGTGCGAGCCTACTAATACATAAGAAGAAAATAATAAATGGAAACAAACAAGGAATAACGTAACGTTTTTAAAAAGTCTACGATAGTCCAAAGGAAAAATAGTCCAAAAGTCTGACTAATTCTACTGGATTTCTTTAATTAAAGATTATTGTTGAGATTGTAACAGAGATCCTGCTCCATAAATGAACCAAAGTTACGGTTTCTGTTGTCATTCTTGGACACGAATACATTGGCTACGTCCAATAACCGTATATTGTCACCTCGTATTTTATGGGTATTTAATATCGCCAGATGACTGAATCTCCTCTGTGACATATTTGCTCTAAGCCATGTTTTTATTCGTCGTGCAGTTGAAAATGATCTTTCACCAGTTGCGCTGGTTGCCGGATTAACCAATAGGAGTTTACATATGGTGAGTACTTCATTAATCATTTGCTGTGTATTGTGATCCAAATTTTTCACAGCGTCTAAGACCTCAGCAAAATATTCTAGTTTTTTCTCCTTCATTAATACTTTGAAAATTTCCAGTTGTGGGATAAGAAACTCTACTTTTATATCCATGGTAAACCTCCTTTACAAAGGCCATTTCATAAGAAATGTCTTCTGATTTCAAAGATTTTAGAAGAAGTGCTTCTAATTTTGCATAAGCTTTAAAACTGGGCTGGTCAAAACGTTCATTGATGGCCGATACAATCAGATCAAGAGCTTCATAGTAGATTTTTCTGTACAAATCTTCCGACGTTTCAGGGTACCAAGGTTCTCCTTCTCCCACTTTTTATCTTGCAGCTGCCTTTCTCTTTCTTGGTACTCTGGGTTCCGAAATATCTTTCAAGGCCTCTTTCTTTTTCAAAATGGTTTGGAAGAAAGACTTGAAACATTCTTCATTTCGTATTCCCTTCAATACCTCGGTTGTCAGCTTGGTATTATATTGGCCGGAAATCGATGACATATTTGCCTTTTGTAAAGTTGCTGACAAATTGTCCGTGTGCCTAAAAATCGTCACGCCAAAATGTAATCCAAAATAGAATTCAAAAGACTCCATTTGGGTTCTACATCCTATAATTCGTCCACGAATATCTGGTGGAAGTTTTGTCTTGAGGCACTCGTCCCACAGCTTTAAAATAACGTTATAATTATCAATTACTCTCTCAAAACAGATTGCTCGAACCGTCCACCTATAGTTGCACTGAATTTTGTAAGTCCAGCAGCAGCCGCCGCGTCTTCTTCCTCCTCGTCCTTGTATTGAAGGTTTTCCTTCAGCTCTCCAAGTAAATTTTCTCGTTTGGGAGAATACTTTACGAGTTTAACAATCTCATTCGTATTATTCATGGTGTTAAATAAGATCTGGCAATTATTTGTTGCATCCTTTACACCTAAGCTCAAGGAGTGACTGTGACAATGTGTGGGAAGGGCCTTTGCTTCACACTCCTGAATTTGTTTTGCCACACCAGATTTTTTACCAAGCATGTTGCTGGCACCATCATAGCACTGCCCCCTGCACTGGGACAAAGACAACTGCAGTCGAATGAGGCTATCTTTGATTGCTTGGACAATGGTTTCAGATGCTATGTTTGGTATATTGTAAAATCCGAGAAAGTCTTCACGACCATCAAGTTGTTCGTCTACCCACCGAAAACATAAAGTCAGTTGCCCCCCTTATTACCAATATCCATGTATTCGTCAGCTATTATGGAAAAGAATCCTGTTCCAATATCCTTTATGAGGTCCCGTTGAACCTCGTGTGCCATAATTTCAATGATTTCATTTTGTATATCATGGCTCGTATATTTATCACCGCCTCGTTTCTTAAGCAACTCGAGTAACGCAGGATCGTCCCGTCCCTGAAGTTTCATTAATTGGTAAAAGTTCGACTCAGTATCAGTGTCTCCTTGTATAGCTTGTCCTTGCCGGCATAAAGACTGCAAGTTTTCAATTATTTTCAATAAGCAGCGGCGATTGGTCTGTCTTAGTTTCTTGCTCTGTCTTAGTTTCTTGCTCTGCTCATTTGTCATATCGATAACATTGCCACAGTTCTTTGGGAAATTAACTGCATAATCAATCGCCATCTTGTGACATTCTGAAGATTCGTGTTGCTTGAATTTATCTTGAATTTATCTACAAAACCCATCCGAGATAAACTTTTGATCTTTTTTACTAGCACACCTTAAGTTTCCCTGAGCGTTTTGCTGAGCGCAATAAAAACAAAGGACCGAGTCAAGCTGTTCATCATAGTGCAGCCAAGAAAAGAACGATTCTGTCCAGAAAATTTCCTTTTAGGAAACTCAAAGTTTTTTGGTTGGTGAGGGTTCATATAGGATGATATATTTGTTTTCTTGCAAGGGTCGACGTGTATTACCGCTTGTGGCTCATGTACTTTGGACAAAGTTGAGCTCACAACTGTTGGCACTCGATGGCGTTCTGGAGAAACCTGTGGACTGGACGCGGCTTGGTAGCCTTGGTAGACATCACTTGTACGAGTTGGAGTTCTAGTTATTTGGGCGACAGACTGGGAGACGCAGGCCTGTGCAGGATCGTAGTAAATCGTTCTTTCATTTCCTGAAATGTTAGGATTTGGCACGTTTTTACAAATGATGTTGACACTAACATGCTGGAAGCAAGGTGTTGATAAAGCCGGTTTTATGAAATCGCAACGCATGCATACAGTCATGAATACGCATTGCGTATACCTGACTGTATGTCATGGTAATATATATGTTTGGGTACCACTTAATACATGCTTGTATTTAGTCAAAATAAGATGTATACATACCACCTGGCACAGCTGAAAAATAATCTGAAATGGTTTTAGCCTTCTTCTTCGCTGTCGTTTGCCTCTCCTTTGGCTCTTTTGAGCTTCCAGTTCCTTCCATATTTCCATAGATCATATGTGCTTCTTGATTTGTAATAATCGAAGGATTGTACGAACCTGGGTGACAAGAACTGTAGACAATTCGTCGCTTCAGATACTTTTCTCTGTATCTTGCAATATATATACAAACAGGAACTGAGTCTTCAATAACCTGTATCCTTTTCGTGAGAATTTTATTCGGAGGTAATTCAGGTTCCAAAGGCAAAGAATAATCAACCACAAGCAAACAGTAAGTTAGAACGACACTTAGCAGTTTTAACGCCAACATTTTGTTTGGAACCGAAGCAAAACACGTGTATTCATAGTGTTTCTCAAGTGATATGGAATTTCAACAGTTATTTGAAACCAAGTGTGACACCTTGGATAATGCTATGATATGCTACGAATTTTAAATAAAGTGGTCAAATGCGATTAAAACCTCTTGACATTATTGCATCATCAAGGTTGAGACCTGTTGTTTGTAACTGCGCAGTTTTAGTTTGTTCAAGCACGTCCTTTGTTACTCTTTGTATACTGTACAATGACAATTTCAAAATTAGATCGATCTTCCCTGGTTGGAAGTGGCCTCTGTAATTTTGAAACACGCAAATCAGACATTTAATATTTTTCTGGACTACGCAAAGAAAAGTGCTATCCGCACTATATTAAAATCAGATGTGTATGAAAAATTATTGGGGGGGGGGCTAAAGCCCCCCAGCCCCCCCCCCCCTGCTCCGCAGTCCCTGTAGTGGAGTAAAATTTACATTTTGTGCTCACATGAAACAAATACCTTTATCAAAGGTCCTTTTTTATTGCTGCAACATGTTATCAATACAAATTTCCAATATTTCTTACTCTCCAAAGATAGTATGGCACCAAAATAAGTGTGTGATACCCACAAAAGAACACTCAAGTCATGATTAGCAAAATGTCTTTATTTCTACAATTACTACATACATTCTTAGATAATCATTACACCATTGACTTTAGTTATTAGTGTCATAACCAGGCTCAAAATTTGGTCATGCTATTCAAATTTGAAATAATCACTAATTTGTTTAGAAATTGATTGTTTTCACAATCTAGAACATGAAAATATTTGCAAATAGCATGACCAAGTGTTGTTGGACTGGGATCATCATAATTAGTAGTTATAAAAAAGTAATGTTTTCCAAGGCAGTAATGTTTGCTAAAGCAGTAATGTTTGCCAAAGCACATAATTGGATTATGTGGTGAAAATATTTCCTTTATATTGTACTACAAAAGACCTAAGACTGTAACCAAACTGATATCAGATCACCACGTCATACCCAAATCTGTTACGATGAATATCTGGACTTCTTCCTGTATAAATTTCAAAGTCGCAATATAACCATTAGGATTGTCTGCAGCAACCCACAGATTTATTCCCCACATAGTAGGTCATCTAGCTTTCATGAACTGCCTAACCCCCAACCTATTTCTTGATTTGACAGTGTGTTTGTCTTCAACAACAATATTCTGTGACGGCTGGTACAGTTGTTGATGCAGTTTATTGCTGTAGTCTTTAGTACAGGATCTACCATATTCACAAACGCCATAAGCGCTTTGTACCTAACCCGAGAAATTATGTCTATTGCCCACAGACCATGATATAAGGTTTTTACACTCCAATAATTTTCAATCTCACTGTCGACCTTTAGCAAACCTGCATATTATACTAAAAGGCAATCAACCTCTCAAGGTTGGTGGACTGCAAGACCCTTTTTTATTAGTATATAGGGATAACTTTTGAGTTATTTGTATGTGGGCATATGTATTGGTATGGCCAGGAAACTACCTCCTGAAGCATTCCCTTAGTAAAAAAGCGTCGAATGAACTCAAGCTCACAGTTCATTGAGCCGAATGAACTCAAGCTCACAGTTGATCGAAATGGATCCCAGACATGTCAGTGAGGAGCAAAATCTGGGAGAACATTCCTAGCATCAGGATCATCATATCTGTCATGTTCTATGGGGCCTAGTGAGGATGCTAGACAGGGAGCTTTCGAAACCTTAGGTCCTAATGGCTGGGCTTCCCTCTACCTATACTCATCCCCCTACCTTCCCTCTGGGTTGGTGAGTGGGGAACTCTACTTCCCTGAGGCTATGAAACAGGAACAGCAGATAGGAACAGGATCAATATATTCATCAGTGCAAATAAAAACTTTTATAGACATGGTGCCACTTAAAATTATAATAAGAGCCAACTAGTAAGATATAAGTATGACTATTATGGCTATTATGACTTGGCTATTATGTATATAACAAACAACCAAACATGTGCTCAAGGCTCATTTTACTTCGCCTAGGAATCAGAGATTTTTATGCCTAAAACACCATAAATTTTCGTCAACAATATAAATAAATACCATTTATATTTGTCAATTTCAGTATGAAACGATTATTTCAACACACAAAAGCGATATGAGGACATACTTGGTCGTACTAGTGAAGCTATACTAAATACAAATAAATTTACAATGCCATGGCAACGGTAAAACATTGAAATAGAAATTGTCTAGAAATGATACAAATACTTGCCTTGAAACTCCAGACACGACTCCCAATGCCAGGTTGAGATACTTGTCTTCATACGAAGACATTCCATCATTAGTAGCACTATCAGTTTGCAAAATAAAGCCAAAAACGTCTTCAGAATGCGATTCAAACAAAACTACAACACAATACATTTCAACGCTCGTGCGTTCCCGTGCGCGATAATCAGGAAAATTGCTCTAAAAGATTTGTTTTTCTGCCTAAGCCAATCAAAATCCGTATCTAGGGTAAACAAACACTCCGGAAGTGATTCCTGCAGTCTTTTACCAGGAAACTGTAATGCTTTACCAAGAATTTGGCGTCCGAAGTTGGCCGAACACTTTCCGATCACGAGAATTGCCATAATAGGCTTAGATTATTTTGCAATTTCCCGAGACTGCTCCGAGCTATAGAATGGAAGATGGCGATTCTTTTGGTATATTTGTTATTATTATACGTTGAAAAGAAGCAAAAAGACGAGCATTTGAATCAGGCGGAACATTCAAAATGCAACAGCAAAATTGATAATGTGTCATTTGCATAAATTTCACCGCATTGATCATTTGAAGGTAAGAAATTCACTTGAAATTGAGCGAGAAACAATAAAATTATATGAATATTTCTGAATATATAGTATCGATCAAGCGGAATTTTTTGGTGGTATTTTCGTATGTCTACTGCAAATACTCGTGAAGTTCTTTAATATTTAATCTTCCCGTCATATACGTCGGAAATTAATATTGGCGGATCGAATTGAGTTAAAGCACGCGTAGGAGTGTTTTATCACATGTATTATTCTCTATATATTCTCGATACAATGAATACTAAATAGAGAATAATACATGGGTGCGCGGAAGTACCAGATTTATTTCGAGTGTTGAACATGATATCTCAGGAGTGAGCGCAGCGAACAAGTAAGATATCATGTTCAACACGAGAAATAAATCTGGTATTTCCAAGCATCCATGTATTTTTCTGTAGGACAGTATTTGAGGACAGTCTTTGAAAAGGACAGTCTTTGAAAAGCGATAATTTCTACAGAAAAGCGATAATTGAAAAAACGATAATTCTCACATCAGATTATAACTTTTGTCAGTGCTCCAAATCTCTATAAAGCACTACACTTTTTATAATAAAAGACAATAAAAATTGCCACAAGACACAACAATTAAACTTTACCAAATGTCATTGAAACAGTATGCTTATCAACATTAGAGAGCTTAAGTTCAACTTCCGATAGCAACACCAATACCGACACCAACAATGAGAACCAGCGTATTCGAAGTCGTCACTACCGAGGGTAAACTCATATATAATCGGGTATTTCGTAGTTTTTTCCCCTAAACACAAAATATTTGTTTATTACCATCCTCTGAGTCTTGATTTAGTCGCAATCTTAACTCAGCTGCCCTCCTGTGTACCGCACATTTCTGGTGACGATTGTTGGTGATAACCCAACGCTTTAAGATTCCCGGTACCATAATGAGAACGGAAGTGAAGACATCAGTATTGATATTGGTATCGGAAGTCGAACCTAATTAAACTCATATTTAATGAACACAACTTAATCAACCAAATCTGTTTAACCTAATTATAGTAACATGATATAACGATAATTCTATTTTTGAAATTATGATTAAGCTTTATGACGAAAAGCTTTGCAGTGTGCCAGGCATGTTGTCAATATTTAGTACTATTTTTAAGACAGTATTATATAATACCTTATTGAATTCTGATCGTTTAATTGACTGTTTATGGTAATGTGATATTGAATAGAAAATTCCATTTCCCAAGAGTGCAATGGAATATGTTCCATTGCACTGTTTGCGAGTGCAATTATGCTATACTTTTTATTTCATTGTACTCTTTGTGTTTTCGATAAATCACATCCATCAAAATACTTCTCGTACGTTTATTTTAACCCGATATTCGAAATTCAGTAAATGGGATTTAATGCAAATACGACTCGTCAAAATAGCGGGATTTTACAGTAAACCTTTTAATATTAGTCTATTTTGGTATTATATAAAACAAATAATGAATGTTTTTATTCATGCAATGGTAAGAATATTTTCATTCGATGAAAGATGGAATGTTCCATTCAACTCGGATGTCTCCTCGTTGAATAGAACATTCCATCTTTCACCGAATGAAAATATTCTTGCCATTGCACTCATAAACATTCATTATTTGCATATTCACCAATAACCTGGAAATATTTCTTCTGTGATGGCGTGCCATAATGTTTTTGTTCCAACGTTCAAACTTTTGTATTCTTATAGTTTATCAGTCACTTGGCACTTCGTATCTTTCTTCTTTCGTATTTTATACGATTCATTATTTGACTGACCGACAATTTACTAATCAGTGGTTTACCTTCTTTGCTTTCACTGCAGCGTTTCTTTATTTCTGACTTTGAAATTGGTTTGTTAACGATCATATCCGCAAAAATCTTTTTCATAGAGGTAAGATTGGAATCTGAAAAGAGATCAGTATTTGCAAATTCGGTTGGTGAAATGACACTCGGAGAAGATTGCTCGTCCTTGGCACTGTAAGATGTTTGACCATGGGAATTGGATGCCATTCTTTCGAGGCGGTCATTCAAACTTTCACACGCTGTTGGTAGTACATGTATCACCTCTTCATTGGCATTTAATTGTTTTTTATTTAACTCTCTCTTAAGTCGATCATATACTCGTCTTGGTGACATTCCATCAAGCTGTTCGCTGTTTTCAACTTTGTCACGAACGATACCCATTGTAATTGTTTTAAGCTTTAATTCTTCTTTGAAGGTTTCATTCACAATTTGAATTTCGTCATCTTTCCAAGGAGTCCTCCTTTTAGTTTCAGACTTGTTGAAATCCTCCGAAACGTCAGCCTCACTTTCATCAGCGCTGTTTTCTTGATTCCGCATCAACTTCCCAAGTTTGGCTGAAGCTTCAATTGATGCTTTCGTTTTCTCCCATAAAAGGTAATATTTTTTAGCCGTAGATTCGTTATGCGACATAAGTCCTGCAAGCTTTTCACTTAGCTCAGGATTGCTTTCGTGCATCTTTGTGACTGCAGCTTTGCGGAACAACGTTGAAGTTACTTTGATATCGACTCCTGCTTTTTTAAAGACAGATTGAACTGCTTTATTGACCTGCCCGGACGTCATGCTTCTTGAATTCCATGTCAAAAATACAGAGCTGGTACTGGTATCTGAGTCGGTAACCGCAGGTCGCATCACCTCAACGAAAACATGCATCCACGCTTTCAATTTTTTGCTTAGCACAATGTAGGCTGGCCTGTGGACATGCGCAGTCTTGTGTTTCTTTACGGCTATAACGTATGTCCCATCTTCTTCCCCCATATTGTGAAATTTGTCTGTGGTCATGAATGAAAGGATCCCAGGTCTGTTGGCATTATCAATAAACAATTCAACCAGAAGAAAATCTCGTGCCAATATGTACAACGCTTGTACAACAGGTGCAGTTTCCGTAGGGTACGAATACTGACCGATAATCTTTATAGCTTCTCGGGCTGCTTCACTTTTCTCGAAATTTTGAATGCTCTCTGAGGTCAATAGGTTTTCTGTGTCCTCTTCGAGTTTTTGCCACCGTCGGGTACATGAATCTCTCTTGTATGTGGTTGACCAGAAATGGATTTTTTCTCTTTTTACGTTGATATCCTCAACATTAAACTCAACGCCATCTGGCTTTTCCGAAAGAAGGAACGAATAAAAATGTCGGAGACTCATCAAGTATGACTTAATTGCCACTGCCTCGTATTTCTTATTCTTCACGTAAGTTTCCAAAAAAATATTTCTGATCAGCATCATGTCTAATAGTGAATTGATATCACATGAACTATCTATTGCCAGGAGAATGCTCCACAGCTGGGCACTGTGCTGTAAGATCGTTTTTTCATCTCTTTTCCCCCCGTCTGGTGATCGCATCCAATTTTGAAAGGATACAAAGATAGGGTGTGAACTTTTATCTCTGGCATTGTTTTCCAAGGGTTTTCCATCCTGAATGGTTTCGTCTTCTAACCATGACAACGCATTTTGACTTATTGCTCGTCCTTCCCCCTTACTTCGATTGTGGAAATATCTTTAACCTATGTGTGACAATGACGGTATTGTGCTAAAATACCAAGTATAAGGTATCAGGCTAATTTAATCCAATATTCGGACCGAATTAGGATTCGGTTACACAGCAAAATGTGACACTGACATTTAGATATTGTTCGGTAGTCAGCAGAGTTGTAACATGACAGCCATAAAAGAAATCACTGATAGGTTAGACAGCATAAAAGGGCTGCTCCAGGAGCTTGTAAATAAAAAGAGGCAGGGTGACCCAGTTGTCACGCCACCACAGAAAAAAGCGAAATGGGGAAATTGCAGTCCCTCTAGGGAGCTCTCTAATGGATCGACACAGGTAAATATGGGTAAAAGATGTAAAAAAAAATCCAAGCAATGCACAGTGTCAAATAGGAAATACGTAATTTTTAATGCAATAGGGGGTTTAACAGACTATTTCATGTTACTGACACATTTGCCTCAAATAAATTTACTCAAAAAAGTGTAATTGTATTTCTTTCACTTTATCACAGAGAACAAATGCATCTCCTACTATGACTACTGTTACCAAAGAGATAGGTACAAACTCTTCCTCACTGATGTCCATACCATTCACAATGATGGCTGTTTCATGGGGGGAGAGTAGGGTATGTGTGCAGACTACAGTACCATGTTGGAATCAATGTTTTGATTGGAGCAATTTAAGAGGCTGCCATTGCCAATCATTGGCACCAAATAGTGTTAAGCAGCGAGTTTTGATTTAGTCCTGCTCAACCACGGGATGACTGTCTGCTGCCATTCAACACTAATGCTGTACAGCTACCAACGAAATATGATCAGCAGTTTTTCATTGGTTTGTTTCAAAATTTGTTTCGAAATTTGCTTAGTTAATTTTGAGACCAGTATACCGGTTTTATCGATTACATAAAGTTTCTGGATGCTGTTGGGCAGACATTGCCACACAAAAGAGCATTTAATTTTTGGGGGATGAATAAATTTGGTTAGTATTTACAAATCTGGCACATTTTTTTGTTAGTTTGTTTCGATTTTGTTGTATTGTTTTGCTTGACCTTGTTTACATAATATAAGTTATATTTAAAGTAACGCACCTGATTGGATAATAAAATTTGAAAGCCACTAAAGTGGTGAAGTGCACAATACTATATCTATTAATACGACTACGTCACTGTACAGCATTAGTGACAAATGGCCACAGACTGTTATCGTTCCACCACTGGGGGGGGGGGGGCAGTCTGTGTGCAGACTAGTTGTGATTGGTCCCAAGTAAAATAAATTGGTTTCTACTTTGTTGAACATTAAAAAACTTGTTTTCCCCATCTGAGATCATTGTACTATAACAAAACTCTATTTTTTATAGTTCCTTAACCATTGTATTTGTTTTAGTTAGGATGTGCTGTTGAAACAGGGCTTGCTGCCAAATAGCTATCACCAAATTTAATAAATGAATTGGCGAGGGATGCGTGTACCAGTATAAGGAACCACACAGCATATCCAAAGAAGAGTGAGAGAAAAATTATTGCCTCACTAAATGTGGAAACCTATCCATTTCTAAAAGACCCAATGATTGATGAAGGCAGTAAACCATGGGTATAAATAAGTATATTTTTTATCAATAGGGCTTATCAATTGGTGCAACTCTTTTGACCACTTGCTATCAGGGCAAGAAAATTGGTTGCCCTGAATTTTAAAATTCGTTTACTATTACATCTAACCTTCAGCCAATATAATAACAAAATTTGAAGCAAATGATTGTAGTAAGGTTGGATTTATCACACAATCGCTTAATATATGACACCAATCTTAAGGCGGTTTTCCAGTCCTCGCACAGAGCTCCTCGCAGCTCGCTCCGAGTGCTTGCCTCTAATTAAAAGTAACTGTTTAGCGTTGTGGTTGGATTAAAGTGCTCATGCATCACTCGCAGCGAGCTGCAAGCAGCTTTGTGCAAGGACTGGAAATCCGCCTTTTTAATATTTTTGAGCTGTGGTATTGGACAGTGTAAATACTGAAGTAGGACATATGCAGGTTCACATCAAATTATTTTCACCACCTGACCAAAACCTCGCTTTGGTGCTACTAAAAGAGGACATGGATAGTGCACAGTGTTACAAATCTGCATCTATACTGTATAATATGATTACAATATATTTTTATGTTTAGGGATCTTTGGAAATAAAGGAAAAAAGGAAAAAGTCAACAGATGGTGTTACCTGTGCTACCGGTATGGGAGGACAACCAAAAAAAGTTAAAGATTTATGCCGGACTTGTACCTGAGCAACTTGAAAGTGATGAGGTGATCCAAACTGTTGTGGCTTCCATTAAACAGGAGTGGAAAAAGTAAGAAGAACCATGACAATATTAAAGAGCATATGAAAACCACATATTCAAAGAGGAGGGCCATGGTTCTCCATGATATGAAACCGATTATGGAAATTGTGGAGATGTTTCCGCCTCTTCAAAATATTCTTTATAAAGTATAGTGTATTTGTGTCTTGTAAATAATTCCTTTTTGATGTTCAAAGTTGCAGTTATATCAGTTGTATTCAAAGGTGGTTGGTATTTGTCAACTTGGGTGATATTAACCCATTGAGTAACAATAACTCTCCACTTGACAAGTAAAATCGTCTGGTGCTAGACAGAATAAAATACTAAAGTAAGGCGTGTCATAATGCATTGCCGCTTTTTCATGATGCATTGCCACAATTACATATATAATTTGCTAGACTTCCGGAACTGCACTGAAATCAACCAATCACAGATTTTAATGTATATTATTAATTATGAAATATGCTAATTAATGTGTTCATATATTATACCATGAAACAGATCAAAGCTGATTTTTCTGAAGTGATGGGGGACCAAGAGCTGCCAAAGCAGGTTAAATTGAATTTTGTTGATGTCTGGAGCCCAAAGTTATTGGATTATGCAGAGAAACAGCTTCAGCCAAAGTGCAACCCTGTCATTAAGAAAATGGAGGAGGCTATTGACACTGGGTTTCTTGAGGAAGGTACAGTACAATAAATAGAGCCTTTGTATAGCATTTTTGCATACTCTGTCTAATGCCACAATTTTAGTCGCGACTGTTAGGCCCGGTTTAGACGGCGAACTTCTCATGCGCCGAATCTAATGCAAGAATTAAGTGCGACGCTGGAGCGGCGTCTAAATCAATTAAGTTCGACAGGTTTTGATTAAGTTCGACATGACTCGAATATGCGACAAGACAAGTCGTATATGCGACACAGGTTCGACATTGATTTAGACGCTGTGCTTTTCATGCGCCGAACCTAATGCATAATTATTTTTTAACATCATAATATGATTATCATATATTTGCATTGTAAATATGTCCAATATAGTGTCCTCGCAATTTGGTACGGTACAATTAAGTTCGATGTCTCTAAATCAGCTTCCGATATTTTGCCGTATCTACGACAATTAGATTCGGCACATGAAAAGTTCGCCGTCTAAACCGGGCCTTAGAATATACCAGTGTAGGTCAAGGTAACAAAACTATCTGCCAGACAATGTATCTTGTCTATCAAAATGTTTGTTGTTGTCTGAATGCCATTAATATGGTGTCTTTTTTAGTTGAATGCAAAGGTTGGCCTTCAGTGAAACTGGCTGAAATGATCTTCAAGGCCCCAAACAAGAAAGGCATGCACCATGAGGAGGAAGCTGTGTTAAAAGTTGTTACAGTATGTATATTATTTCTGTTATTGTTGGGCTCTTACACCATATTGGTTTGTCTTGAGATGGATGTGCACGTATTTGAAAGGGGGTATTGTAAGATGAACAAGTGAACAACTGCATGTCAGTGGATGTGTAAATTGATTGTGAACAATGTACAGTGACAGCTTTGATCCACCATAGCCCATACAAGACAAGGCTTTGCAACTCATTGTAATATATTGCTGTTCGTGTTATGGAAATTTATGCAACTTCAAGTCATTGTATTTTTCTGCATAATGAAGCTATCATCCAATAGCAACAAATAAAACAGTCAGACTAAATTAATAGTTACTGTGCATATGTACAAATCACCAAATTTATATATTAAGTAATCTAATGTCCCAATCTTTTGCAGGATACACATGAGTCGTTGGACAAAGTAATTGAAACCCAGATCCAACCAGCTATTGTGATGGCCAGTGACCTGTACCAGACTGACGTTATGTATGTCGTTGCTGAAGGAGCCATTCTAGTGGATATCAAGTCAAGAAAGATTGCGGATGCCTTGGTTGCCTTGTTAGCTATGTATTACATGTACAATGTAGAGCAAAAAGTGGGGAAAATGTGTTTTGCTTTCTGGACATGGTACTGATGGGTATTGTCCCACCAAAATGCCTAGCAATCTGTTAAGACCCTTATTGGTGTTCTGTCCAATATATAAATATGTAATGTTAAACTGTAAAATACACCTTTTTAAACTTGTATTGTGTTGTTATTGTCAACGATAAAATGGTGCTGTCTTTGGATTCAAAACAGCCCCTTTTGATAGAGCCAAAACAGCCCCTTTTGAAAGCACCAAAACAGCCCCTTTTTTGAAAGCACCAAAACAGCCCCTTTTGAAAGACCAAAACAGCCCCTTTTGAAGCACCAAAACAGCCCCTTTTGAAAGCACCAAAACAGCCCCTTTTAAAATAGCCAAAACAGCCCCTTTTGAAATAGACCAAAACAGCCCCTTTTGAAAATAGCCAAAACAGCCCCTTTTGAAAGAGCCAAAACAGTTGCATTTAGCAAGAGCCAAAACAGCCCCTTTTGAAAGCGCCAAAACAGCCCCTTTTGAAAGCGCCAAAACAGCCCCTTTTGAAATAGCCAAAACAGCCCCTTTTTGCAAGAGCCAAATCAGCCCCTTTTTGCAAGAGCCAAAACAGCCCCACATACGAGCTAAAATGGGCTTTCATACGAGCTAAAATGGGCCTTTTTGGGGTTTTGCAAGAGCCAAAACAGCCCCACATACGAGCTAAAATGGGCCTTTTTGGGGAGCTGAAATTGGCATCATTCTAATTATAAGATTGAATACAGCCCTTTGAAAGAACCAAAATGGCCCCACATAATAGCCAAAATGGCCCTTTTTTGCTAAACCTTCGAAATTCAACTATTTTTGCCTCAGCAAATAATTGCCAAAGCCTTTCGATCATTTTCGAGTTTGCCTCGGCAAATACTTTTGTTGAGGCACGCAATGAAATCACCTTAAATTCCTTTGGCAATTACTTCGGCATTTATGTCGGCAGTTGTAATTAAAGTAAGGTACATACAGAAATTATTGTAAACAAATATTATAATGAGCGTAGATTCTGAGACTTCTGACGTTCGACAATTTGTTGTTATTTTACAAATTCCTGATTCAAAATGTTTTTAAAAAGTTAGTGGTAATTTGCAACCAATTGTATGAAAGAATAAACTTGACGGTAAAATCACACAACAGTCTAAAATGTAAAACAAAGTCTCTCAATGTACCATCTTTAAACCATCAAGATTGTTCTTTATTTCAACCAAAGCTGACGCTGAAAAGCTCAAATTTAAATATTTTGTAAAGTAGCTATGAATGAATCTTCTGTTGTTCACCTGATGTCGATGACAACAATTCGAACAAAGAAGTGATACAAAAAACGAACACTGTAGTTTGTATATTTAAGGAGAAAAAAACGAACAGACACTGTAGTTTGTAGTGGGTGGAATTGCAAACTATGAAAAATCGTAACTTGCCTTAGCATTTGCATCGACAATTGCCAAGTGCCGAGGCGAATTTCAAGGGTTGAGTAGTAGCCGAAGTTGGCCCTATTTTAATGGGGCCAAAAACAGCGCCAAAATGGGGCCGTCTCAGGGTCAAAATTTCGGCCCCATTTTGGGGGCCAAAATGGCCCTTCTGAAATTACTGTGAATATTTCACTGAATATAATGAGTATTGCATGGAATAAATAAACAATGATTTTGACTTACTCTTAAAAAATTCATTAATAATTCACAAGGAAAATACAAAAGAAATGAATATTTAATCAATGTTTATAAATTGGATAAAGATTTGTCCTGATTTACATAAACTTCAGCCTTGAATTTCTCGGCTTAGGCAGTGTTTATTTTTAAAAAATGGGTCGTTTTTTAAGTATGATAAAACATTTGCATCCGATCTGTATCTGGATATACAAACTCTCACCTTCGGTTCGGCACCAACAAATGGTATAAATACTTACTTCGATTGTGGAAATATCTTGAACCTATGTCACAACAGGTATTGTGCTAAAACACCAAGTATAAGGTATCAGACCGAATTAGGATTTGGTTACACAGCAAAATGTGACATTGACAGTTAGATATTGTCCAGTAGTCAGCAGGGTTGTAACATGACAGCCATAAAAGAAATCACTGATAGGTTAGACAGCATAAAACGGCTGCTCCAGGAACTTGTAAATGAAAAAAAGAGGCAAGGTGACCAACAACATTTTTTTAGATAGTTGGTGGTGCTAACCTTTTGAGTGATATCTGGGCAAAATCCAAAAAACCAAACTTATATGCAACCAGCCTGCTGCCATATCTTTTCACCAACAAGGAAATGAGGGAGGGATCTGTGGAAATTGCAAGAAACGTGCCCTGGATCAAGAGAAAACTAACTTGATTAACTCATTAATGCCCGTATGCGCCCTGAGATTGACAAGTGGGTAACGGACAATGCGCCCGAATGCGCCCTGGCATGACACCTTAACTTGCGGGCATGATATTTGAGCACGTGTTTATCGGGTTGCCTAGCAACGGATACGAAAATAGAACGTGAAATTCGAGCTTTTCAACGGTGTATCATGCAAGAAAATCGGTCAGAAACTCGCAAAGTTTTTCAAGTTTAAAATCTTAGTTTTCCAAAAATAATGAATAATGGCGATTCTGTTACAAAGAAAGATTTTACAGCAAGTTTTAAAAGCAAGAAAAGAAGAGGTTTCTGAATCAACTACAACGAAAATTTGGCATGAAAGGAAAGCGAATGTATTGACGTTTTGGGGCCAAGTTTTTCTGTGAACCATGCGCGAGATTTTCAGCCAAAAAGATGAGGATTTCTCCAAACTTTATTAAAAATAGAAGTCGGAAATCACAAGAAAGATGAACACGGAACACAAATGAGCAGATACGATTTTTTAAAGGGTATTTTTGAGTAGAAATATGCGATCAAACACTCACAAAATTCGACTGCATTAATGTTGGTTGAATCTAGTTTAAAGTTATCTTTTTAGACGAACTGTTATGGCAAATTTGGGCACAATTTCGACTGTTTTCGTAACCCCATTGTTGGTCTTCTTGTTCAAGTTGTTATTTTAGCTAAAGTATGTTTCAAACGACACCAGATTAAATTACTGTGTGCGTACGTGCCCTATTTGGCAAGAATACTTCGAGTATTAAATTACACTAAGTAAGTAGGGTACTCCAAAATCACTGTTATATCTATTTTCATCAATTTAGTCTTAAAATGACAACTCGTTTCAGACATATTGTGGTTTGAAATAAGTGTATTGAATTAATGCGCTTGCTTGCCGCGTGCGAATTCTCAAAAAGTCCGCACTTGAGTTCTAATGCTTTTAAAATGCTTTTTGTATTGGGTTTTATATCCCCATAAAACTTTAAATCGATAAGGCAGATAGTAATGTTGATCCAACCTCATTTTCTAGTAACTACATGTTGAATCAGAAGGAAAAGTTATCAAAATTTGGTCGCGACGGTTGTTTGCCGTTGTTGTCGCTTCTCTCTGAAATGGCTTCCTTTGCGGGAAGCCATGAAACTGAAGTCCCACCAAAAACATAATTTAGCCGTCCTTTCGGGCCCATTGCTCGCTTATTTATCATGAAATCGTTTCACTAGAACATTTTTAATAATGTCTATGGGAAACTTTGTAATTTTCTGAACTAAAAGTGTATGGTTTTGAGGTGTTTATTTTATAAAATAGCACGCGCGACAAAATGGCACTAATGTGGTTTCTCATGTCTGACAAACAACCAAAGATGAAAGTCCTTATTTCACCCTTTTATATAGCTATGTTGAATACCTGACACCTGACTATTAGGTTATCTTTTTCATTTGAGCATACAGATAACATTTCTCACAATTAGTCCTAATGAAAGCTTATTTCAAACTAAAAAAAAGCGATTGTTTTTCAGAGCCAGACTTCAAAAGAGAACGCGTGTCTGACATTTTATAGCAGCCTACATTGGCGCGCAAAATAATTTTGGCTAAAAACCGTTTCTTTCCAAACAGAAACATGAGAAAATTGAGCTAAAAGGCTTACCTGATGTATGTTTAAAATGTTTTTCTCTTTATGGTGTTTTTCAGTGCTTTGAGTAGAGAAGTGAATAACTTTTGGTTTTGTCACCGCAATTTGCCTTTGAAAATGTCGGCTGTCATTGTCTGTGTTAAAAACACCTCAGAAAATTCCTATTTTCTCACCTTCCCATCCTTGGTTTATATTGAAAACAAATAGATTCTAGTACCGTATGTCCTTTTAAATATATTTGAGGTAATTAAAAACTCCAAAGATGTACAAGCACTGTGTTTTGGCTTGCACACTTTGTTGAATTTTAACACTTAGTTACTGTTCTAAATTTCATGTTGTAAACATCTTGCCCAAAAAAGCAAAGGAGTATTTTTATAATTTTTGATCATTTTCTAATTCATATCCCAATAGATGAAAACTGGTTATAATATAGATATGTACTAATTTAGTAAATAATTTTTTTTTTGGTTTTTATATAAATATATGGAGATATTGCCCCTTTAGGTGATGAGTGACATGAAAAAAATAGTGTCACTGGTTTACAAATAAAAATTCTCATTGAAAAAACTAATGATATATATAGGTATCCAAGTTCATTTAAACTACATTTGGTCAATCATATATTAATAATATTTGGTTGAAAAGACCAGATTTTTTCATGCAACTGTTTCTGAGATATTGCCATTTTGGTGAAAGCTCTTGAATTCAGTCACGTATTCGCCATATTGCTTGCACGTTAGGGGGGTAGAAACATTGTAACAGCTTGGGCGTTAATGAGTTAAGAGTAAGTTGATACTTATAATATTGACATAATCTATAACATAACAATAATAATATACCAATTCTTAAAATATGGTTGGTCTGTCGCATCAAGACTAATTAACATTTTATTTTCTTGTTTAGCAGAATGTACTGCCATGAAGTATGGAGAAAAAACATTCGTATCCAATCTGTATCTTGATATACAAACTCTCGCCTTCGGTTCGAGTTCGTATATCAGATACAGAGCGGCTGTTCATGTTTTGTCAAAAACCCAACAAATGTTCCATGTATTAACTTAATATACTAGAAAATACATGCATGTAGAAACCCTCGCATTGCTGACAAAACCTTTGTATTTTCCGAACTTGAAGTATCTAAAGTAGTTGTCATGGTAACACGATAGTTTTTTACGAACATTCTTAGAAATAAAAAAATCGCCTAAAAAATCACTTTTAATTGCAAAATTATCAATTTTGTACAACATATAGATGCTAGGTATGTTATTATATGAATATAAGCTTCAATTTAAGGTAAAATTCAACCACAAACGCTTCGCAAAGCGTTTTAAAGTGTTCTTTATAAAACTAAACTGCCTTTATTAATTAAATGGCTTTATCGATAAAGTTTGAGTTTGCAATAAAATGATTTCAAGTTCTCGCATGCAAATAACTTTGCTTTCTTTTTTATTTAAGATATTCAATTTAATAAAAGGGAATCAATATTAAAGATACACAGAAATTATATGCTGTCTTGTTTAGTTGTTTCATATACGCAAAGGCCGTTGGGTTTTAAAGCCATTATAAAATCAATATTTAAAACGAAATTACCTTCGTTAACGTCGGCACCCTTCTTTTAGCCGATTCTTTCGCCCTTTGTTTATGAGAAACCTTTTGAAGTTTACAAAATCTTGCAAAAATGCAAGCAAAAATAAAGTATATTTGCAAGAAATTTATCAATCATCAAATCAAGAAATGTTTGCTATTTTGCTGTTGTCATGCAGTCGTTATAATGCAAACTTTAAATTGGACCAATCACTCAACCAGGGTACGCTATTCATGACAGTCCACCATATTTTTGAGATCAGTGAGGATGACCACCCATCGTTTGTGACCCACACAGAACTTTAGACTTCGCTAATGCTTTCATTTCCCCGGGTGTAAATAGCCGGGGGAATTAGTACCCTCGCACGACACTTTGCGCCGGCGGCTCGGGGATAATTGAAGCTTTTAAATTCTGTGTGCAAGCCATATTTAGATTGCTCGAAAAGACACCCCCCTGGTTCACAAAATTTGAGTTTGGGAATTTATTTATTATTCTACATTATAAGTTCCCAAACAAGCTATATACATTTAAAACTGGATACTAATAGCTGTTTTGGGAAATTAAGAGCAATTTCAAATCTATTAAATTAAAAATAAAATATTATACATGCATTGATCCGAAATATTGAGTTGTGCCACTAAGATGACATCCAAATAGTCCGATCCAGTGTGGATAGAAAATAACAGTAACTCCGAATAACATTTTGATTTTTAATCGACGTTTTGACTAGTTTGTAGCAGTGGCATGCGGTCCAGCAAGTGCAGGCAAGCACCGTTGCCCTAACATTTAGATCTCAACAAAAATATTTGGAGATAATTTTGAAATCAACAATTCTAGATCTTTACTAATAAAACAGATTAAAAACATTGTTTATTACAGCGCCTAGTCCAGTTTAAATACGTAATGTAGCACCTATCAACAAGGGGGAATTTCGTTCTCGACCAATCAGCGCTTTTGTTTACATTTTTGCCCTAAGCCAATCAGAATGCATAAAACGCTTCATCACATGAAATTTGTAAACAAACATATGGGGTTACTTCAGAGCTTTTCTGCAAGCGTTTTTTTTTGTTTTTTTGCCATGAAATGCATATATGTTGTTCTTAAAAGAATTCTCCTCAACTTCCTCGTGGCTATTTTTTATTAATTGCGTGATTGCGAAGATATGGGTCTTCAAACTTTGCGTTGCGCAGGCTGAAATACCACCCCTCGAATTTGTAGGTTCCGAACGGATTAGCGTTTTTAAAAGCCTTAGAAATCGAGGTTTGAGAGGTTTTATTTTTTAAAAGATACTTTTATCTTCATATTTTCACATTAACTTATTAATATCCTGTGTAACAAGTAAACAGAGCATTTCCGGGCTGGGACAAGTTGACATGTCGATTTCTTGCCAAACAGCGTGGCGATCAATATGGCGAATATCTAAATACAGGGAATTTTTAAAATTTTGTTGGTATAAATGGGATAAAGAAGTTCATCAAATATTTGGACTATGGACCTTCAAACTTATGCCAAGTATTTATTTGATTGATTAGCTCAATAACTGTTTTTTGGCTCGTTTTTCGTCGATTTCGACATTTAGTCGAGCGTGTTGCAGCCTGTGGATATGAATATTTTCGTTTGTTTGACCATAACACTTTTCTTCACTGTTTTTAATCCTTGAATGACAATATATTCATTGGTCTCAGAGTCCTAAACTTAAGGAAGATGGATGACTTTGGGGCAGATATCAAAATTTTGTTCAGATATCAAAATTTATGGACATATATAGTCACAGAGCATAGTCATAGGACCCTCATTGTTTCTTCCTTAATCTGACCCACTAGTCACAAATGGGGCCTGTTCTTATGACCTGGCTAGGCAGGAGACAACATTTGCCAGTATTGCCGGTATACTATCCTGCTACTATCCTGGCTAAGCACAAGGTATCCGTTGCCAGAATCTCAACTATGCAAGCCAAGAAATTCACCATTTACAGTAAACATTCTATCCCACAACCAGGCAACATGAACTTGCCTTTAGGGTCCCATGCTGCGCCTAGCCCAGATCATATCAACAGACCCTTAGCAGATCCTGAAACTACAATTGGAACATAGGCCATAATCTTGTAGAATCAACCAGGTATTGTCAGTAGTATAATATCACACTGGGCATGCAAGCTGGTCTTGCCCATTTATATGGGCTAAATATACACCTGCCCATGGTAAGATACTGCCTCGTATATTAATTTTATATATGTTTGAGATTGCATTCACATGAAACAGCCTGGTTGAATTTATTGCCCCAGCATTTTGCTTGCGCAAGTTGATATCCTGCATTGGGAGTCGCACACTAATAAAGGTCATAAGCTGGCCAACCAGCTCACTGGACTAAAAATCATGTTATAATACACAATTTGGCCCAAGTAAGTAAGAAATTGATTAATATAAGCCTTCTGAAGCTGTTGTCATTAACAAATTAACCAGCATTTCACACAAATTTCTTGGCAACAGTTGCCAGGTTAGCCTGGCTCCTATGAGGCAAATGACAAACTAGCCCTCAAAAGAAAATCCAGCCATGTTTGCTGGTTTTTGTTTGTTTTTCTTTTGGAATTGGATCAAAAAGGTGGTTGCAGGTATTCAGATCCTGGAATGCTGTGGAATGGCCCTGCTGACCTGTTGGGACATTTTATTGGGTGAACATCAAATGATGTGTGGAGTGAAATGAAATTTCGATTAAATGTGACTGATAGAATTGGAATTGTATAGATAATGATGATTTTAGTGAATTATGTTATGACGATGCATGGACTGTGATGATGTTGGTCAAGCTTGATTTATAACATAGATATAAAGTGATTATACTGGTGATATATGAGTTGTAAAATGATATGAAATATAAGTGATACACAAGTCTGAACATTCAAGCTAAAATGAGACATGAATAGTAAAACTGTGACGTGTATGACTCGATTGATTGTTTTTGTAAAAATCGCGCAGGCATAACCCGGGTGCGTTTATAATGTGAGATGTATTGTGATGATGCCGAGACCTGGGTGAATGCCAATGTATCGCCACCCAGGTCAAGTCCCATGTGTTTTGTGTTCAAAACTAAGGTTATGTTCTCATCAGGCTCCAAGCATAACCGGGAAAGCACGTTTCGACCCCGCTAGCTGGTCTTGGAACTACGTGCCCGCATATAAATATTCATTTCTGTTCCCGTTTATATCAATTATACATGTATGACATGTGCTTGCGCGAAAAAATCTGTTGATTATTTCGCCTAGGAACAGTGTGAAAATTGGTTGAATTTGGTATGTATTCTTTGTAATGGGTGAAAATGATAAGAATCTCATGCGTAATGTGGTAATTTACGGTTACGGAATGTAAAAAATGAAATTTACTTACTGACAGATGTCGTAGAGCGTACTTTGCGTGTAGGCAAGGCGAAAAGAATTTTTAATGGGCGAGGGGTTCTAGAATTACGGCGGGAGGGGGGGATACTAAGATGTGAGGGGTTGGGATGGGATTAGGGTGACTTAGTTTGGGGGGGGGGTTAGTTGATGGGGTGTACACGGGTTTGGAATGTGGTTTGGGGTTAAAATTCCGGTGGGGATTGGGTTAGGTCTGGATTGCTGCTCAGGAAAGTGGATTGAGTTAGTTTTTAACAGTGTTGTAGGTTTGGGAAGTTTAGAGTGGGTTAGGTGTGTAAATGTTGTAGGAATGTGTCCCTGATAAAAGTGGAAACATCGGATGAAAATGTTATTGAGAGGTTGGAGTGGATAGCGAGGGATATATTGATGTTATGATAGCTTTGTAATGGCAGAGTTTGGGGCAGAAGTTTTTTGCCACAACATTTTTCGTTCTTTGAAAGGTGAATGGTGAGTTTGTGGATGGTGAGTGGTGATTAAAACAGTTACTTTTGAAAATTGTATTGATGGCTTTGTGGCCAAGTTTGCAACAAAGATTTTTTGCCTTTTATTTCTCGTTCTTTGAAAGTGAATGGTGAAGATATTCTTACGATGTTGGGATGGTTGGTCAGGGATATTTCAGGTGGGTTTTTGGTCTGGGTTTGGGGTGGATATGTATATAAAGATATATAAATATATATAAAAATGATATACAGAAAGTATATAAAAGATATACAAAAAAGATATACAGAAAGTATACAAGATATATAAGAATTATATAACCAAATTATATACAACTGTATAATAGGTGATGCTGTGGTGTCAATTAAATAAATCGGTCTGTGGTTGTATATTTTTATTTGTTAATAGTGTGTTGATTAAATTAAACTGTGTGAAGTGTTTGGATTATAGTATGTACAGATTTGATTGTTTGATTTGATTGGTGGAAAACATTTTTTGTTCTAATATTATTTACATTGGTTGCCTGATTTGTGGAATGTTCTGATCGATTAAGTGATTGATTGTATGCCGACTATATCCTACACATGCTTGGATTTGGGTTATGGATTTCCCTGTGGATTTGCCAATTTGGTGTCTTTCATGGGAGGCCTTCCCTAGTTCATAGTGGTAGAATCTACTGGTAATCAATATACAGGAAATTGTCTTGTCCTGTTCATTTCAACTGTATGCTGTAGATGTGATTTGAGTTGATTTCCCAGTCTTGGATAAGTTGGAGGTGGGGATCTCGGTTTATTGTGTAGATATCCATATTGTTGATCCTTGTTTGTTTGATACATCCATTGGTGGGTATCTTTAGGGGGGGGTGGTGGTTGGGGGGGAGGGGTTGTGTCTATTTTGGCATGTGATGTTGGTGAGACAATGTGGGTGATTGGGTGAATTTGGTGCGGACGAAGTGTTCTTTGAGATTTTTGTGACGTTGATAGGCTATGACTGGTTGTTCTGGCCATACCCGTGATAAAACAGGATCGTTTTCAATATAATGCCAGTGTTGTGTGAGAATGTGTGAGAGTGGTGCGAGATCTGGATTGTATGGAATGACGAATGGTAATGTTCGTGTGTTGTTTTTGGGTGTGGTGTTTATGAGTAATTGTGACTGGGTGTACGATGAGGCTTTGTTGATGTGAGGGAGAATATCTTTATCTTTATATCCTCTTCCAATAAGTGCGACCCGGAGGTTTTGTGCCTTTTCTTGGAATTCTTTGTCACTAGTGATTATCCTCCTGTATCTCAGCATTTGACTATATATTAAGCCTTTTTTGCATGTTTCTGGATGGTGTGATGATTGATGTAGGAGTGGCATGCGGTCTGTGGGTTTAGTGTAGAGTGTGGTAGCAAGTGTTTTTTGTGGAGTGACATAGACTGTGGTGTCGAGGAAGTTGACACTCTCGGTGGAGTGTGAGATTTCAAATTTGATGGTTGGGTGTGCTGAGTTGAGATGTGTGATGAATGTTTGGAATGATTCCTCCCCATGTGTCCAGATCAAAAATATATCATCAATGAATCTTTTCCATAGGAGGGGTATGAGGTGATCTGGTGCAGATGACAGAAGTGATTCTTCTAGTGCACCCATGAAGATGTTTGCAAATGATGGTGCCATTTTGGTGCCCATGGCAGTGCCATGTTTTTGTAAGTAAAGTTGATCATTGAATATGAAATAGTTTTCTTTTAGGATGTGTATTAGGAATTGATGTATTACTTTGCGGAGTGGCCATATGCGTCCATGTTTGGTGTCTAGTGCTTCAAGTGTTGCACGGATCCCTTCATCATGTGGAATGTTGGTGTAGAGTGACTTGACATCAATTGTGGCAAGAATGGTGTTAGGTGGTAGTGGTGTGGTGATGTTGAATATGGTTTGTAGAAAATGATTGGTGTCCTTGATGTAGGAGGGAAGTGAACTGCATAATGGTTTGAGGTGTGTGTCGATGAATGAGGAGAGCCTATCTGTGGGTGAATCGCATCCTGATATTGTTGGTCGCCCTGGGTTATTGGGCTTGTGTATTTTTGGTAAGAGGTAAAAGATGGGTGTGCGTGGTGGTGAGGGTGGCAATAGGTATTTGAGTGTTTTGTAGTCAATGTCTCCAAATTTGAAGAGATCCTTGACATAATTGGTGATTGTGTTGGTTTGTGCTGTGATGATCATGTCTGGCTGGGCCTGTATTTTTTCATAATATTTGTTGTCATTGAGTTGAGAGAGTGCCTCCTTTTCATAATCAGTCGTTGACCATATGATGATGGCACCTCCCTTATCTGCTGGTTTAATGACATATTCTTGATTATGAATGCTGTAGTTTGTAAGGAATGACATTTCGTTTTCATTTAAGTTGGAACTTGGCTGATTATGTGAGTTGTGCTTGAAGACCCGTTGAATGGATTCTGCCACAGAGGCAATGTATGAAAGTAAATTTGGATTGTCTGGAAGGGGTGGTGACCATGTACTTTGGGTTTTGAAAGGGTTGGGATGGTCATTGGAAAAATGTCTGAAGTGGTAGTGTATATACATGGTTCTTCTGAAGCGTTTGAATGAGTCGACAATTGTTTGTAGGTGGGTATTGGTTGGTGTTGGAACAAATTTGAGGCCCTTGGAGAGGATGCATTTCAGTGGTGGTGCTGGTTCATGGTTGGTGAGATTTACTATGAGGTTGTTATTGGTGTGAGTTTGGATTTGTGAACGATAGTGTTTCTTGTCATGGTTTTTTCTGTGGGCTCTTCTGTGTGGTTGTTCATGGAGGAAAGATTTTATTGCTTTCCTTTCATGAACATGTTGTAAATTGTGGGGAACTGTGCTTGTTTCCCCTTCAGCTGTTGCTTGATGGATGAGTGCATGATGCTTGCTAGAGGTGGAGTTGTGGTTATTGGTGGGCGTGGTGGTGTGTGGTTGCTGGGTGGAGGTGGTACCCGTAGTGGTGGTTTGGTGTGGCATGTGATGGTCCCCTGTGTTGGTGGTGATGTGGTCTTCTCTGAAAAACCTGCTTTTCAGGTTTCCTGGTAGGTGGTGTGGTGATTGCTGTGGTTTTAGGGCGTTTTGATTGATTTTTGGTGTTTGGTTTGGGTGTTATTTTGCGTTTCGATGGTGTTTGTGGTGCGATGGTGGTTTGTGGGTGCTTGCGATGTGGATAAGTGTGGTCGACAGCCCCTGTGGGAGATTGTCGTTTAGGTCTGTGGAGAGTGATGAGATTTGTGCATCAATTTTTGATGATTCCTCCGAGTGGTGTTGGTGCAGGATGTTTGTGAGGTGGGACATGCAGTCCTGAATGCCAGTGTCCCATGCTTCCTTGAGCTTTGGTGACAACTGGACCCAGGGTTGTACACTGATGTTAAGACCCGCTGGTGCTGTGTGGTTTGTTATGTGCTTGTCGAGGATGGCCAATTGTCGTTGATGGTCATTTTTGCAGTGGTTGAGTTCAACAAGTTTGTTGAATATGGTGGTTGTGTGGTGTGTGTTGGTGGGAGTGATGAGTGCTTGGGATGTGTTTGTGGTTTGGTGTGTTTGTGGATTTTGTGGTGTGATTGCTTGGGATGTGGTTGGGGATGTTGGGGTGAAGGTATCTTTGGGTGTGGATGGGATGGCGGTTGGAGACACGATTGGGGTAATGGGTTTGGTCTGGGTGGAGGGTGGGGTTGTGTCCATGGCAGTGGGACTCTGTGGCGCGATTGCTTGGGATGTGGTTGGGGATATTAGGGTGAAGGTGTCTTTGGGTGTGGATGGGATGGTGGTTGGAGACACGATTGGGGTACTGGGTTGGGTCTGGGTGCGGGTTGGGGTTGTGTCCATGGTGGTGGGACTCTGTGGCGTGCTGGTTGGTGGATTAACAGGTGTGGTGGATTGTGGGAGAATTGAAATTGGATTGGTCAATATGGTGGATGGTGAGTTTGATGGTGTTTTGGTGAACAGATTGTTTTCAAAGTCAGGGTCTGATATGACGAGTAAACGTTGTAGCGTCTCTATTTCAAACCCAATCTGACTGTGTTCAGCATCCATTTTTTAATTTACTTGGATGGATGTCTTCTAATATCCTGATAAATGAATTTGGGTTGCATTATGAGTGAATGTGTTCCAGTATTGTATATGGACATGAACCTCGTACATGTTTGCGAGGTTGGATGTGGGGCAAGTTAGTTGATATGGAAAAATGGTTATGAATCTGTAAATAAGTTTATTATTCGATTCATTGTTCAGCCCATGTGGCCATTATTTATTAATTAACTAATTAATTAACTAATTAATTAACCAGGAGATCTCTTGATGCTTAACTTTTTCCTGCCAATACATAGCAAATTTTTGTTTGTTTTTCTTTTGGAATTGGATCAAAAAGGTGGTTGCAGGTATTCAGATCCTGGAATGCTGTGGAATGGCCCTGCTGACCTGTTGGGACATTTTATTGGGTGAACATCAAATGATGTGTGGAGTGAAATGAAATTTCGATTAAATGTGACTGATGGAATTGGAATGGTATAGATAATGATTATGTGTGTGATATATATTGGAATGGTATAGATAATGATTATGTGTATGAATGATAGTGAATTATGTTATGATGATGCATGGACTGTGATGTTGGTGAAGCTTGATTTATAACATAGATATAAAGTCATGATACTGGTGATATATGAGTTGTAAAATGATATGAAATATAAGTGATACACAAGTCTGAACATTCAAGCTAAAATGAGACATGAATAGTAAAACTGTGACGTGTATGACTCGATTGATTGTTTTTGTGAAAATCGTGCAGGCATAACCCGGGTGCGTTTATAATGTGAGATGTATTGTGATGATGCCAAGACCTGGGTGAATGCCAATGTATCGCCACCCAGGTCAAGTCCCATGTGTTTTGTGTTCAAAACTAAGGTTATGTTCTCATCAGGCTCCAAGCATAACCGGGAAAGCACGTTTCGACCCCGCTAGCTGGTCTTGGAACTACGTGCCCGCATATAAATATTCATTTCTGTTCCCGTTTATATAAATTATACATGTATGACATGTGCTTGCGCGAAAAAATCTGTTGATTATTTCGCCTAGGAACAGTGTGAAAATTGGTTGAATTTGGTATGTATTCTTTGTAATGGGTGAAAATGATAAGAATGTCATGCGTAATGTGGTAATTTACGGTTACGGAATGTAAAAAATGAAATTTACTTACTGATAGATGTCGTAGAGCGTACTTTGCGTGTAGGCAAGGCGAAAAGAATTTTTAATGGGCGAGGGGTTCTAGAATTACGTCGGGGGGGGAATACTGAGATGTGAGGGGTTGGGATGGGATAAGGGTGACTTAGTTGGGGGGGGGGTTAGTTGATGGGGTGTACATGGGTTTGGAATGTGGTTTGGGGTTAAAATTCCGGTGGGGATTGGGTTAGGTCTGGATTGCTGCTCAGGAAAGTGGATTGAGTTAGTTTTTAACAGTGTTGTAGGTTTGGGAAGTTCAGAGTGGGTTAGGTGTGTAAATGTTGTAGGAATGTGTCCCTGATGAAAGTGGAAACATCGGATGAAAATGTTATTGAGAGGTTGGAGTGGATAGCGAGGGATATATTGATGTTATGATAGCTTTGTAATGGCAGAGTTTGTGGCAGAAGTTTTTTGCCACAACATTTTTCGTTCTTTGAAAGGTGAATGGTAGTTCGAAATGGAAGTGACGGTGGTGTGTGATATATATTGTGAATGCTCCGTGGCGCACTGTGTGGCAAAAGGCTTTCTGCCATGAAATTTGTAATTAAAGTTTGTGGATGGTGAGTGGTGATTAAAACAGTTACTTTTGAAAATTGTATTGATGGCTTTGTGGCCGAGTTTGCGACAAAGATTTTTTGCCTTTTATTTCTCGTTCTTTGAAAGTGAATGGTGAGATATTCTTACGATGTTGGGATGGTTGGTCAGGGATATTTCAGGTGGGTTTTTGGTCTGGGTTTGGGGTGGATATGTATATAAAGATATATAAATATATATAAAAAGGATATACAGAAAGTATATAAAAGATATACAAAAAGGATATACAGGAAGTATACAAGATATATAAAAATTATATAACCAAATTATATACAACTGTATAATAGGTGATGCTGTGGTGTCAATTAAATAAATCGGTCTGTGGTTGTATATTTTTATTTGTTAATTGTGTGTTGATTAAATTAAACTGTGTGAAGTGGTTGGATTATAGTATGTACAGATTTGATTGTTTGATTTGATTGGTGGAAAACATTTTTTGTTCTAATATTATTTACATTGGTTGCCTGATTCGTGGAATGTTCTGATCGATTAAGTGATTGATTGTATGCCGACTATATCCTACACATGCTTGGATTTGGGTTATGGATTTCCCTGTGGATTTGCCAATTTGGTGTCTTTCATGGGAGGCCTTCCCTAGTTCATCGTGGTAGAATCTACTGGTAATCAATATACAGGAAATTGTCTTGTCCTGTTCATTTCAACTGTATGCTGTAGATGTGATTTGAGTTGATTTCCCAGTCTTGGATAAGTTGGAGGTGGGGATCTCGGTTTATTGTGTAGATATCCATATTGTTGATCCTTGTTTGTTTGATACATCCATTGGTGGGTATCTTTAGAGTTAGGAATTTATTGAGTGATGGTTAGAGGAAGGGGTTGTGTCTATTTCGGCATGTGATGTTGGTGAGACAATGTGGGTGATTGGGTGAATTTGGTGCGGACGAAGTGTTCTTTGAGATTTTTGTGACGTTGATAGGCTATGACTGGTTGTTCTGGCCATACCCGTGATAAAACAGGATCGTTTTCAATATAATGCCAGTGTTGTGTGAGAATGTGTGAGAGTGGTGCGAGATCTGGATTGTATGGAATGACGAATGGTAATGTTCGTGTGTTGTTTTTGGATGTGGTGTTTATGAGCAATTGTGACTGGGTGTACGATGAGGCTTTGTTGATGTGAGGGAGAATATCTTTATCTTTATATCCTCTTCCAATAAGTGCGACCCGGAGGTTTTGTGCCTTTTCTTGGAATTCTTTGTCACTAGTGATTATCCTCCTGTCTCTCAGCATTTGACTATATATTAAGCCTTTTTTGCATGTTTCTGGATGGTGTGATGATTGATGTAGGAGTGGCATGCGGTCTGTGGGTTTAATGTAGAGTGTGGTAGCAAGTGTTTTTTGTGGAGTGACATAGACTGTGGTGTCGAGGAAGTTGACACTCTCGGTGGAGTGTGAGATTTCAAATTTGATGGTTGGGTGTGCTGAGTTGAGATGTGTGATGAATGTTTGGAATGATTCCTCCCCATGTGTCCAGATCAAAAATATATCATCAATGAATCTTTTCCATAGGAGGGGTATGAGGTGATCTGGTGCAGATGACAGAAGTGATTCTTCTAGTGCACCCATGAAGATGTTTGCAAATGATGGTGCCATTTTGGTGCCCATGGCAGTGCCATGTTCTTGTAAGTAAAGTTGATCATTGAATGTGAAATAGTTTTCTTTTAGGATGTGTATTAGGAATTGATGTATTACTTTGCGGAGTGGCCACATGCGTCCATGTTTGGTGTCTAGTGCTTCAAGTGTTGCACGGATCCCTTCCTCATGTGGAATGTTGGTATAGAGTGACTTGACATCAATTGTGGCAAGAATGGTGTTAGGTGGTAGTGGTGTGGTGATGTTGAATATGGTTTGTAGAAAATGATTGGTGTCCTTGATGTAGGAGGGAAGTGAACTGCATAATGGTTTGAGGTGTGTGTCGATGAATGAGGAGAGCCTGTCTGTGGGTGAATCGCATCCTGATATGATTGGTCGCCCTGGGTTATTGGGCTTGTGTATTTTTGGTAAGAGGTAAAAGATGGGTGTGCGTGGTGGTGAGGGTGGCAATAGGTATTTGAGTGTTTTGTAGTCAATGTCTCCAAATTTGAAGAGATCCTTGACATAATTGGTGATTGTGTTGGTTTGTGCTGTGATGATCATGTCTGGCTGGGCCTGTATTTTTTCATAATATTTGTTGTCATTGAGTTGAGAGAGTGCCTCCTTTTCATAATCAGTCGTTGACCATATGACGATCGCACCTCCCTTATCTGCTGGTTTAATGACATATTCTTGATTATGAATGCTGTAGTTTGTAAGGAATGACATTTCGTTTTCATTTAAGTTGGAACTTGGCTGATTACGTGAGTTGTGCTTGAAGACCCGTTGAATGGATTCTGCCACAGAGGCAATGTATGAAAGTAAATTTGGATTGTCTGGAAGTGGTGGTGACCATGTACTTTGGGTTTTGAAAGGGTTGGGATGGTCATTGGAAAAATGTCTGAAGTGGTAGTGTATATACATGGATCTTCTGAAGCGTTTGAATGAGTCGACAATTGTTTGTAGGTGGGTATTGGTTGGTGTTGGAACAAATTTGAGGCCCTTGGAGAGGATGCATTTCAGTGGTGGTGCTGGTTCATGGTTGGTGAGATTTACTATGAGGTTCTTATTGGTGTGAGTTTGGATTTGTGAACGATAGTGTTTCTTGTCATGTTTTTTTCTGTGGGCTCTTCTGTGTGGTTGTTCATGGAGGAAAGATTTTATTGCTTTCCTTTCATGAACATGTTGTAAATTGTGGGGAACTGTGCTTGTTTCCCCTTCAGCTGTTGCTTGATGGATGAGTGCATGATGCTTGCTAGAGGTGGAGTTGTGGTTATTGGTGGGCGTGGTGGTGTGTGATTGCTGGGTGGAGGTGGTACCCGTAGTGGTGGTTTGGGTGTGGCATGTCATGGTCCCCTGTGTTGGTGGTGATGTGGTCTTCTCTGAAAAACCTGCTTTTCAGGTTTCCTGGTAGGTGGTGTGGTGATTGCTGTGGTTTTAGGGCGTTTTGATTGATTTTTGGTGTTTGGTTTGGGTGTTATTTTGCGTTTCGATGGTGGTTTGTGGTTCGATGGTGGTTTGTGGGTGCTTGCGATGTGGATAAGTGTGGTCGACAGCCCCTGTGGGAGATTGTCGTTTAGGTCTGTGGAAAGTGATGAGATTTGTGCATCAATTTTTGATGATTCCTCCGAGTGGTGTTGGTGCAGGATGTTTGTGAGGTGGGACATGCAGTCCCGAATGCCAGTGTCCCATGCTTCCTTGAGCTTTGGTGACAACTGGACCCAGGGTTGTACACTGATGTTAAGACCAGCTGGTGCTGTGTGGTTTGTTATGTGCTTGTCGAGGATGGCCAATTGTCGTTGATGGTCATTTTTGCGGTGGTTGAGTTCAACAAGTTTGTTGAATATGGTGGTTGTGTGGTGTGTGTTGGTGGGAGTGATGAGTGTTTGGGATGTGTTGGTGGTTTGGTGTGTTTGTGGATTTTGTGGTGTGATTGCTTGGGATGTGGTTGGGGATGTTGGGGGTGAAGGTATCTTTGGGTGTGGATGGGATGGCGGTTGGAGACACGATTGGGGTAATGGGTTTGGTCTGGGTGGAGGGTGGGGTTGTGTCCATGGCAGTGGGACTCTGTGGCGCGATTGCTTGGGATGTGGTTGGGGATGTTAGGGTAAAGGTGTCTTTGGGTGTGCATGGGATGGCGGTTGGAGACACGATTGGGGTACTGGGTTGGGTCTGGGTGGGGGTTGTGTCCATGGTGGTGGGACTCTGTGGCGTGCTGGTTGGTGGATTAACAGGTGTGGTGGATTGTGGGAGAATTGAAATTGGATTGGTCAATATGGTGGATGGTGAGTTTGATGGTGTTTTGGTGAACAGATTGTTTTCAAAGTCAGGGTCTGATATGACGAGTAAACGTTGTAGCGTCTCTATTTCAAACCCAATCTAACTGTGTTCAGCATCCATTTTTTAATTTACTTGGATGGATGTCTTCTAATATCCTGATAAATGAATTTGGGTTGCATTATGAGTGAATGTGTTGCAGTATTCTATATGGACATGAACCTCATACATGTTTGTGAGGTTGGATGTGGGGCAAGTTAGTTGATATGGAAAAATGGTTATGAATCTGTAAATAAGTTTATTATTCGGTTCATTGTTCAGCCCATGTGGCCATTATTTATTAATTAACTAATTAATTAAAAAATGTAAATTGATACAGTACATTCTAACACTATGAACTAGGGAAGGCCTCCCATGAAAGACACCGAATTGGCGAATCCACAGGGAAATCCATAACCCAAATCCGAACATGTGTAGGATATATTCGGCTTACAATCAATTACTGAATCGATCAGAACATTCCACCAATCAGGCAACCAAATTACTTAATCGATCAGAACATTCCACCAATCAGGCAACCAATGTAAATAGTTTTAGAACAATCAAATTAAACAATCAAATCTGTACATACTATAATCCAAACACTTCACACAGTTTAATTTAATCAACACACAATTAACAAATAAAAGTATACAACCACAGACCGATTTATTAAATTCACACCACAGCATCACCTATTATACAGTTGTATATAATTTTATATATTTTTTGTATACTTTCTGTATATCTTTTATATATATTTATATATCTTTATATACATATCCACCCCAAACCCAGACGAAAAACCCACCTGAAATATTCCTGACCAACCATCCCAACATCATAAGAATATCTCACCATTCACTTTCAAAGAACGAGAAATAAAAGGCAAAACATCTTTGTCGCAATTCGGCCACAAAGCCATCAAAACAATCTTCAATAGTATCTGTTTTAATCACCATTCACCACCCACAAATATTAATTACAAATTTCGTGGCAGAAAGCTTTTTGCCACACACTGTGCCACGGAGCATTCGCAATATATATCACACACCACCGTCACTTCCATTTCGAACTACCATTCACCTTTCAAATAACGAGAAATAGACGGTAAACCACTAACAATGTTGTGGCAAAAAACTTCTGCCACAAACTCTGCCATTACAGAGCTATCATAACACCAATATATCCCTCGCTATCCACTTCAACCTCTCAATAAACATTTTCATCCGATGCTTCCACTTTCATCAGGGACACATTCCTACAACATTTACACACCTAACCCACTCTAAACTTCCTAAACCTACAGCACTGTTAAAAACTAACTCAATCCACTATCCTGAGCAGCAATCCAGACCTAACCCAATCCCCACCAGAATTTTAACCCCAAACCACATTCCAAACCCGTGTACACACCATCAACTAACCCTCCCCAACCAAGCCACCCTGATCCCATCCCAACCCCTCACATCTCATCCCCCCCGCCGACGTAATTCTAGAACCCCTCGCCCACTAAAAATTCCTTTTCGCCTTGCCTACACGCAAAGTACGCTCTACGACATCTATCAGTAAGTAAATTTCATTTTTTACATTCCGTAACCGTAAATTACCACATTACGCATGAGATTCTTATCATTTTCACCCATTACAAAGAATACACACCAAATTCAACCAATTTTCACACTGTTCCTAGGCGAAATAATCAACAGATTTTTTCGCGCAAGCACATGTCATACATGTATAATTCATACAAACGGGAACAGAAATGAATATTTATATGCGGGCACGTAGTTCCAAGACCGGCTAGCGGGGTCGAAACGTGCTTTCCCGGTTATGCTTGGAGCCTGATGAGAACATAACCTTAGTTTTGAACACAAAACACATGGGACTTGACCTGGGTGGCGATACATTGGCATTCACCCAGGTCTTGGCATCATCACAATACATCTCGCATTATAAACGCACCCGGGTTATGCCTGCACGATTTTCACAAAAACAATCAATCGAGTCATACACGTCACAGTTTTACTATTCATGTCTCATTTTAGCTTGAATGTTCAGACTTGTGTATCACTTATATTTCATATCATTTTACAACTCATATATCACCAGTATCATCACTTTATATCTATGTTATAAATCAAGCTTCACCAACATCATCACAGTCCATGCATCATAACATAATTCACTAAAATCATCATTATCTATACCATTCCAATTCTATCAGTCACATTTAATCGAAATTTCATTTCACTCCACACATCATTTGATGTTCACCCAATAAAATGTCCCAACAGGTCAGCAGGGCCATTCCACAGCATTCCAGGATCTGAATACCTGCAACCACCTTTTTGATCCAATTCCAAAAGAAAAAACATTCGTATCCAATCTGTATCTTGATATACAAACTCTCGCCTTTGGTTCAAGTTCGTATATCAGATACAGAGCGGCTGTTCATGTTTTGTCAAAAACCCAACAAATGTTCCATGTATTAACTTAATATACTAGAAAATACATGCATGTAGAAACCCTCGCATTGCTGACAAAACCTTTGTATTTTCCGAACTTGAAGTATCTAAAGTAGTTGTCATGGTAACACGATAGTTTTTTAGGAACATTCTTAGAAATAAAAAAATCGCCTAAAAAGTCACTTTTAATTGCAAAATTATCAATGTTGTACAACATATAGATGCTAGGTATGTTATTATATGAATATAAGCTTCAATTTAAGGTAAAATTCAACCACAAACGCTTCGCAAAGCGTTTTAAAGTGTTCTTTATAAAACTAAACTGCCTTTATTAATTAAATGGCTTTATCGATAAAGTTTGAGTTTGCAATAAAATGATTTCAAGTTCTCGCATGCAAATAACTTTGCTTTCTTTTTTATTTAAGATATTCAATTTAATAAAAGGGAATCAATATTAAAGATACACGGAAATTATATGCTGTCTTGTTTAGTTGTTTCACATACGCAAAGGCCGTTGGGTTTTAAAGCCATTATAAAATCAATATTTAAAACGAAATTACCTTCGTTAACGTCGGCACCCTTCTTTTAGCCGATTCTTTCGCCCTTTGTTTATGAGAAACCTTTTGAAATTTACAAAATCTTGCAAAAATGCGAGCAAAAATAAAATATATTTGCAAGAAATTTATCAATCATCAAATCAAGAAATGTTTGCTATTTTGCTGTTGTCATGCAGTCGTTATAATGCAAACTTTAAATTGGACCAATCACTCAACCAGTGTACGCTATTCATGACAGTCCAGCATATTTTTGAGATCAGTGAGGATGACCACCCATCGTTGGTGACCCACACAGAACTTTAGACTTTGCTAATGCTTTCATTTCCCCGGGTGTAAATAGCCGGGGGAATTAGTACCCTCGCACGACACTTTGCGCCGGCGGCTCGGGGATAATTGAAGCTTTTAAATTCTGTGTGCAAGCCATATTTAGATTGCTCGAAAAGACACCCCCCTGGTTCACAAAATTTGAGTTTGGGAATTTATTTATTATTCTACATTATAAGTTCCCAAACAAGCTATATACATTTAAAACTGGATACTAATAGCTGTTTTGGGAAATTAAGAGCAATTTCAAATCTATTAAATTAAAAATAAAATATTATACATGCATTGATCCGAAATATTGAGTTGTGCCACTAAGATGACATCCAAATAGTCCGATCCAGTGTGGATAGAAAATAACAGTAACTACGAATAACATTTTGATTTTTAATCGACGTTTTGACTAGTTTGTAGCAGTGGCATGCGGTCCAGCAAGTGCAGGCAAGCACCGTTGCCCTAACATTTAGATCTCAACAAAAATATTTGGAGATAATTTTGAAATCAACAATTCTAGATCTTTACTAATAAAACAGATTAAAAACATTGTTTATTACAGCGCCTAGTCCAGTTTAAATACGTAATGTAGCACCTATCAACAAGGGGGAATTTCGTTCTCGACCAATCAGCGCTTTTGTTTACATTTTTGCCCTAAGCCAATCAGAATGCGTAAAACGCTTCATCACATGAAATTTGTAAACAAACATATGGGGTTACTTCAGAGCTTTTCTGCAAGCGGTTTTTTTGTTTTTTTGCCATGAAATTCATATATGTTGTTCTTAAAAGAATTCTCCTCAACTTCCTCGTGGCGATTTTTGATTAATTGCATGATTGCGAAGATATGGGTCTTCAAACTTTGCGTTGCGCAGGCTTAAATACCACCCCTCGAATTTGTAGGTTCCGAACGGATTAGCGTTTTTAAAAGCCTTTCAAATCGAGGTTTGAGAGGTTTTATTTTTTAAAAGATACTTTTATCTTCATATTTTCACATTAACTTATTAATATCCTGTGTAACAAGTAAACAGAGCATTTCCGGGCCGGGACAAGTTGACATGTCGATTTCTTGCCAAACAGCGTGGCGATCAATATGGCGAATATCTAAATACAGGGAATTTTTAAAATTTTGTTGGTATAAATGGGATAAAGAAGTTCATCAAATATTTGGACTATGGACCTTCAAACTTATGCCAAGTATTTATTTGATTGATTAGCTCAATAACTGTTTTTTGGCTCGTTTTTCATCGATTTCGACATTTAGTCGAGCGTGTTGCAGCCTGTGGATATGAATATTTTCGTTTGTTTGACCATAACACTTTTCTTCACTGTTTTTAATCCTTGAATGACAATATATTCATTGGTCTCAGAGTCCTAAACTTAAGGAAGATGGATGACTTTGGGGCAGATATCAAAATTTTGTTCAGATATCAAAATTTATGGACATATATAGTCACAGAGCATAGTCATAGGACCCTCATTGTTTCTTCCTTAATCTGGCCCACTAGTCACAAATGGGGCCTGTTCTTATGACCTGGCTAGGCAGGAGACAACATTTGTCAGTATTGGCGGTATACTATCCTGCTACTATCCTGGCTAAGCACAAGGTATCCGTTGCCAGAATCCCAACTATGCAAGCCAAGAAATTCACCATTTACAGTAAACATTCTATCCCACAACCAGGCAACATGAACTTGTCTTTAGGGTCCCATGCTGCGCCTAGCCCAGATCATATCAACAGACCCTTAGCAGATCCTGAAACTACAATTGGAACATAGGCCATAATCTTGTAGAATCAACCAGGTATTGTCAGTAGTATAATATCACACTGGGCATGCAAGCTGGTCTTGCCCATTTATATGGGCTAAATATACACCTGCCCATGGTAAGATACTGCCTCGTATATTAATTTTATATATGTTTGAGATTGCATTCACATGAAACAGCCTGGTTGAATTTATTGGCCCAGCATTTTGCTTGAGCAAGTTGATATCCTGCATTGGGAGTCTCACACTAATAAAGGTCATAAGCTGGCCAACCAGCTCACTCGACTAAAAATCATGTTATAATACACAATTTGGCCCAAGTAAGTAAGAAATTGATTAATATAAGCCTTCTGAAGCTGTTGTCATTAACAAATTAACCAGCATTTCACACAAATTTCTTGACAACAGTTGCCAGGTTAGCCTGGCTCCTATGAGGCAAATGACAAACTAGCCCTCAAAAGAAAATCCAGCCATGTTTGCTGGGCTAGCATGGCCCATTTTGACAGCCCTTAACAGGGAGAGCTTATTTTTGGAAGGGAGATCTGATTTTTGGAAGGGAGGCCTATTTGTGAGGTTACTGGGGGCTTAATATTGGATTGCATTATATAATATGTGTAAAATATTCATTTGTGCACAGGTATTCTGGTAATGCACAAATTTATGGACTAAAATGTTTCAATTATAGTAGATCGGGATCTATTGGGGACCTGTTTATATGATCTAGACTATCCAGAACACATGCTTGAAGCCTAATTCATGTTGCCTGTTTGGTATACAGTGCTTATTGTATATGGTGAATTTCTTGGCGTACATATAGCTAGGATTCTGGCAATGGAAACCTCACGCTTAGCTAGGCCGATAGTAGCAGGATAGGATAGAACATACTTGCAAATGTCGTCTCCCACCTAGCCAGGTAATATGAACAGGGCCCAATTGTGACAAGTGAGCCAGATGAAGTAAAAAAACAATGAAGTTCAAATACAGGTATATGTCCATAAATTTTGATACCTGAACAGCAACATTGAACAAAATCATTCTGTCCCAATGTCATTAGGACTCTGAGACCAATGAATATATTGTCAATCAAGGATTAAAACCAATGAAGATAAGTGTTATTGTCAAACAAACGAAAATATTCATGTCCACAGGGTGCAACACGCAATGTTGACACATTATTTTGAAGTTGACTAAGCTCGACTAAATGTCGAAATCGACGAAAAACGAGCCAAAAAACAGTTATTGAGCTAATCAATCAAATAAATACTTGGCATAAGTTTGAAGGTCCATAGTCCAAATATTTGATGAGCTTCTTTATCCCATTTATACCAACAAAATTTTAAAAATTCCCTGTATTTAGATATTCGCCATATTGATCGCCACGCTGTTTGGCAAGAAATCGACATGTCAACTTGTCCCAGCCCGGAAATGTCCTGTATACTTGTTACACAGGATATTAATAAGTTAATGTGAAAATATGAAGATAAAAGTATCTTTTAAAAAATAAAACGTCTCAAACCTCGATTTGAAAGGCTTTTAAAAACGCTAATCCGTTCGGAACCTACAAATTCGAGGGGTTGGTATTTAAGCTTGCGCAAGGCAAAGTTTGAAGACCCATATCTTCGCAATCACGCAATTAATCAAAAATCGCCACAAGGAAGTTGAGGAGAATTCTTTTAAGAACAACATATATGAATTTCATGGCAAAAAAACAAAAAACCGCTTGCAGAAAAGCTCTGAAGTAACCCCATATGTTTGTTTACAAATTTCATGTGATGAAGCGTTTTACGCATTCTGATTGGCTTGGGGCAAAAATGTAAACAAAAGTGCTGATTGGTCAAGAACGAAATTCCCCCTTGTTGCACCTATCAATACCAACTTGGGGTTTCAAGTTTTGTCAGAAGAAAATAGTAGGAAGTGGATTGATAAGGCTTATCTTAAAGGGATACGGCAATATATTCTTTATTATTTCATTTGGAAGAACGTTTAAAATTATATGTTAATCTATTTTACCGATTTTGCATAACTTTATTATTTCTTGAGATATTTGAACAGAAAAAGAACAGAACACAAATCAGCGAGCTTTCCACCATCTTGGATTTTGGCGGATATGCATGTGACATCATAAGCAGGGTCACACAAGAATTTTATCCATAGAGCAATTGGTTATTATGAGCCCAAAATCATATAGTTCAGTAACTATTTGAAATACAAAACTGTCTGACGGTTTTTCAAACAAGACATAATGTTATTTGGCCATTTAGATCTAATTTTATATGACTAACCCTGCTTATGACGTCACTAAAATCACCGATAATGAGATAAAAATTAATTCAAGATGGCGGACAGCAAATTATTTTAAGTCAAAATATTTCAAGAAATAATGTTACGCAAAATCGGTAAAGGAGATTAACATATAATTTTAAAAGTTCTTTAAAATGAAATAATAAAAAAATATATTGCCGTATCTCTTTAATCTTTAAGTGGGTATTGGTTGTTGCAATGCTGTGCCCTTCACAAAAATTCTTATTTTTTTTATTATTAACCAAGGCAAGCATGCTTGCCTTGGCTGATGCCAAACCAACAATTGTGCACACACTAAGTCAACGTTCAAGGCCTGCTATTTGAGGAATATACGGGAACTGCAAGCGGCACTTCTAAGGAACACCGCTCTGTTGCCAATTGGTCAACTATCAATCCTGACATGTTTGACCATGTTTGCTATCTGATACTTTCGGGATGAGCTTTCAAAATTCAAATACCAATTAAATGAATTAATACGTCTAAAATATCCTTGCATATAGTACAGTGAACTTGCAGTTGTTGCCTTTACGTATTGCTGAATTTTATGAAAGCATTTAGAAAATTAGAAGATAATATAAGGTTTGTAACATGTTGGCATATCGTTCTCTAGTATATTCTGATATTGGTTGAAAAATAGTGTAGTACTAATTTAATGTAGCGCTAGAAAGTGTGATGGCGTGCTTGGAATAGATGATTACGTAAGTAGAACCGCTCCTATACTTGCCACTCCTAAGGCGCAAGCAAATATAATAATGGACATAATTTCTATTTCACATATAAAAAAAAACTATACTGTAGTCCAAAGTGTCATTGCCATTGATGGAACTTTCCATTTTAATTATATTACTGTTTCTTCGTCGTGCCTAAAATATATGAAATGAACGCCTGTATCATGGAATTATTGCTTTCTTGTCCTTTCGGATCCCGGCCATTCTCAGAGAAATGAGATCCCAGAATTGCACACAATATCAAAACAGGGTGGTAAAGTTTTTGTTCAAAGTTTTCAGACATCAAATTATGAAAAGTACAAGTGGCTTGCTGGTTCTACTAAATTGATTGAACTATTTTGCTGGCCATGTCTTTTATTCAATCCCACAGACAATACTGTATGGAATAAGAAAGGGTACAGCGATTTGGGGAATTTGTCTAATGCCATCAGTAGACACAAGAAAACCAAAAGCCATTTGTCAAGCTGTTTGATGAATGCTCGTTTTGGTCGAGCCTGCATCGATTTGTAACTAAACAAGCAAACACATCAGCATATATCAGCGCATAATCTGGCAGTGCATAAGAATAGAGAGATATGCCGTTTTATCAATGTGGTTTGTTATTTTGGCAAACAGGAACTTTCCTTTTGAGGACAGGTGGAACTCAAAGAGTCCGCTAACCGTGGCAATTATGTGGAATTGGTAAAGCTGATCAGTATATATGACTTCTCGCTGGAACAACATCTTCAGACGGCTACTGTGTTTTCTGGAATGTCTAATCATATTCAGAGCGATTTGATAATTTCTGTTAGGAATGTTATAATGAAAGCAATTATGGACGAAGTGATAAGCAGCCCATTTGTTGCGATTTCTATGGACGAAACCTCTGACATTAAAACTTTGTCTCAGTTAACCACTATTATTCACTATGTCGACGCTGATGGCAAGCCGTGGAGCGTTTTCTCGGATTCTCTGATGTTGAAACCACAGGTGAAACACACACCAATTCTTCGTCATTTCTTCCCGAAAACGCCATAAATGCCATCCCAGGGCTTTACAATTTCAAAATTTTGGGGAGGAGCATTCTCCCAGACCCCCTAGAAGGGTTTGCAGCTTCCCCGCAAACATGGCTTGCTTACCCGATTCTGTTCACCACATGCCACTGGTTTGTAGTCATCCTCAGGATTAAGAATAATGTAAAATTACAGATGCAGCTATTATAAAGGCAAGAAAGGCAGAGCTATATACAGTCGAACCTGTATTAAGCGGTCACCCTCGGGGATTTTGCAAGTGACCGCTTAATACAGGTTGACCGCTTAATACAGGTCTTGTAGAAAATCACCACACGGCTTAAATATAACATTTAATATAACTAAATTTGAACTAAACAGTAATATATTTCAATACACATACCAAGTAACCAATTAAAAAGTATATAAAACTGCAAATTGTTTCTGAATTGTTTCTGAGTTGAGACTACAGTCACTACATGTACTACTCTAAAATAAAAATGTCAGAGCTTAAACCGCTGAAAAATAGTCATGAATTTTTGTTTGTTGTTGCGGACTGCTCAGTTTAATTTGACTCAACAAGTCATTCACCCTTGACATAACAAGCGAAAGCTGTTGGTGTCCGTTAAATTGAGCAATTTTTTGCAATTCATCACTGGGTTCCATCGCTTCTCGCACTGTTTTAATATGACATCGTCAGAAAAGCATTTTTTCAAACCAGACAGCGTCTGGCCAAACATGAAATAAGGAAGTGTCGTGAAATTTGACACGCGATTTGGGCAATATACCGGCTGATTCATTTTTACAAAAACACTACCGACATTCTGGTTATAAAGTATAAACATGCATGCTGCATACTAAAAGTAAATTACAATGAGAGATAAATTCATGTAAATTACAATCTGAGACTAAAAGTAAATTACACTGAAAGGAATAGAGCAACACTTCGAGTTAGTTCATTTATTCGGGGGTATCATGCGTACATGGACGACTGGGAACCAAACTATTAACTAGTATTTATATTATGAAATTTTCGGGACTTTGCCACATGACCGCTTAACAAAGGGTGACCGCTTAATACGGTGCCGCTTAATACAGGTTCGACTGTATTTATAATAGCTGCATCTGTAATTTTACACTATTCTTAACGTAACTAGTCAAAACGTGGATTAAAAATCAAAATGTTCTTCGGAGTTACTTTATTTTGTATTTCCTTAAAATACTGAGTTGTTCCCATAACTAGTGTGGATAGCGTTATAAGATTACGACACAGGAACCATGGGATTCTTCTGCCTGTGTAATAAGAAACAAACTTCAACATTTCAAGCAAAGGCCCTTCCCATTAATAACTTCCTAATGAAGAGTCTTAGCACAAAACATCTACCTAGTAAGATACTAGCAAGTTCCTAAAGAATGCTGTCAAGATTCTTTAGGACTTTGGTATGATCCTGAAGTGATTTTGATAGGGTCCTAGAAATATTCTATAGGATCCTAGCAAGATGCTATAGGATCCTGGCAAGATCCTGTTATGATAAGGCTAATTTCCACTCAGGGAAACTTACTTTTAAGATCCTGGTAAAATCCTAGCAAATTCCTAAGGATCCTGTCCTTGGGAAATTCATACAAAATCAAAAAATCAAATTTTTTGAGCAGTTTGCTTGATAGAGTAATATAAATTCATCTTCTGTGATCCATTTATTTTGAAAGGATAGCATTAGCATCTTATGGTTTCATTAAGAGAGCTGATGACCAATAAAATATAGATGACAAGAAGTAAACATTTGTTGTGTTTACATGTCTGGTCAGTGCTTAACATCACGAATTTATAACTGTTTTGCTAAATTGAACATTTAGATTATAGTGAGGCGGTCTTCGTGGTCACAAAAACTGAATTTATAACTGTTTTGCTAAATTGAACATTTAGATTATAGTGAGGCGGATATGTGTAAAATTATTGATCAGTAGTTTCTGTTGAGGTTAAAAGCATCAAACTTTTACAATTGATGTAGTTTTATTTGCTTAATAGATATTTGAAGTGGGGCCATTGCTATTTTGCTGCTAACTCCTGAAAATGGGTGATTAGTGATTTTCTTCTATTGAATTCTATTATAGCCAAAAAATGTGAAATTGTGTATTCAATTACAACAAATATGACTTGCATCATCAGTAAGCTTATAAAAAACTGCATATAAGACGTTTAGACAGTTTTTTGATTTCTGAAATAGTTTTCGAATTATACTGAACTGTTAAAAACGCATTTTCAAACATTGAATTAATTAATTAGGGACTTTTAGCGAGATAATGTGCCTAATTTACAGCAATAACCATTTGAAGAATAAAAAAACTGTTTAAAAGGCTTTTATGTAGTTTTCTTACAAGCTTTCTGATGATGCAAGTTATGTTTGTCGCGATTGAATTCAAAATTTCACATTTTTTGTTGCAGTAGAATTTAATAGCAAATAATGCTAATAGCATCTCAACTCTCTAAAAATACAGTTTCACGATGGCCCCACTTTTGCATGTTGTTCTACTCATAAAAAGATGCTACTGTGCACAATTTGGTGCTTTTAACCCTCTTCGGAAACATCCATGCACATATCCGCCACACTATTAGCGATTTGTATCTGGAAAGAAACAGAACAGTTTTTTCTAGACTATTAATGCTTTGATATGAATGTTTAATTTATATGCTGCTAATATTCAATGAATTTGAAACAAAGACTGACAATTATATTAAGCATATTGTGCACAGTAAAAATCACTTGATACTTACAATCAACAATGAACTCTGTTTTAAAGTGGAGTTGACACAAGAACAGATTATTAACATCTATTCTTTTCTTTAAATCTGGGGTCAATTCTCGCATTCATAAAACCACACAAAGCCATTCGTTATGGACAGCTTCCTTCTTAGCTTTGATTTCATCTCCATCAGCCTTTCAGTAGAAGGTATTTTAAACAAAGACAGGTCGCTCGTTCAGCTAGTCGAACCTGTCATAGTCTAGCTACAGAAAAAACTATGAAATTTGCTGAAAAAAGCAGTTTGCCTGAAGATTTTGATGTAGAAGTAACTCCTGTCTCATATTACACTGTATAGATTGTTTGTCAGTCACCCCCTTATGTCGTCACATGACTTCAATTAAGGAGAACAATAACATATTTTGGGGGGGTTCCGGTTAGCCAAACCATCTTATTTTATTAACTGTGAAAAAACTAACGATATATAGGTATGCAAGTTCATCCTCAGCCGGCGACGTGAAGCGCTGTGCAAGGGTACTAATTCCCCCGGCTATTTACACCCGGGGAAACGAAAGCATTAGCGGAGTCTAAAGTTCATCAAATATCGTGGGCGTGGGTGACCAACCGTGGGTGGTCATCCTCACTGATCTCAAATATATGGCGGACTGTCATGAATAGCGGACACTGATTGGTCCAATTTAAAATTTGCATTATAACGACTGCATGACGACAGCTAAATAGCAAACATTTCTTGATTTGATGATTGATGATTGATGAATTTTTTGCTCGCATTTTTGCAAGATTTTGTAAACTTCAAAAGTTTTCTCATAAAGAAAGGGCGAAAGAATCGGCTAAAAGAAGGGAGCCGACGTTAACGAAGGTAAGTTTGTTTTAAATATTGATTTTATAATGGTTTAAAACACGACGGCCTTTGCGTATATGAAACAACTAAATAAGACAGCATATAATTCCAGTGTATCTTCAATATTGATTCCCTTTTTTATTATATTGAATTTTTTAAATAAAAAAGAAAGCAAAGTTATTTGCAAGCGAGAATTTGAAATCATTTTATTGCAAACTCAAAGTTTATTGATAGAGCCATTTAATTATAAAAGGCTGTTTAGTTTTATAAAGAACATTTTAAAACGTTTTGTGAAGCGTTTGTGGTTGAATTTTATCTTAAATTGAAGCCTATATTACGTATAATAACATACCTAACATATATATGTTGGGAAATTGATAACTTTGTAATTAAAAGTGATATTTTTAGGAGATTTGTAAGAATATTCTTAAAATAATAAAAATTATCATGCTACCATGACAACTGCTCTAGATACTTCATGTTCGGAAAATACAATGGTTTTGTCAGCAAGGCGAGGGTTTCTGCATGCATGTATTTTCTAGTTTAAACTAAATCAATCATATATCACTCATGTTTGGTTGAAAAGACCAGACTTTTTCATGCAACTGTTTCTGAGATATTGCCATTTTGGTGAAAGCTCTTGAATTCAATCACATATTCCTCATATTGGCTTTGGGAGCTAGAAACATTGTAACAGCTTGCAGCTTAATGAGTTAAATAAATGATTACAAACCCAGTTGAATTGCAATCAAGAGCCAACAAGGGAAAATCAGCTTTAGCAGAACATGTATGTTACACCAAACATGAGATTGTGTGGGAAAACTCTAAAGTAATTACCACAAACAATCGCTATGGTCAAAGACTTTGCCTAGAAGCATGGCATATAAATATGGAGTGGTATCCGGTTCAAAAATACAAGACTACTTGTTTCGTATGATGTTGCAACATAACGACACGTCTTTGTGGCCACACGGTTTGATTTTACGTCACGCTTACACAATGTTCTCTCTGCACAATGTTATGTTCTGGCCACACGGTTTGACTTTACGTCACACTTACACGACGTTCTCTCCGCACAATGTTATGTTCTGGCCACAGGGTTTGACTTTACGTCACGCTTACACGACGTTCTCTCTGCACAATGTTATGTTCTGGCCACACGGTTGAGCACTGTGTGTCATGTTTCGATATGCAAATTTATCAAGGACGGTGAATTGCGTGGGTAGATCGTTACGATATAAAAAGCGTGAAGTTACTTTTATATAGTTAGTTGGGGTTGACTACAGAACAAACTTTTTACCGGTGCTTATAATGGGGATTATCATGGCTTCAAAGCGAAGCCAACCTGTATGAACACTTTGTTTTTTTTTGTTTGCTCATTTAATATATTTCTAGACTTCTAAGCGAAGTCAAGCTTGAATACTTTTGTTTTATATTGTGAAATAACACTGGTTGGAGCTACGCTCCCATTCAGGGGACGCGACAGTAAAAAGTTTGTATCGTTCGTCAGTTAATTGACAATTGTTGAATTCAGAGCTAAAATGAGCAGAAGATCGAGTATATCCGAAAGACGAGACGATATAGTGGAGTCTGTAAAAGCGGCAGAATCACCGAAACGTGACGAAGCCAGACAAAGTAGACAGCGTTCATTAACACAACGTGGATATTACTATATGCTAGAAAGGAAACTTGAGTTTTTCGCGAAAGAAACAAGTGCCTTTCGAAGAGCGATTGATGTAACGGCAGACGATGCGAAATCTGATAAATCAAAGCTAGAGATAGCTTTGACAACGTTGAAAGTTATCAAGGCCGGGTACGAATCATCTAAGCGTGACCTGGAAGAATTATTTATTCAAGACAGATGGGGAGACTCTATAGAAATGATAAACAATACTCGTGAGGAAAGTCGAACTTTGATTGATCTCGCTGATACCGTAATAATAGAGATGATGTTAAAACTCGATACAACATCGGAGATCCAGCAAAATGAAGCGCCATCGCTCCTATCTGAAAAAACAAAGACTTCGAAGCATTCTCGACCAAGCAAGTCACTATCGTACAACACGTCAACAAGCTCCGTCAGAGCGAAAGCCTTCGCGGAACTGGCCGCTGCAAATGAACAAGCTGAATTTGATATGTTAATTGCAGAGAAAGAGAAAGCCAGGAGAGAATGCGAAGCCCAGGATGACCTGAGAAAAGCGACAGAAAGGGCAAAACATGATCACGATATGGCAATCCTTAAAGCAAAGAAACTGAAGGCTGTAGCTAATGCGAAATTAGACGCAATTGAACAATCTGTTGACGGCAAAGACACTGCCATTAGGAAGCTGAATGTCAAGCACGAAGATACCAGCGAAAGAACTCGGACGTGGTTAGGTGATCAAAGTCAAGTTATCAATGACAATAACAGCGAAGAACTGAGTGATTTATACGAACAGAAAGAAACGATTACAAACCTACCCACCAAGTACCATCCCGAAAAACCAGTTTTCCACAGGAAAGTTACAGCGCCTCAAGATAGTAACAATCAACATAGACCCGCTGAGATGCAATACTGTTTCAACGCAATCGTAGCTACAAACGAACGGTTGGTAGAAAGTCTAGCGAAGCAAAGTCTACCAAAATGCCACCCAGACTTGTTTACTGGAGACGTAACAATGTTCTATGCCTGGAAACAAGCCTTCAAAGCTATGATCCGCGACACGGGTATATCTCCAGAGCAAGAAGTAAATTATCTGTATAAATATACTTCTGGAGAACCTCGACGATTGCTCGATAGCTTCCGAAAGCGCCAGCGTAAAGATCCAAAGAAATTATTATCTGAAGTCTGGACAGAGTTGGAAAGTCGATTTGGTAACATTGCGGCAATAACTCACTCGTTATTGGAACAGTTACGGGAAAAGGCAAAATTCGAAGAAAATGATAGGAAAAGACTCTTAGAATTTTCCGACCTTTGCGCAGACGTGGTATATCAACTTGATGAATTACCTGGCTTAGCCTGCCTAAATTATCCAACGGCAATTCGCCCAATCGCAGAGAAACTTCCTGTCTCATTACAATGCAAATGGGAAAAGAAAGTCGTAGACTTCGCAATAGAGAACCATGATGCCTATCCAGGGTTTCGTGTCTTCGCTAAAACCATTGGGAAGCAAGCAAAACTAAGAAACCATCCGAATATTGTAAGTGAACAGACACAGAAGAAGAAATGGCGTCCAGGAAAGCGTCCGGAAGAAAGCAGAATCTTAAAAGCGGATGTAGAGGACGACAAGAAAACCTATTGTTTGTTCCATAGCTGCGACGGTCACAAGCTGAAAGATTGTAAGACGTTTGCTCGCAAAACCCTACAAGAAAAGATAGAGTGGATAAGAAAAGCAGGACTTTGTTTTCGATGCCTTTCATCTAAACATATCGCTAGAGATTGCAAAGCCGACATTAAATGTGCCGAATGCGACAGCGATCGACACTCTGCCCTGTTACATCGTGAGAAGAAGAAGGACGACGAGGAGAGAAAGGCTGGCTCGGCGGGGGAACGTGATGAAGTCACGTCAAGCTGCACAGAAATATGTAAGAACGACAACCGAGGACTTTCAGCAAGCAAAATCGCTTTAGTGGACGTTCCCCTACGAGAAAGACCAAACGATACCCATAGAGTTTACGCGTTACTTGACGAGCAAAGTAACGCATCCTTAATTAGTCCTAAATTGGCCGACAAGTTAGGAATTAAAGGGAAAAGCGAAAAGTACCTCTTGTCTACTTGCAGTGGTTCAAAAGAAGTGAGATACGGACGACGAGTGTCCGGGCTGATTGCAAAATCTCTGAGCGGAAAATCTCTGACATTACCCACCTGTGTTGAGTGCGACAGCATCCCTGAAGACAAGCGTGAAATTCCAACACCTGAAATGGCCCAACAATTTCCTCATCTTCAGTCAATCGCGAGCAAGATCCCTCCTTTTGACCCAGAAGCAGAGATATGTCTATTAATCGGTCGCGATGCTCCTGAATTCCTGAAAGTGAGATCCTTCATCAATGGTCCCAAAGACGCACCGTGGGCGCAAAAATTGTTACTTGGATGGACGATATGCGGACAAGTATGTTTGGAACGCTTAGGGGGAGCAGTGCATATCTCAGCCAATCGAACTACTATTCAAAAACCAAATGAATGCGCTTCGAGCAACGGACACTGCTACTCTACAAGATTTGCAGAGCTACAAAGCCCAAAGCCCGGAAATTCCACAAATTTCACCTTTACTCCCTGCCCAAATAACCTGATGGTCAAAGAAATTCTCGGCGAGAAGAGGATTATCAACGACATATACCACACCTCTTCTAACGATAACGAAGTCACATTATCTATCAAAGACAGGCATTTCGTAGACATAATGGAAAAAGGGATCCATAAGAATGAATTCGGTAATTGGCAGCTTCCACTACCATTCCGATCTCCCAACATAATTCTGCCGAACAATAGAGAGCAAGCTGTCCGACGACTTAGTAATTTACTACGTGTCTTCGCAAGAAAGCCTAACATGAAGAAAGACTATTTCGAATTCATGGGAAAACTGTTGAAGCGCAACCACGCCACACCACTGACAGAAAGTAGAGCGATTCGAGGACAAGACCATGATGACATCAAGCGAAGAAATGTTTGGTATCTACCTCATTTCGGGGTCTACCACCCAAGAAAGCCCACTAGCATCCGAGTTGTATTCGATTCATCCTCCGAATACCAAGGAACTTCCCTGAACAAAGAACTCCTTTCTGGACCAGATTTCCTGAACAGTCTGCATGGGATATTGATTCGTTTTTGTCAGGAAGCAGTCGGTGTCATATGCGACATAGAGCAAATGTTTCATTGTTTCTATGTCAACCTGGAACACAGAGATGTACTACGCTTCCTTTGGTTTAAGAATAATGATCCTACCGATGAAATCGTTGAATACCACATGACCGTCCACCTTTTTGGAAATACATCAAGTCCAGCAGTCGCAACCTTTGGGTTAAGAAAAACCGCAAAAGATGGCGAGGAGAGTTTCGGGAAATCAGCCAAAGAGTTTGTACACAACGATTTTTACGTAGACGACGGACTGACCTCTCGATCAGTTGATCTCGTGAAGAACACCCAAGCCATGCTTAGTACAGCCAACATACGACTTCATAAAGTGGCGTCAAACTCGGTAGAAGTTATTACAGCATTACCAGAACAAGACCGAGAAACTAAACTCAGAGAACTTAATTTGTACTCAGATCCCCTACCAACTCAACGTTCATTAGGAGTGTGCTGGGACTTAGAGAACGACGCCTTTACATTTCAAGTCCAGATCCCGAGCAAACCTTATACACGTCGAGGCGTCTTGGCCGTGGTTAATTCTGTCTACGACCCACTCGGATTTCTTACACCAATTACATTGAAAGGAAGAATGTTGCTGCGTAAACTAGTTGAGTTGGGGAATCAAAAACACGTAGAAAGTCCAACTCTTGGTTGGGACGACCCACTACCTGCGAGTCTAAACCGAGAATGGGAACATTGGAGAAACGCTCTTATTCGTCTTAAGAACATCCTCATCCCTAGATGCTATCATGGAAAAGAATTTTGTCGTGTCATTAGCTCGGAGCTACACGCCTTCTCTGACGCAAGTGAAGAAGTAATTGCCACCGCGATCTACCTAAAGCAAATCAGCTCCAAGGAAGAAATCAGCGTATCACTGGTCTACGCCCAGGCAAAGCTCGGACCAAAGAAGCCAACTACTGTTCCTTGTTTGGAGTTGTGTACTGTCGACACAAGCAGTTAAACGTGTTCTCGCAGAACTTAGTATCACGATCAATAAAGTCACCTATTACACAGACTCTAAAGTAGCCTTAGGATACATACAAAACGAGAGTAGACGGTTCTACGTATATGTCGCTAAGCGGATACAGATCATCCGCGGGCTGTCAGAACCCACCCAGTGGAAATTCATAGACACGTCATAATCCAGCCGACCTTGCGACTAGGGGCTCAACCGTCAAAAACCTTGTGGACAACCGATGGTTTGAAGGACCGGAATTCCTCACTAAACCTGAATCGGAAAAAGACGTCATACGAGTGGAATTCAGTGTACAGAACGAAGATCCAGAGTTGCGGCCCGAAATTACTATTCACGCTACCCAACTACGCGTACGGAGAGAACTGAATTCGAGAAAATTCGAACACTTTTCTAGTTGGTCTTGTCTCCGACGAGCGCTCGCGAACTTAATCGCCGTAATCCGATTATGGAAGAAAAAGAAGATACAAGTAACGGAGAACAACCCCAAAGCTCGTCGTGGTCAGTCATCAATCCAGCCAAAGTCAAAGAAAGGTCCGTCGTTAGAAGAATTGAAACAAGCCGAATCAATAATGATTAAGAAAGCTCAGAGCGAACACTTTGCTAACAAAATTACGATATTATCAGAAGCGTCCAAAGAAGAGTGCGGTCGAACGCCCACAAGTACCGAACTGCTAAAGAAATCAAGCGTGTATCGTCTCGACCCCTTCCTAGACAAAAATGGAATTCTTCGAGTTGGAGGAAGATTACGTCGGTCAGACCAAGAATACGCCGAGAAACACCCTGCAATCCTTCCCAAGAAACGTCATCTTTCACATCTACTCATCCACCATTTCCACAACAAGGTTCACCACCAAGGACACCTTATCACCCTTGGCGCAGTTCGAACAGCTGGATATTGGATAATCGGAGCTAGTCGAATGGTGTCGAAAATACTCAATGATTGTGTGACGTGTAGAAGACTTCGGGGAAAGTTTTTAACTCAGCACATGGCTGATCTACCTTCAGAGAGAACCGAAACTCCCCCTCCATTTACCAATGTCGGATTCGATGTTTTTGGACCAAGGACTATCCATACCAGGCGGACGAGAGGCGGGATAGCCAACTCTAAAAGGTGGAGATTAATCTTTACGTGCTTGAACAGCCGTGCAATCCATATTGAAGTTTTAGAAGCCATGGATTCCAGTTCCTTTATTTGCGCATTACGACGTTTTCTATCCATTAGAGGTCCAGTTTCCAAACTGAGATGTGACTGTGGCACAAACTTTATAGGGGGAAAGTCAGAACTGGACCAGGCGTCTAAAGATGCGGAATTAGCAAATATCAAACGATGGGTCACAGAACAAAATTGTGAGTGGCTCTTCAACCCACCCCACACGTCTCACTTTGGGGGAGTGTGGGAACGACAGATTGGGACAGTACGTCGCATCCTGGATGCTATGATGCTCAAGATTGGACCTTCTCAACTTACGCACGAAGTGCTTACGACACTTATGGCAGAAGTAACCGGAATAGTTAATGCTCGACCAATTGCCTTGATACCAACTGATATCAACCAACCGCAACCTCTGACGCCAGCTATGCTACTAACGATGAAAACAAAACCACTTCTTCCCCCACCAGGAGTGTTCGTCCATCAAGATTCATACTCTAAAAAACATTGGCGAAGAGTCCAGTACTTAGCTGACCAATTTTGGATCCGGTGGAGACACAAGTATCTGCAAATGCTGCAACCAAGATCAAAATGGAACGAACGCCATCCAGACCTCAAGGTTGACGACGTTGTCCTTATGAAAGACGACGCCCACCGAAATCAATGGCCAATGGGAAGAGTGGTGGACGCCATCAGAAGCGAAGACAACAAGGTCCGAAAAGTGAAGATTGCCGTGTTGAAAGACGGGGCAGAAAAGATATATTTACGTCCGATCAAGGAATTGGTCCTGCTTGTACGTGCAAAGACTCAATCCAGGGAATGTGATACCTCATCATAATAGGGCGTAGCAAGACCTTCGGTCTTGGGCGAGGAGTGTCATGTTTCGATATGCAAATTTATCAAGGACGGTACGATATAAAAAGCGTGAAATTACTTTTATATAGTTAGTTGGGGTTGACTACAGAACAAACTTTTTACCGGTGCTTATAATGGGGATTATCATGGCTTCAAAGCGAAGCCAACCTGTATGAACACTTTGTTTTTTTTTGTTTGCTCATTTAATATATTTCTAGACTTCTAAGCGAAGTCAAGCTTGAATACTTTTGTTTTATATTGTGAAATAACACTGGTTGGAGCTACGCTCCCATTCAGGGGACGCGATACTGTGTCTTAATGACATTACGTTCTGCCTGCACTATAAAACGTTTCGGTTACAATCCCGACATCTGCCCTCAATAACCATACTCGGATCGCGGCAAAGCGTCATCTGAATGCCGGACTATCGTCACGCGGTAAAAGGGTAAAAAATGACACGATGTTCTGGCTGCACCGAAATCGTTACTCCAGATATACATGAGCTCAGTGGTATATATGCACAGACTAAGCATGAGCTTGGGTTAGCTGTGTTTGTAAAAGTGTTTTCAAACATGGCCGGCGAAAGAGAAGATAAACCTCATGCTGTTGAGAATTCGAGCTAATCAACGTTGTCTAAAGCGGTTAACTCGCTAGAAAGGTCGGTGAATTTACTTAAAGAGTCGACTTTACAACAACCTGTGAATGATGATCTTAGAGCTTCGCAAAATCGGGCAATTGTTAACTATCGGTAAGTTTTTTCCCCAGCCTGGGGCCAGTTGTTCAAAGCTGGGTTATCCTAACCCTGGGTTAACTTAAAATTCAAAGCAAACTTCCCAAGGGCTTGTTTATAGATTTGGAAATGTTTCTTCTGAGATCTTATCTGAATCGATAGGAGTTCAGTTCTCTGAAGTTTTGAAATAAACAGACGTGCAGAACAAAACAGCAGGTTAAATTTTCACCCAGGGTTAGCGCTAAACCACCTTTGAACAATCGGCCCCAGGTCTATATATTTGCAGAAAACTTGTACACCACTTGTTATTAATCTCATCCGTGTTCGTTTAAAGAAACAACAAAATAAGTTCAAAACAGTTTGAAGTTCAAAACAGTTTAAAGTTTAGAAGTTGAAATTGCAAGAATATGTTCTTTTACAAATTTGACAATTGAAGGTGGATAAAAGTTTTCTTTCTGGGAACCTGGATTTTATTAGACCAAGAAATAACAAAGTTACCAAGGACACTGCAGATCTTGTCATTCCAGAGGGGGGGGGGGGCAAGGCTGCAGGGGCTTCGGTGGCCAAGTGGTTAGCACACTTGCCTTTCACCTCTGAGGCTGCAGGTTCGAGTCTCACTAAGTACCTTCTCAGTGCGACTCGAACCCAGTCCCCATGTGAAAAGAGTAAAAGTCAATGCTCTGCCGAAAGCCGTGGGTTTTCCCCGGGTACTCCGGTTTCCTCCCACTGGGAAAGTTGACAGGGTGGGTTAGGTAAAAAAGGGCCCACATTAATTGGCATATGCTGTTGTGGTGACCCTGCCCTAGTTGGCAAAGCTAAATAAATAAATAAATTACTTCATTTAAAAATTACAATTCACATTGCTTTATAGACGTTTTTGAAATTTTGTTTCCAATTTTTTATGAGCACAATAGTACATTCAATTGACTGGTGTTTTTTCAAGAGGATTTGTTTGCACAATGAAATGCACTGCTTAATCTATTGGGTGAGGGGGGGGGGGAGATGTTACCAGAATATTAATATTTAGATCTCAATTTGTGTTGCAATTTCTAGTGCGATTTTCTTCTGATGGATGTGAATGAGTAGATGAGTTATGAATGTTCTGAGTATATACTGTATACCCTCATCTGAACATTCATAACTCATTCACTTGTTCACATCCATCAGAAGAAGAAAATCGCACTAGAAATTGTCGGTGTAAACATGCCTTCTTAAGCCTGAAAATGCAATTGAAATTTGTCATTCCCAGCTTACATTTATTTTTACTTCATACTTGACTCTCAGTAGTGCAATATAATTATCAATGATTTTTTTATAGGAATATATTTCCTGGCCCATCAGTAATGGACCAGCCAACAACCTCACAAAATTATTTGGCAGGAAATATTGTTTCTCATAGTTCTGGAAATTCACAGTCTACCTTGAGTAAGAGCAAAGCTAGTATGCCAGCATCATCTGCTAGGCAATCTTGGCCAGGTAATTACCAAAGTTGTAAGCGCAGTTATCAAAGTACACTCAGTTCAAGAAGAAACAAAGGCAAGTCTTATTTTCAACCATACAAGATCAAAGAAACGTGGACACATGAATTTTGTGTTGTAGCTAACAAAGATCAGAGGAAAGTTCCATCTACTGCATATAAACAAGAACTGCATGAAGCTGGACTTGGGCAAAAGACTGTTATCTTTAAAAATAAAAGAGGGGAATTCAGGCACATCCAAGAAGAGCTATTTAACCGTTTCAGCAAACTACAACAAGCTGGTGGTTTTGATCTATATAGGCAAAGCTCTGGCAAAGACCTAATTTACATAAAACCTCCTCCAAATGGCTACACAATTCCGTTTTTGAAGAATGACTATGGAATTAAATCGGCAATAATATATGTGTTGCCAATTCAAAGAAACCTTACAATGGATCCAGAAGTTGTTGAAGAAAATGTACATGTAGGTATTATTGCAACTATGGTACTTAATACTCTTTGATATAAAGACCAACAGATAGATAAATAAATGTATTTAATGATAGTTGATTTCACGACCACAAATGTTCTGAACTTTGTTGCAAAGTTTGCAAGTTTGTTGCGAAGTTCAAAAGTTCATAATGAGATTCACAAATTGGCTTCTTTTACTACAGGGACCAATCAGGGGCTTTGTTTACAAATTGGCTTGTGAATTCCAATATGAACGTCCGAATTTTGCAATGAACTTGCAAACTTTGCAACAAAGTTTGGAACATTTGTGGTCAAAGTTTTGTGAAATCGACTGTAAAACAAGGTGGTTCTATCACTATCTACCCTGAAAGCAGAGCTTGATTTTTCTGCCGATCTTGTGTTTAGTTCGTCCGCCATATACAGTATGTCCAAAATTTAAAACTTAATCAAAGTTTGCCTGACAATAATTAAGCCTATGAATTGCCTAGATTTACTAAAAAGTGAACCTAGGCATTGTAAGTCAGGTAAAATAAACTAGCAAGATAGCAATTGTAAAAATATAGTAATAGTTTGATTTCACAACTGACAAACACTATATCTATTTAAAATACATTTGAGAATGTTTTTGTCATGCTCTAATTGTACAGCATGTGCAGTGTACGTGCATAGCTTGTTAATTGCGATGACTGTATTTGATTGGTTCTGTAAATTTAGCAGTCATTCTAAAAATATAAGTGATTCTTTTGACATGTTTTGACATATTGGAAACAGAGCATGCTCAGCAGAAATCAAAGACAGGCAGAGCCTTATTTTATCCGCGAGGAGAAATCAGGCTCTATTCTTATGGTAATCATACTGTCAGAAATAAAAATTACAAATTAATTTCTTCATTTAGCATGAGGAATTATTTCATTTTTTTTAAAAGTGTATATATTAAAATGTTTATACAGCTGATTCAATTAAGGTTGTCCTTCCAAAACCATAAACATTAAACTTTGAGAGTACAAGGGATGATTGGTTTTCACCTATTATGCTTTCAAACTCAGAAAATTGCCTTTGCAGCAAGTATGTTTTTAGAGCTGTGCGCTGGAGTGCCGGAGCTCCGGCATATTTTGCCTGAGCCGGAGTTGGAAAACTTTGGCAAAAACTCCGGCAGACAAAATTATGAAAAATTATTTCATATTTCAATGAACATTTGGTATTAAATGGAAAATGAAGTTGTTTACTAATATATTACTATTTTTATGTTGTTTTACTATATATTACTATGTTGTTTACTATTAATAGTGTTGTAAAAAGGTGTTTAAAAAAGATAAATTATGAAATTACACTGAAATACTTTCACCTGCTTCCACTTTTACTGTCGAGGCAATGGAAGTGTTGATAAAATATTGCACCAATTCCTTTCCTCAAGTTGATCAATTCATTTGAAAGAAAATTGATCAACTTCCTGTTACTTTTAGATAAGCCAATTAGATTTCGTTTCAGAACCGATTGACCAATAGGAAACGCACAGGAAGTAAAAAGAAATCAGTTGAATATGTATGAATTGATCAACTTGAGGAAATGAATTCATGCAATATTTATCAACACTTCCATTGCATCGACAGTAAATATGAAGTTTCCTTGCCGGAGTTTTGACTGCCGGAGCTAAAATAACCGGAGTTTGCACAGTTCTATATGTTTTCCGTTGTGAGTCTTCTATATGTCTGAGGTATTCTTGCAAAGCCAAATTTCAAAGTTTATGAGTCTAATAAGCAATAACCCATCATCCCTTGCACACTCACAGTTTAAGGTTTCAGTTTATTGGAAGGACAACCTTAATTGAATTAGGCTAGCTGTATATGACAATCATGTTATTATGCTGGAATTTGTCTTTCTATGGGGCAATGGGGGTGGGTGGTTGTCACAAGCATTTCATGGAAATCATTTGTTTTTTTGGTGAAAAGAAAAAAAAATCTTTGCTCAGTTGGAGAGGGGAAATTATTTCTAAATGTCATCTTCAAAACAAATTTTGTGTAAACAAGGTAATCATAAAAGCTTATGAAGCATCCATTGTTTTATCCACACACACATACATTATGCCACAAAGCACTTTTCGAAATTAGTCACCGGTCAGGTGGTGATGATTCCTATACAGATGAAACAGGTTACTACGTAGTGGAAACTTTTTGATGTATCAAAACTAAATCTATTTGCTCTATCTATATGGTATTCAGCACTCTTTGGCATTTCGTGAACCAAAACGTACTCGTATAACTATAGCGCTTGAGATGTAATTTGTATTTCAAATATGTATGTAGTTAATAGTTACTATGAAACAAAAGTGTAATGATAGTTTTCTCAAATAGGTTGATAATGAGAATGTTGAAAAACAGGAATGCTATAATTGTTGCCAAGAAATACCTTTATACCAACTATGCGAGCATCTTGAATCATGCTCTCAAGAAGTACCATCCAAGGTTATCAAGGTACTGTAATTATTTTGCAACTTTAATTCTTCTCTAATTCCATACCTTTTTCAAAGCTGCCCTTATTGGTAAAATTAATGGTGTTTTTTACTTCTATACTCTCCTTTTGGATGATCTTGATATATCATCATGCGTTGCATTAAAGTAAATTAGGAAAGTAGAGGGCATTATACTGGCATTGCAGATGATCATGTCTATCAGAAGCTACAAACAAACAAGCAACTTAAATACAAATACAAAACAAGTGTATCAGGTCTATCAGAAGCTACAAACAAACAAGCAAGCAACTTAAATACAAATGCAAAACAAGTAACTCCAAAGATTGATAACATTTTTATATTTATAAAAATGCTAACATTTATAATAAATTTATATTTGATATAAAAATGTTATCGATCTTTGGAGTTACACTCGTTTTGTATTTTGTTAAAATACTCAGTGGTTCTAAAAATACAAATACAGTGCGCTTCTATTGATAGAAGCTCTCCATATCAAGTTTTAAAAGCCTGAAATAAACTGATGGAATCTTACAGACTCGCACTTTTCTCATAGCTTTCCACGTGACTCTTTGTCTTCCGCTATTAACTATTTGCCTTCACACATTCTAACACTACGCTTTATTTTCATGTATTATGTATGACATCATCATGCTTGTGTATATGTATATACCTACTTTAGTTTTGTATTGCTATTCCAAAGAATTTGAAGAAATTCGAAATTTTACTGTATCAGAGAGTCTTAAGATGTCTCTCTTGTTCTTTGGAGATTGCTTCGTACTGTATTTCTTGTGTACTTTTATTTTAATAGCTTATGGATGATGGTGAAAAAGACGACGAATCTGTTGACGACTTACCTACCTGCTCGTTTTTGGAGTCAGATGACTTGACAGGTATACCGTCTGTTTGATATAATTGAATTTCCATTTGCATTGTTCATAACCCAAGTGGTTCCTTGTGCTGATAATACAACATAGTATTATTAAATCACTGTATTTCTTTTGAACTAGTGCATTCTCAAAGTCAGTCTGATTTATCACATCTGCAAAATATCTTCCCACATAAATCTATGGATACTCTGAAGTCAACACTTGAATCTAGTTACAATGTATCGGACGCTGTAGATAAACTTCTTGATTCAGGTATATCGTTTTTCACTTAATGGTTTCCCACATTCTTGACTTAATATTTTATTGACTTAATAATGCTGATGCGGTATATATGAATCTGTCAATCTTAAAGTCTTTGACTCAAGCAGTGCTAATAGTCGTTGGCGCAAGCTTTGTGATGTTATTTTCATGTAGTTTTGCATTTGCACGATTTCTATCATTTATGTATTCATGACGACAATTCTGTGAACATTTTTTCCATTGCCATCAACAGATCGACGATATTGAAAACTTTGACAACGTTCCGCCGGAGATAAACGCAACTCTAGCGAATGCAGGTTTCACGAAACTCCTGTCAAAAGATAACAAGAGAAGTGCGATGGCTAGTTTAATGATTCATTGTATCATCTCAAGTAGAAAGGCAGAACTAGACCAGTTCGCACAAGGACTGGATCCACTGCTCAGAGAGGCGAAGAAAGCACCAGAAATGTTTAAACCTCTATTTGTGTACAATCAGAGTATAATAAAACTAAATGCAGAAAACTTCAAGGACCTTCTTGATATCAGTTGTTTGGAGGACGACTTGAAAGAACACCCTCAACAAGTACATTGAGAGCAAAGGTACATGTCCCTGATGTATGTTGTTATTTATCTACTTGTCAATATACCGTTTACAATAGACAGCACAGAAATAATACAGGGACATTCAAAGCCACATCAGTAGACACCACAACCTGTTCAGAAGTTGTGACATTTTTGGCTTTGAAATGTAGGTCAACCGAATCCCGTTTAGAACAAACCATATTGTTTAACAGTAATTGGTAAATGTTGCCATGGTATTCTGACTATAATCGCATAATTTTTTACACATGTAGGTGAAGGTCAACTGGAAAAATTACTCTTTTTTTGCACTGGTGTTAGTTCCGTTCCGCCTTTGGGCTTCATTAAGCCATCCAAGATTAGTGTTACCTCAACAGAAAGTGTGCTACCGAATGCTAACACCTGTCCCATGGAGCTAGAACTTCCTACTAAAAATGCTAGCTTTGATGAATTTAGCAGACAAATGGATTCAGCATTGGATATACAGAGCAGTGGATTTGGAGTCCCATAAGGTCGTTGCCGTTCTTTTTCCATTGAATCGCAGTTAGGGTGAATTTTGTTGTTTTTCTTTAAAACAAACAAAACCATTATGTTAGTATTAAAAATATTGTAACTGAGCTATTTATTTGTGTCTGAAATAGTGTAGCATTTTTGTTGTGTTATGAGTTTGTCCACCTTTTTCACAGGCTGCTATACAGGGTGTATAAAAAAAAGGTAATCGAACTTCAGCGCGCTATTATACGTGAATTACTTGGCGTATGAACAATTGGTTTTCATATTCGGAAAGATCAGGCTTTTAGCTATTGAACAACATGCTTTTCATGCCTAGTGGAGAAAAAATAAGCATGTACGAGGCTGATTAAAAATGTTAGTCAAACTTTACGTTCAGTCGTAACAATCTTTAAGAATTTTAAAAATAATTTTAAAACAGTTGATATTGTTTTATTGCGAATAATGTTGGATGAATAGTAATTCTTTATTATTACTGTTACTTTTAATGGTATAAACTATTGGGAGCAATGAAATGCATAGTCAAATCGGAGAGTTCTGATTTTTGGAAGGTAAAACTAAATGAAAGCCAACTTTTTTACAACTAGACATAATTTTTTTATGAAATATCTCGATCGACTCGATGTTTTCTTTTAACTAACATGTAATGATAGATCTAAATTTCACAAGCGACAAAGACAAAAAGATGGAAGACTACGATTTTACGCTTGTTCTAAATCTCTCTGTTTGTATGTAAATCATTGCCATTATAAGGATGCCAGAGTTACAGTTCAGATTATTTAAATTAATTACAGTTCGAATTAGGAAAATAGAAATTGTTGTAAAAAAAGGTTGGCATGGTTTGTGCGTGGTTTTATCTGTCCGTAATCATAACTTTCAGTTTTACATCTCTGCCTATGGTCATACCTCATAAAAGTTATTGTTAAATTAAAATTGTTATTCGTTGCTTGACACTTTACTGATTACAAAGGATAACACTTCTTGATAAATATCTGTTCCATGTTGAGTGGTATTACGTAGTGGATCAATTACTGCCCTAAGCATTTCATAATCAGTTGCTGTTAAAGGTGATTGCGTTGCAGGAACATCCACTTAAACTGTTTCACCAACAGCCATAGGGCCTTCCCAGTCAACTCCATACATCTGTAATCAGTATAGGTTTGAAAATGTCACTCAACCATGTAAATTTGTCACTGTAATTTGCAGTGTAAGAGTAGTGGGTACAAGCAGTGAGCTTCGGCAGGGGATTTGGGTTAAAGCCTTTCACACAAAATAGGAGGGGTGAAGCAAAATTTTGATGGGGTTGAACACTTTATTAGAGGGGTTAGAGAGATTGTAGGGGGGGGGGGGGTTAACCCCCCAGTAAATCCACCAAGCATGAAACTAGTTTCTCGTGTAAGTCTTGTTATTCTTGTTCAATATAAACTCTTTTCCATTTAAAAAATATAGAAAAAGATATTTTATGCCCAAACTTAACTTTTACTGTTATGTAGGGTGGCCACAATTTTTGCTTTGTTTTGAAGCAGATTGGCCATTATGTGCGACTGTTCTAAGCTGATTGGTTGAGTTTAGATATCATTGTTTATCCACCAATCAGATCACTTTGCTGCAGAATTTTGGACTGCTACTGATTTTTGCACTGTTGTTACAGAATGAATACCACTATTTATATCCAAAAGCAGGCTGCATTGAATACCACTATTTACCTTGTCACACAATAATAACTATCGCAGATATCAAACCTGTAACAAACCTGTACTTCATTTTCTTGTAATTCGTGAGCAATAAGATGCTGAGAATTTGCTATGGAGTACACAGTCCAGAGAACCAGAGCCTGATAGGCGACTTATTATTGGCTGTCCTTATTGGTTTTCTGTTCCATCCCTCAATAAACAACTGTAAGTGGTGGTCTATGCGAGGTTGATAGATGTGCTGGAGGCACCAAATGTGTATTTCATCTCCAGGGTCTAACAAACCAATATCTTCCATATAGTGAAAGAGGTTGTAGTAGACATACGTACATCCTGTGAAGACATCTGTCCACAATCGTTCTGGAAAACATAAGTAGATTTTCAATATGTAATTATGTAATACAACTCAATCATACCAAGAATTAAAAATTTAATTTGATTGCTTTATTACTTATGTATGGTGAAACACACTAATGTCCACTCAGTTGTACTCATACATGTGACTGCATGTACTCTAAATTCATTTTGCAGTTATAAAAATTATTATCTTAAACATAAATCACATGAATTTCAGCTCTGCCTCTGGAATCTTGAGCTGAAAATCCAAAATTGTTGGAATAAAACGTTACCAATTCTTTGATTGTGTACACTTCGTCCAGCAATGAAACTCCCTCTGTCAGGACCTCTGTCCTTGTGTGTCAACATGAACCATGCCACATCTGCATTTTCTCCACCATGGTCTCCTAATGCATACATATGTATTTTGAATTAGAATTCTGAAACTCATTAATAATTAATGAAAAGCACAAATTAAAGAAATTAACTTAAAGAGACATAGATAATATTAAGCAAACTTTAGAGACAAATTCTTAAAATGTTGATGTTTTAGGAAATCAGATAATAAACAGGTGCCCCTTTGTGTATTATATGTACTATTAAATGCACGTCATATTACCTTTACAGAATGATTTTTTTTCCAATCGCAGTGCATTCGTAATTTTGATACCCTATATATGATCGCACTCTTATATGACACGCATTATAACTAATACACTTACCCGTGAAGGTAAACCATACCTATCCACACCACTTAGGAAGCAAGATAACACAGTTGAAGCTTTATTGTCTGTTGAACACCTTAAGAAAATTATCGTACAGGAAAAACCATCAATCATACCATGTATTACAAACCGCCATCGTATCAGTTTATGATTCCCATCGAGGTGGTAAAGCGCTCTAGGCGAGTATACATTATACCCTCTTCGCTGTATAATTCGACTTTCCAATGTTCTAAGTAGAACTCCATTTGGATCCACTCTGTGCATACTTTCCCTAACTCCCATCTCCTTTACACGCAACCCTCGCGCAGCAAGATGGCCCAACATTCGCCTGTATCCACAGTTAGGGAACAACTCGAGAACCTTGTTCATCAAGGTATTCATTGGTAATATCAGAGTATTTCTGTCCGACTGACAATGAATACAGCGCCAATCTTCTTTTCACTGTGCTTTTAGATGTTCCAAGCATATCTGCCATTTCTGGAACAGAAAAACCCAAATCTAAGAATAGTGACCTGCTCTTTAGGTATATCATAAGAAGGCCTTCCCCTGTCATTTGTGAAAATTATTGAAGCATGGTATCCAACAACCTGAGAGCGTTGCTGATCTTCTGTTATAATTCGTTCGGCCTCATCCAAATATCGATAGATGTCTTAGGGAATATTTATCACCCCTTCACATCTTGGAAGAAAACTTTTCATTGAGTCAATTCGATAGGTTATGCTGTCATAAGTATCTTCATTCGGTGTGCTTTCTAACATACGGCAAATTTCCCGGACATTTCTTGTATAGTGTTGAAGTAATTGATCTCTAAAATCGTAGTCGGCCATGTTTTACTGTAATAAATCAATATAAAATATACCACTGAGCTCATGTATATCTGGAATAACGATTTCGGTGCAGCCAGAACATCGTGTCATTTTTTACCCTTTTACTGCATGACGATGGTCCGGCATTCAGATGACGCTTTGCCGAGATCCGAGTATGGTTTTTGAGGGCAGAGGTCGGGATAGTAACCGAAACGTTTTATAGTGCAGGCGGAACGTAATGTCATTAAGACACAGTGCTACGTTTTATAGTGCAGGCGGAACGTAATGTCATTAAGACACAGTGCTCAACCGTGTGGCCAGAACATAACATTGTGCAGAGAGACGTGTAAGCGTGACGTAAAGTCAAAACCGTGTGGCCAGAACATAACATTGTGCAGAGAGAACGTTGTGTAAGCGTGACATAAAGTCAAACCGTGTGGCCAGAACATAACATTGTGCAGAGAGAACGTTGTGTAAGCGTGACATAAAGTCAAACCGTGTGGCCACAAAGACGTGTCGTTATGTTGCAACATCATACGAAACAAGTAGTCTTGTATTTTTGAACCAGATACCGCTCCATATATAAATATGAGTAATCATGCTTTGAATAGGGATGAAGGTGCCTATTTGCCAGAGGGATACATGCATCTCATTGGTAGGTGACGTCGTTCCTTGGGTATTTAAGAGGCTGTTTCCATAAAAACCTCCAGGTCAATGTGGGGCTCAAAAATAGATTTCTCTCATACTCTAGTACTTTGAACATCTATCCTTTGGAACATTTAAAATGGATTTCATTTTACTCAAATTTCCTTTAAATTATTTTTGGGGGCGATTGATGTTTGATTGGCTGGTAACCAACATGAACTCTGAATGAATGCAAAATATTGACATATTTTCAGCACTATTTTTTAAATCAAATTCATACCTAAATTTCAAAAGTTTTGCTCAGAATTATAGACTTATCCTTCTATTTTCGTTGGCGATATGACTTAGATAATTATTCTTTGGTATAAAATAGAAAACAGCACAGTTATTGACCCTCCTGAAAGGATAACAGATATAGTCTCAACATACAGGGTGTATCAAAAAAAGCGCAATCCTCGACTGAAATGTAAAGTGCTAAACAAATAATAGACGAAAACGTTAAAGTTTACATTCATTTTAAAGCGTAGCCATTCAGCTTTCTAACAGTGGGTTGTTTCTTAAATTTGACTCATTGGTTCGCGGGTAATAATACTTTACGTTATTGCGATTGGAGATTAAAAAAATTGAGATGGAATAACAAATCGTTCTCATGAAAATAACTGATTTTTTCATTAAAACAAAAAAATGTTGCATTTTAATAAATGGATTGTAACAATAAGTATAATTACGGCTTTTCTTCCGCTATTTTTAACACAGTTTGAAACTTCAAATGCGATATAATTTTGGCTTGGACCATCTAAGCTGTCTGACATCAGCTTGCTATAATTTCTGTTTACATTACATCGCAATTCGATGACACTCTGGCTCAGACATGTACCAGAATGTTTTGATTCTATTATTTTTAGCATTCGTTTACAGAATGTTTTGATTCTATTATTTTTAGCATTCGTTTAGGATTTTCAAACAACCTGGTCTCTTTTAAAATACTTTTAATTTGTTCTTACGTGGTTTTCCAGATGTAGTGACGACAACATTAAAGTTTAAAGAAGAAAATTCTAACATTTAAACCGACTAAACAATAACATAGTAAACTTGCATAATTAAACAGCAACTAAAAATGATAGGTTTTACGAAATCTTTTCCTGTGCAATTATTACTAGCATTGGAGACAAGAATAATAGTTTGTTTAAAAGAGAAAAGAACAGGCTTTGAAGTAAGCCTAAAAGCGTTTAACTAGAAATAGTATTTCGAAAGTTATTAAGCACAAAAGATGAATTGCGTTTATTTTGATACACCCTGTATATCAACTTTGAAAGCTTATTTCAAAATCGTGGCATTGATTGGCACATGACTTCAACTTTTTTATAAACTACCAACATTAGTCAACACAAATCGCCAATAATATCTTTCTGCTTTACCATTTGACAAAAATGACAAGCGCACAAACTTTGTAAATTTTGAAAATGTGTCGAAATTGAACATACTTTATCGGTAAACCTAATTATGATATTAACAAATAAAACCACCTTAAACTACACTGAATGAAGCTTGATTATGTAAATATATGTCTTTCATCATCATTATTCTTTGGTTTTGCACTCGAAAAAAATTGTTCGAGTACAGTTGCTAGAAAACTATCCTGAGCAAAACTAACAAAATATTGACATTTTACATCACAGCGAGTATACATTTCTTTCGGCCAGGGGTTTTCCCGGAGATTTAATTCGTGCATTCTAACAAAAATTTTATAAAACAGTTTAAAAACCGTTGAAAATTATGTCTGTAGTATGACCATTTCGGAGTTTTCCAATTTCATTGAACATTGTTATTTGTTAAACAGGTGAAGGTATTTGTTAAAGACCATGTAAAGTCTGTTATGCGCATACTTTCTGTTCATCGCTACATTCCAAACGTCGGGACCTGACCATTGGAATGTTAATATAGGCAATAATAGTGTCATATTGAAAATGGCAGACAAATCAAGCACACAAGCAAGTTCCTCTTTGCAGCAAGGCGACGAGGCTCGTATTATTACTTGAGAAGACAAGGTTGCCAAAAAAATAGCGATATTACACGGAGAGGGACATAAGCAAGATTTATTTGTTCGATCAGCACATGAGATGGCGAGAGTTGATGAACAAGTTGGAGCTTAAATCCGACAAGGACCTAGCAGCAATATTGCTGAACAATTACATGTCTCGCAAAAATCAGCATTTCATTTAAATGACTCAACTAGCAATATGATTTAATGTTAGTATATGTTTCAAAAGTGCTGCAGGTTTTTTTTATGTTGTATTGGTTCATATTAACACATCTGTCTTCTTAAAAACAGTGAAGTTGAAACTCAAACTGGTGGTGAAGAGCCTCAACAGGTCTTCAAAACGACGCCAAGACATATTCATTCGCCAGGTGAGTTACAGATTAAACAGGAATAAAAATAATATAATACGACAACATGTAACTATACTGACTTTCGTTTTTTTCCTGTTTAAATAAAGCTGTGACTTCGACTTGGAATTTGGAAAGAGCTGCACATCGTTTCTTAACACCTAAACACCGGCATTTCTGAAAAGACAATGTTCCCCTCCCTTCACCAGCAATGTAAGTTCTTAAATGAAACAATTTTAATTTCTTATGTATTCAATATTATAATATTTAATTTTGCAACTATTAAAAGTGTATATTCAAAGAAGTACCAAGAAGACTTATTGCTGTAAGTGTTAGAGTTGTTTCCTGTAACTTTTCTTACAGGCATCACAGGAAGCTAAGAAAATGGTTTATTATAACACAGGGACTCATAGCCAAATAGTTATAACAAATCAGCACCTTGGTCTCTGTGAATGAGATTAGAACATATTTTTATTTATAATAAAATGTGTTTACAATTAATGGTAAGCCCTGGGCATGCTCTGGAAGGTATTTATAATTAGCCTTTTTCCCAAAAAAGATCACAGTGCATTCTGGAATTGTTTGCAGGGATAAAAATATACAGTGACAGGCGTGATTGAATGGGTTACGTTAAGCATTATTTTTTGCTAATTTTAAAGGTCTCGAATAAGCTACCTATCGTCAATATTGAAGAGAACCATAACTGTAAATGAGAGCGAAGACAGTGACGATTCGGAAGACATGGAGGAGCTTAACCCACTAAATAGCTCGTTGTAAGTTCAGACCTTAAAAGATATAAAAACAGGTTTTAGGTTTGTGCACAGTATTTGTCATGTGAAATGACTCAACATGGCAAGTTTCAACATATATACTTTCATTTTTATTTTTTTTATTTATTTTTGCCCAATTTTCCAAAGTACAATAAAATTTAACTATTTACATTTGTATAATCTATACGTAGGGCTAGAGATCTTTTAGAAACCCTTTTGGGCTTTTATTTTAAGACCCCTAGTTATAACAAAACTTTTATTACTTTGTATAATTTCATGATGTCATAAAAATAGTACATAATATAATAACGAAAATATATACAATTGTGAGAGTCAGAGAGTGTTTAAAGGAAAATTAGTCTATTTACAAGATTTTTCAGATTTTTTAAACTTTATACATTAAAATAGGATGATTAATTAGCTGATTGGTGTGATATAAAGTATGTTTTCACATTTTTTTTGAAAACCATATATGATCCAATATTTTTTAACTCCATACTTAAATTATTCCAAATGTCAATACCTTTACTAACAACAGATTGTTTTCTATAGTTTGTTCTTGTATAAACTTTATGCAATTTTTTTGAATTTCACGTGCAATGTTCATGAATGTTTGAATTTTTTATGAAGTATACATTAAAAATGTCGGGTAAATCATTAGTACAGTTGCAATGGTACATAAATAAGCTGGTAAGGTAATCGTTAATTTTGAAAATATTTAATATTTTCAAATCATTAAAAAGTTTTGTATGTTCTGTGTATGATTTAAATTTCATTAATCGAATAATCTTCTTTTGAATTCTGAAAAGATTTTCAATTTTCGAAGGGTATGTAGTACCCCAAGCTAAATTACCATATGTAAGGTATGGATAAATTAAAGCATAATAGGTCAACTTTATAGTGTTCAAGTTTGTAAAATGTCGCAATTTTAAAATTAGTCCAGTAAACTTGACAATAGTTTTACATATAGAATCGATATGATTTTTCCACGTTAAATTTTCATCAATTAGTACACCCAAAAATTTTGTATAAGAGACCTTTTGGATCAATTCATTTCTTATTTTTATTGTAATATTATGAGATTCCAATTTTTAATTTTTTGATTTGAAAAGAATTAATTTCGTTTTAGAAGCGTTAATTGATAATTTATTAGCATTAAGCCAATTCATAATTTTATTCATTTCTTCTTGCATTATATTCGTTAAAGAGGTTAAGCAAGAATTTGAATAAAAAGCATTTGTGTCATCTGCATACAAGACAAATGATATAATATTACTACAATTTTCAATATCATTGATATATAACAAAAAGAGCAAAGGTCCAAGTATTGATCCTTGAGGAACACCAGTAGTAATAGTCATTTCTGATGAATTGTATTCTTTATATTTTACTATTTGTTTTCTTTCTTTCAAATAACTTTTAAACCATTCAATGCATAATCCTCTTATACCATAATGTTCTAACTTCTTTATAAGAATTTCATGGTTGACTGTGTCAAATGCTTTTGAGAGATCAAGGAAAATTAAACATTTGGCATATAATTTGTACTTAGAATGTAACTGTTCCTTTGTCTTTTTATTATTGTCATTTTTTATAGGCTCCAAGTAGATGACCTTGAGAAAACGTCCCTTGAAAGTGAGGTGTATGATCTGGATGTCGAAGGGCAGGATGATATCAGAGCAAGTGTCTAGCTCCACTAACAATGAAGACATCAAAGAGGAAATCATACAACCTGCAGATGTTTTCAAGACAGAGTACTGTATTGTAGCAGCAACAAATTTGATACAATTACTCTACAGAGTTCATGGCAAAATATGTAAGCAACCTGGACATGACCAACTATTGAATTCCAAGAAACATATCATGGCACATGTCTTGTGGTTACTTGTGACTTGTGTTCTGTTCTTGTTATATCTTTAGCAAATGTCACATTGACTGCTACATACAATATCAATTGAAATATATTTCTTTATATTTGCTTTATTATATAAAATTCGTTTCATTATTTGTTTTTTTTTCCATAATTTAACATTAGGGTATCTTTGTCTACAGATTACAATGCTTACCGGTGCCATATTTCATTGCAAACACAACACAAGTAGTACTGTAGGAGTAGTAAACCCCCTGGAGGGCCTATATATGTATATATATATATATTACTAATAGTACACATTATAGGGTGGCAGATCATGCAGTACTAGGATTCTGAGACAACCGAGTCAAGCCATGTAGACATTGAGACATGTCCCCCAATCTATATGTTAAAAGAGGCTGTGACACCCCCACCAAACAACTTGCAAGTGGGCAATGCCCTAGGCCTACCTTTATTCTGCTCAGTAATGGCAGATATAGAGAACTTAGTTTCATCTGAAAAGAAATCTAACACTAAAAGAAAAGTAAACGTGTGGTGTTCAGCAGTTAACTGTTTGAAGAGTGATAGTATCACACTATCACATGTTGCTGGCTATCTGCTCCATAAATGTTCACAAAAACACAGCTGCTCAACCTGAGTCAAATGATCTGGATGACAACAAGACATTAGATTGTTATTTCAAGATATATGACCAAGACAAATTCCAATTTGGAGGTCTGCATGTGCCTTCAGCTAGTTTCCTGGAGTATGTTGTTCAACTTGAAGCAGTCTTTTTCGAAAACTTCTCTATTTATACAAAGGCATTCCTCTGTTGGAAGTGATATCTTCAGGTTACTCAAGACAGAACCTGTGCCATTCCAGCTGTTCTTGAGAATGAGAATATATTACTCACTGAAATTTGCCAACCGTGATTTTCGAACAACTAAGAAAAAAAAAGGGCAAAAAATATTTGAATGTGTCGCATCTTTAATCGACATGACTTCAATCATAATCGTTCATATTTTTACTAAGTTTGACATTTATATTGACAATTTAGAACTTTAGAAGTGCCTATACAGTGGTTATTATATAGCTATTGCCATAATTTGTTCAGGTAGCCTCTCAGAAGAGAGAACAAAAACCGATCAACTTTGTTTGGCACAGAACTGAGAGGACCATACTTAGTCATACTAAAAATATTGTAAAGATGAACACAGAAAAACAAGCTATAGACCAAAATATACTGCTACAGTGCTACTGCTGCTAAGCAACCTTATAATATATAGTTATAACAATAGCACAGTTTGTCATTGAAACAGCTTAAATTCTATTTGCGTTGAATTACCAGTTAACCATTAAAATTTGATAACTTACCTTTCTTTTACAAGTGGTAGGCATAGGAAGAAGAATTCGTCCACAAAACCATGAAATAACGCCAATTTAATTTGGTAAACATTCAGCGCGGCTAAGCCCACTCCTAACACCTGACATTCGTCGCGATTTTCTGCATTTTTGCTTGTTTATTTTACTCCAAACCCGTCTAAAATTAAGCAGTATCCTTCTCTATTTGTTTTTTATCAATCTGAACCCGACCGGCGCAAGAAAATGGGAAAATATTGCCATTTAAGTGTAAAAACCATGTTGCTGTAGTACAATCTTCACTCCTCTTTCCTTACTAAGAACATGGCGGCCAAACCGGAAGTCAGATGATTCTGTTAGACACTTTGCACCCCCGAATGAACTTACTGCTCAGTCCTTATACTGTGCTTCAGGCTCGCTCGATACGCAGGAAAAAAAGGGAATCCTTGATATATAGCTTCAAGTCAAGACCCGTCGGAAAATGGTCAATTAGAGACCTTTAGATTGACGTTTACGGCAAATGTCAAACCGCTAGCGAGATTTTTAATTGTACAGCTCTATTATAATAGCTTTTACACCAGTTTTGAAATATGTTAAACTTATTAAAGTTGTGCTCTTTAGCAATGATTTAAGAAAAGCTATTATAATAGAGTTGTAAAATCAAAAACCTAGCTAGCGGTTTGACGTTTGCCGTGAACGTCAATCTAAAGGTCTCTCATGTTTGTCGGAATCTTTAATTGCTGTGAAGCATCGGAAAAAGTGATACGGAAATCGCGAAAAGTGCTACGAAAGTAATTGTGATGTGCGGAAAGTTTTTTTTTTAACCAAAAAAGGTGTCGGGGAGATCATAGTTAAAATGTTATGGTACGGAAATTTTTTTTGGCCCCACCTGGGTTTTTTTGCTGGCCCCCTCTGACCAAAAATCCTGGCTACGCCTCTGTAATATAATAGTTAGATTATCCATGTACTAAAAATTTTACCGTGTTTAAATAAATTTGTATTGATTGATTGTGTGCCAACGTCTGAGCAGGCGTCTTGTTTAACAAGTGTTTTCTGACCATCAGAATTCCGCAAAATCTTCCCCCAAAGTCCAGGAAATGGCATTTGAGAGACTCTAGGTTCAAAAATTTTCCCGGGGAGAATGCCTCCGGAACCCCATACAATGCTTGTGCCTACAGTGCTCGCCTCTTCCTACAGTGCTTCGCTGCCAAACGGCTACAACACCTGTACCGAGTATCAAGGAAAAGTGCCGCCCGTAAGATCTTTGTGGATGAAAGTCCAGGCTATGACGGTACTATCGACAATGCCACCACCTACTTTACCGAAACCTTTGGTCCTCGTACATGTGATCCTGCCAAACTCCTCGAGGAACTGTCATCCTTCGGCTGAACCTGATAACTCCTTGTTTCGATGCACCCTCTCCAGACGAGCTTGCCACCAAACTTCGCTCCATGTGCAACTCTGCCCCTGGTCAAGCCCGATTAGAATACCGCCACCTGCGTCTGTTAGATCCCAAATGCAAAATCTTGGCCAAAATGTTCCGCCACTGCTTTGATGCGAAAGATGTCCCTGCAGCTTGGAAATCTGCCACCACCATCTTAATTCACAAAAAGGAGCACACCTCCGACGCGAGCAATTTCTGACCCATTGCCTTGATGTCCTGCCTTTATAAGCTTCTAATGGCCGTTCTTGCCACATGTATGACCTCTTTTGCCATCCAAAATGACGTCCTCTCCAATGAGCAGAAGTGCCCACCCTAGCGAAGGATGCTATGAACATGCCTTTCTCTTGGAGTCTGTTGTCAACGATGCCAGAAGACAACCTTGCCCCCTGTGCCTTGCTTGGCTCGATGTTCGAAATGCATTTGGCAGCATTCCACATGATGCCCTCCTAACCACCCTTTCCCACTTGGGCTTTCCTGCAGACCTGGTCCTGATGATCAGCCAAATCTACACCGGAGCAACCACGGAAGTAGTCACCCCCCCTTGGCAAAACCCCACCTATCCCTATTCACTCTGGTGTCAAACAAGGATGTCCCCTCAGCCCTGTCAAACAAGGATGTCCCCTTTAGCTTCATTCCGAAGTGCAACGCCAAAGCCCAACAACTACCATGCGGCTCCCTCCAACATCATGGACAATCCATTTCGATTCTGGCGTATGCTGATGATCTCGTCATCCTTGCCTGCAATAAAGCTTCACTCCAGTCTCTCCTGGACGCTGTCTCTTCGGCTGCTGACATCCTCCAACTACGATTCCGCCCTGACAAGTGTGCCAGCCTTTCCTTAAACAAGCAAGCCCCCCCCCCCCTCATCCAACCTAACATTTTCCTAGTTCAAGGCGAACCAATCCCTGCCCTTAATCGTGAAGAGCACTACAGATACCTTGGTGTACCCATTGGCCTGATCCAAAATGTGACTGACCTCCACAAACTTGTGGATGAACTTACTGACAAACTTGAAAAGATAGAGAAGTCCCTCTTAGCTCCATGGCAAAAACTCGACGCCATTAGAACCTTCTGACAACCCTGCCTTACCTACGCCTTCCGCTCCACGCACCCCACCACAAAATCCCTCCAGTCCTACTGCTCCAAACTAATCCAAACCATCCGTTCCATTTGCCACCTACCAACCCGAGCTTCAACCCACTACATCTTTGCTGCGAAGCTGGCGGTCTTGGCTTCACAGACCCAGTGAGAGAAAATCACCTACAAACCGTCAACATTGTACAAGCCGTCAAGATGCTTGCCTCACAGGACCCGACCGTATCCTCTGTCGCCAAACGTGAACTTCGACAATCTGTCCGTTTTGCTGCCCAAGCTGATCCCACCCCCTCCCTAGTTTCCAACTTTCTATCTAATAACCCTGATCGTAACCTTAAAACCATTCGTTCACGCACTGGTTCCCTTTGGACTCGTACCTGCCAGGCTACTAAGACCATCAAAGTCACCTTCAACGTCCCGGACAATGGTTCCCCCTCCATCAGCGCTCCCAACTATGCTGATGAAGTCGCCCCCAACGTGAGCAAGCTGCCCAAAACCTCCGGGAACTGCCTGACCAAAGCAAAGTCCCTCGTGCCCTCACCTCTGACAAATTCGCCAATGGCTCCAACTGGCATTTCACCAGCCTCAACATCAGATTTAAAGACTGGAGATTTATCCACCGTGCCCACCTCAATTGCTTGCCAACCAACTCTGTTAAAAGCCGCTGGTCAGATTGCTCTCCTTCCTGCCGCCACTGTGAAGAAGACAAAACCCTGCCTCATCTGCTTTGCCACTGCCTATCCAACATGCCTGCCATCACCACCCGCCACAACAAGATCGTTGACTGCTTAACCAACGCTGTCCGCTCAGGCTCCATTGCCACAGACAAAACCGTTCAAGATAGCGGCTCACCAGTCAGACCTGACATTGTCATCATTACCGAGAACCAAGTCACCATCATCGATGTCTGCTGCCCTTTCAAGAACGGACCAGAATTTTTTTGGAGGAAGCTGTCGCCCGTAAGGAAGTTAATATAACCACATCAAATCCTCCTTCGAGGCTCAAGGCAAAACCTGCAACGTTTTCGGTTTCGCTGTTGGTGCCCTCGGCACTTGGTTTCCTGGGAACAAACAAGTCCTCACCACACTCAACATGACTCCTCGATATAAGAACTTGTTCCGTAAGCTGTGTTGTTCTGATACTATTCAAGGGTCTACTGACATCTATCACCAACATCTTGGTTGCGATGATGTCCTTCCTTAAAATATATTGTTTTTGTTTCTCTTTAAAATAACTCTCCATTTTACCACCTCACACTTATCATTTTTCCGACTAGCAGATAAGAGCACTTTACACTTATATTTGCCAACCCCAGGCACCATTTTTTGTATCTGCGCGGAGCACTAGATACTATGCTATCGAGTTTGTGCGTGCGTTAAACACTCAGGTCGACTAATTAGGGCTGTATGCCTGCGAACAGGCCGTAAAACAAAGATGGCGGCTTTCTACAGAGTGACGATTGTTTTATCCTAGAAGATTAATTTATTTATTTCGCCCAATCATTATGGTAATTATTTACATAAAAGTATTAAAGCTACAACTTTAAATAGGGCAAGGAGTCTAAAGAAACCTTCATAGGCTTTTAAGGTAAGGTCCTAGTTTAATGTCCAGTGCAAAGTTCTATATTGTGTCAATCAGTGCCGGTAAAAGTATTTACAAGAATATGAAGATTAAACATTAATATTGCTTTCACTAGTAAGAATAAAGTACATAAGAAGGAGAAAATTTGGAGAGCTATAAAGACTTAATCTGTTAATTACATGAATATGAATTAGACTTCCTTGTTTAAAATATAAGTTCACTAGATTGTATTGACAATGTCAATTATGTATTTTCGATTTTTTTGTAAAGATTGGTAGTGATGTTATTTTTGTCAAGCTAACATCAAGATTATTCCGAACATCCACTCCTTTCACTGAGAGTGAGTGCTTAGTATAATTAGTTCAATGGCAATGCATAGTTTTGTAAATGATGGTATCGGAACATGAATAAGCTTATCAAGTTAGTAAGTAACATCTTAAAGTAACATCTTAAAGCCTTTTCGTGAGTAACCATACATTGCATGGTTACTCACGAAAAGGCTTTAAGATGTTACTTCGAAAATGGCATTTGCAGCATTCTGAGAACACATTTTGTTAAAAACTAGGTTTTCAAAACACTGTTTTAATTAATGGTATTAAATTACAATGTTTTAATTAATGGTACTATTATATAAGTGTGATTTGTATTATTTGGTACAAGATTTTTACAGTTTATGTGTCTGCCACTGGCAGTTGACTGACAGTTGATTGCAGTAGAGAAGAGACTGCAATCTGAACATTTTTTGTCATATCATCAAATATAAACAAAGTGACTAGCCGTCAGCTGGGTATTTATGATAGTGACTATAGTTAAATATAAAAAAACTTTTGTTTGCGCTAGCTTTCACCGAGCTTACCGTTAGAATGTATGGTAGGCACTGTGTGCGGAAAGTGAAACGCAGTCTTGTGTTTTGTTTGACTTACCATTTTTTCTTAGTCACTATATTCGGGTTGTGTTTTGTTTGACTTACCATTTTTTCTTAGTCACTATATAGCCGGCAGATTACTAAATAGCTGGCTGCCAGCTGTATAGTCACTTCGAAATTTAAATGTTTACTCAATAATTATGAATGAAATTTTTTCATAGCAACCATGGATTTCCTTTGCGCAGATACATGTACGCTTAGCGTACCTATTTTTGTTTTTTATGCATATGACAAGCAGAGCTAGGACCAAATAAAATCAGCTTAGGACTCATGAACACTAGGACGCCACTAGGGCAACATAATAGGTACACATGCACACAATTAAAAAGATATGAATGTTTCGGCCCCAAATAAGAACTCTGTTTGTGTATTTTTACATGGTTTTTGTGTTCTACAAAATTGTAATTACATTGTTTACTCTGTTTGCTTCAATAATACACATTTGTTCAAAAAAAGGGCCTGAGAATATAATATTATTGTTAGACTCCTTCGATAATGACCAATAATATAACTGCTTCGGCCTTCAATGTAAACAATGGATTTTTCGTCGTGGATTTTTCCACCGGTGATATTTGGCGTGCTGCAAGTGACAAAAGTCCTTTCCACATAGGAAGTGCCATAGAAGGGCCTGGAAAGGACTTTGGAAAGTCTACTGACAGGCATACAACAAACATTAAGACAAGCATATTCAACAAAAACATTAAAAACAACAAAAGGAGCGGTCAAGAGGTTACGGGCAGTATAACCAGGGGAGTAGCCAAGGGGGGGCAAGGGGGGGCAGTCGCCCCCCCAATCGCAAAAAAACTATTCTCTGAAAAAGGCTAAATCCGTAGTGAAATGGGGGGGGGGTACACGTTACATTCTCGAAGCTGAAACGGATTAAGTACGTCTCGACTGAGGAAAACGACGAAATACTGGAAGAACTTGATTTCTAAAATCTCGTTAAAACGTTGTAGATATGGTTCCAAGAGGAATAGATTTAGTTTAGATTTACATGTATATGCATTATGATAACATGAATATTCTTCTCAGACTTATTCTGTATCATATATAAAAGCGAGTAGAAACTTAGAAATGTCTGGGAAAATTTATGTCTTCGACGTACTTTATAATCTTCGGGATTCTGCAAGATTTCACCCCCAAAATGCTTGAAATCACATTTCAGGGACTCTAAATTTTAAAATTTTCCCTGGGGTGCATGCCCCCGAACCCCCCTAGAGCGTACTTTATAATCTTCGGAATTCTGCAAGATTTCACCCCCAAAATGCTTGAAATCACATTTCAGGGACTCTAAATTTTAAAATTTTCCCTGGGGTGCATGCCCCCGAACCCCCCTAGAGCGTACTTTATAATCTTCGGAATTCTGCAAAATTTCACCCCCAAAATGCTTGAAATCACATTTCAGGGACTCTAAATTTCAAAATTTTCACGGGGGTGCATGCCCCCGGACCTCCATAGATGGTCTCGCGCCTTCGGCATTCGCGTCGCCCCCCCAAAAATGAAGGTCTGGCTACGCCACTGAGTATAACACTTAACGCAAACTGTCTTCCATGTCCTCACATCCTCAGTGTCAAGTTTAGGGTGTTTCTGTACTATTGTGTAATATTGTGTAATATTGTTTAAGGGACCATTTATTATTTATGACTGGGAGCGGGCTGGCAAAAAAGGGGTTGGGTCATAAGGTATTTTTGACCGAAAAAGGGGGGCCACCTAAAAATATTGGTTCAGAAGGGGGGTCCAGTTATTTATTATTGTGATATTATAGTAGAGAAACATTTGACATGTAACAATTATTGCTACCACAGGGAGCAAGCAAGGCAGCAAATTTAATTCATGTATAGCTAGCAAAATTCTCAATTTTAATCAACAGATAGACCCAAAATGCAATGCACAAATACCCCAAATGCAATGCGCACAGCTAATATCATGAAAAATAATCGAAAATCTACCTTACAACTTTTGCCATAAACATATTTCAATTTAGTATGAACATTTTAATCTAGCTGACGTAAGCAAAAACAACTAGTTGCAATCTGTGACGTCACATGTATTGCAAAGTTCCCAGCATTTTTGTTGTTTCGCTCAGGGGTGGAAAAAGTATTGGAACCTGGGAACCTAGTTCCCAGAAATTTTTTTGAGTTCAGAGTTTCACAGAAAATTTTCCAGAAAATATTTCAACATTTTGAGATAACTCTGTTTACTCAACTTACAAGTTACAACTATTCTACTTTATTTACACTGTACAGTGTACACACTAACATCAGCAGCCTTTTAAATATTTGACAGAAATTAATTCTGTTACCCACCCCTGCCAACATAATGAGGTAAAATGGTAAACATATGCTCTGCAAAGTCTCCAATAAAATGCAAATTAAATAGTAAACAAGTCCCAGCGCTATAATGCTATTATTATACTGATATAATACTACCGGGCGGCACAAAAAATGGCCTGTTTGATTTATTTTAACTTAAAAACTAAAAGAGCTATAACACCTAAACTATGTGCATTGTATTGAGTATTGTCTAACTTAATTTTTTATATACACCCTGTGCATTTTCGTGCAATATTGACAGAGAGAGCTGCGTTTAAACTTGAATAAACATTTTGGGAAGTGTCGAGAGAATTAGCTAAAAACAGCCTGTTAAAATAATTTGATAACCATTACCATTTTATTGTAAATATTCGTTTCAATGAAATGAAGTTTAAATTTAAAATGTTTATTGGATGGATGTGCTCTTTTATTTTTGTGTTAAGGTCTTTGCGAATGCATGAAAATTAACTTATAATGCGATTTTGATTAAAAGATTTATTCTAAATATTCAATGACCCTGCATGGAAATCAAATTCTAATGTTCCCAGAAAGAATAAATTAATTTAATACAGACACTCACTCAGACTATGATATATTTTATACCTTTAAACTGTGGTATATAACAGACAACCATTGAGATGCACAAGCATACGAAAACCAGCCTATTATTATTAAAGTACAAATAATACAATAATTATGCATTTGTTTTGTCACCTCTGTAATTGTAACATTGCAAATTTCACAGAAAATTTTTAGCCTTTGACCTAGGTTCCCAGAAAGAAAAAAAAATTTTTCCACCCCTGGTTTTGCTACACTTTCTGCTTTAAAAGAGTAATATTGAAGCATAAACTGGTTTAATTGTTTTAAAAACATGCCTAAGCCATGACAAAGTATTCAAGGTAAGTGTTTTTCGTGTTTGTTTTGTATTGTTTTACGTTTGTAGCTACAAAATTGGCATCCCCAATTTTAACGAAATTTGGGATGCATTTTTCACTGTTTAGTGCTTGAACTATTGGCTAAAATTGACTGGGAATACTTAGAGATTTCATCGTAGAATGGTGTAGTTATATTCATTTGCTCTTTGACTAAGATGTTTAGCTGTATTATTGCTAAACATGCCGTTTTTGAGAATTTGGTTTGCAACTAGGTTTCAACATCCAACCACGCCATCAGCCCATTGAAAACATTAGGTCACATCAGCTAGTTTCCTATCCATTTATTTTATTATCCATGCTGCAACTTATCCAACATATAGTTAATTCAATACGCCCTCGCCCATTTTGGTGCTACTAAATTGTAAATTTCGACACACTAAAATGCTGTTTTCTGACCATCAGAATTCTGTCAAATCTTCTCCAAAGTCCAGGAAATGGCAATTCAGAGACTCTAAATTTAAAAATTTTCTCGGGCATTTGGCCCTTGCTTTCAGCCACCCTAAACTCCTGACCTGATTTTACTCATCAACGGAGAAGCTCTGCTAGGCATGTCCCGATTGTGCTCGGCAACTTTTGAGCAACTTTTTACGTTTGGAGCAAACTACACTCTACAGTTTACTAGTTACTATACTCTTTGTAGCGAAAAATGGTATAACTTTAGCCTCTTCGGCACTCTGTAGCTTAATGGGTTAACAAAAAATCTGACAATGTCTCTAGTTAACCCATTCCACCCCAGTGCACCCTACTTATTTTTTTACTTGTTTAACGCCAGACAATTTGACTCATTGTGACAGGAAACTCTGCAGTTTAATTAGTACAGGTAATCACATGGGAAGGATTAATTAATGATTAACACTACGAGTGATATTTAAAAAATGTGCCAAAATTGCACGAGCCATCGAGCCGAGTGTAATTTGGCACATTTTTCAAATATCACAAGTAGTGTTAATCATGAATTGCACAACTTGCCCGTGTAATTATTTATTTATTATATGCATGACAAAATCGCTTTCTTTATATTTCAACTGCATTTTGTCAAGAGTTTTTAATTCTTTTGTAAGCAATTTAGTATAAACAAACTTGGGAATTGATTATAAACTTATAAAGGCACATAACTAAACTAGAACACAAGATTCAAACTCAAACAACATATTTTAGACTAAGAAAATCTTTATAAATTGTATTTCAAACTTACATAGTCATGTTTCGCTGCATCCCGCCAAGATTATTTCTTAAGACTGTTTCCAGGTATTTTCCACAGGCTCTTTTTGCCATACAATGTTTCTTAAACTCATTCTTGTGCCAAAATTCAGTTAAAATTCATCCACATTTGTTAGAAATACTTATCTAAATTTCACCGCCATATTGGATTTTGTTGTTTTGATTTCCCGCTCCCCCCAGCCATCACGAAAATCATTAATTGCACTCCTGGAGAGTGCAATTAATGATGGTAATAGAACGAATAGGAGTGCTATTAATGCCATAATCATATGAGTGATTACAAAATCAACCGACCACGTAGCGGGAGGTTAATTTGTTAATCACAAGTATGATTACGGCATTAATAGTACGACTTAATTCGTTCTATTACTTAATTATTTATCTTCTGTAACCAAACTGTTTAAGGACTTTAAGGGGAAAAGCACAAAAATACAATTTGTTGAAATTCAATATAATTATTAAATTTTTATCATGACAATTCTTAGTGAAATAGTACAATTTTGAATTATTATTTATCATATATAATCAAATTAACATATTATTAACTTCCGGGCATTATTTCCGGTATAATCACATGACAACATTTGTTTCAATTATTCAACACACAATTGGGAAGCCATGTTTGTATGTTTATAACGTGTTCAAAATAGCGAAGTTCTTTTGTTCATCTGAATTTGATTGAAATGTAACTCCTGGTTGTGTCTAGTTCGGTGTCTTCTGCTGGAAGAACAGGTAGGTCATTTTCATCAGAAAATATATAATTTAACAACCGTCGAAAACGAGATTGGCATTCGGCAAATATGCCGACCTTTGGCGACCTATTAAAATGCCGACCTATTAAAATGCTGACCTATCAACCTCCCAGGTTTGCCGACCTTAATTCAGCCAACGTAAGAAACTTTTTTGGTGCTAATAGCTGTTAAAAAGTCAGCGATTATAGAATTCAATTGATTATAGAAATCTGTTTCCGTGAAAATGCTGTTATAAGCACATTCATCTAAAAAGCATGGTGGTGGTCCACCTTGGGCTAGTGAAGCAGCAGCCATCTCACCACAGGTACGAAAATCCCCGTTTTGCACATGATGTGTAGAGTTAACAGGAACACCATCTTTAAATAAAGTTGCTGCTATGTTTTCGATTGTGTCTTCAAGGAACTCTTTTGCAATTGCTCCTGAATCGATTCCTGCTTCGCCACTATACTTTACCATAATTCTACAGGTTGGTGACTTTTTTTAGTCTGGCGCTGCCAAAGGGAGAAAATTCTTGAAAGTGGAGCTTTTCGTCGAGTAGCTATGAAAAACTGATCATTTCCTTCCACTTGTGAAGGAAATGATCAGCATTTTAATAGGTCGGCATTTTAATAGGTCGCCAAAGGTCGGCATATTTGCCGAATGCCAATCTCGTTTTCGACGGTTGTTAAATTATATATTTTCTGATGAAAATGACCTACCTGTTCTTCCAGCAGAAGACACCGAACTAGACACAACCAGGAGTTACATTTCAATCAAATTCAAAGAAACGAATGACCCGCCATAAGCCCAACAAATTTGAGTCTGCTGTTGAAAGTTTTAAGGAGGTCCTAACTGGACAGCATGAGGAAAATGTCACACTGACTACCTCAATCCAACAACAATGGCTGGAGTTGGAGAAACAACGCATCCAGCATGAAAAGGAAGAGAGGGAACATGAACGGCAGCATGAGTTCAGAATGATGCAGCTTTTTAGCACAATGGTCAATCAAGGTGGTATGCAGGCTCCACAACAGTATACCAGTGTCCCATCCACAATCCAACAGAATCAGCCCACATATACTGACATAAGCCACTCATCACCTTCAAGCAATGAATACATTCCAAACTTTCATTTCCACTAATTTCCCATTATAACCTGTTTGTACTTTTTCATGTTTGTATTTTTTAGTTACAGATATGCCATGCCATGCAATTAAATGAAATTAATTTACTGAGCTTTGATGACGTTCCAAGTGCATATAAGGCAAAAGCTCGGCAAATAAATTTAATTTAATTGACATACATGTATTGATGCAAGTGACAATAATTGCAATAAATAAAACATTTAGTTTTATTTGTTAATTTTTGTTAATTAGCTAATTTTGTTTGGACAGGGTTACTGCAAACACAATTTTATTGTATGCACTTATTTAAACTTATTCCGTTGTATGGTAGTTTCAACAAAATACATGTTAACCTGTGATGTTTTTGTATTCACTATTGCACACAAGCTAGATCCAAAACAACGATTGATATCTCTTTTGAATTTTCCCCATGAAGTTTGAATGAGTTACCCTTTACCTGCCAGGAACTTTCCCTTAAAATTGTCTGTTATTAGCAAGAGCAGGTGAATATATACATCCAGTCCTTGGTAGTCAAAGGGTTTTTGTAGACGAACAGTTATATAGCGGGCTCAGTAATTATGTACTGAAGGCTCAACCATACGGTTTCCTTACATATATAAACTAGATTATATTTATTCATCAGTGTGATAGTCGAGGTGTCGAAGTGAAGATATCAATTAATATCCCTCCTTTCTCCCAAAGGACCGACTGCTCGCGGTTTACCCCAATTCTAGTAATTACATGTATTGGAAAAATTATTAAAACATCAATTTTGTAAGAAAATTTACTCACATCTGGGAAGAGTGTTCCATTCTGTCCCTTTGCGTACAGACTTGAGTTTGCTAAGACCTGGGCATCATGAACACGTCCTGGCCACCCAATATATATGTCTTGAAATCTGAAAGTAAATAGATCAATAAATAAATACAGTATTACAACATGTTGTCACAAAATAAATAAATGGAATACTTATGAAACTCAAGTGCACAGCATTATGCATCAGTCAATTCCAGCTGTGCCCATCTCCCCGGGCCCTTTTCTAATCTTGGGGGTGGAGCTATTGACACCCTATCGTATGGCCCAGGGGTGGTGACTTAAAATGAAACCTTGTACCAAGCCTGCAAGCAGACGTTCTTTCCCCAGAGATACTGATATACAAGGGTGCTGTGAAGTGACCTCTCCCGAAAGACATGTTTATAAGCTATGGTGGAACATGTGTTATCAATGGAAGATATGGAGGGAAAGATATTGTATCAACATGCAAGTCAAGCAATTTGTTGAAACATTTAATAATTTTATGGCCCAGGGGTGGGGATATAGATCTATGTTTCTTGCCCAGGGTGGGGGCACAGCCATTGTCTTTCCAACAATGTGGGGGTTGGCCAGGGGGAGGGGTAGCCACAGCTGGAATTAACTGATACATTTACTGTATGCAGGTACAGTGACCACTGTCCACTGCGCATATCACATTCAAATCTGTCAGTGCTTACCTTCGTTTGTGATCAACAACAGCCTGTAAAATTATGGAATGGAAGTGTTTCCTGTTGAAATAATCACAGTGGTGTTCTGTTGGAGCTAATATTGGAATATGGCACCCATCAACTGCGCCAACACATTGAGGAAGGCCACTCATTATCCTAAAGGCTTCTTTTGTTTCTTGGACTCGTTCGTTTGAAACAGTTGCGATAAACCTTTTCAAAAATACAGACACCAACGCATCAGATACGTGATGAGTAATTTTGCAGCAGGTTGAACGACCAACCCCAAATAACTGTCCAAGCGAACGGTAATCATGTCCGCTGGCAAGCCTCCATAACGCTATTGCTATCCTTTTGGATACTGGTATGGTCTCTCTGAAACGGGTTTGTTGTTTTTCAAGGAACGGCGCCAGATCTCGGCATAGGTAGAGAAAGGTTTCCTTCTTCATCCTCAAATGATCGATCCACATTCTGGCTGTCCACTGTTGACTTGAGATGACCCAATATGAATGGCTTGGCTTAAACCAACTCCAGACATCCCTGTTCGTTAGACAACCATATAACAATGTGATGGTTAAACTTGCATTAACCGTATTTTTCCATTGCTTTCCCACCATTTCTCGAAGATCATTGATTTTCCTGATCTGAATGGTACTCTTTTTTCTCTGACGATCGATTCTTTTGCGCCGTTTCAAAAGGAAGAAATAGAACCAGAGAAACACTCGCGGATCCGCCATTATTGACGCTCAAACATAACCGCTGACATTCATAATTAAATGTGAGCCTGATTGCTTTGGCCTGGAGTTGGGCGTCAAGCAGGGCGGCGGCGTCAAGCCAGTGTGAACGCGTCACAATTGGCCCAGGCCAGGTCCAGGCCAGGCCTGGGCCGCTAGTGTGAACGCGGCTTTAAACTCATTCTTGTGCCAAAATTGAGTTCAATTTGTCCACATTTGTTAGAAATACTTATCATCTAAATTTCGCCGCCATATTGGATTTTGTTGTTTTGATTTCCCGCTCCCCCCAGCCATCACGAAAATCATTAATTGCACTCCTGGAGAGTGCAATTAATGATGGTAATAGAATGAATAGGAGTGCTATTAATGCCATAATCATATGAGTGATTACAAAATCAACCGACCGCGTAGTGGGAGGTTGATTTGTTAATCACGAGTATGATTATGGCATTAATAGTACGACTTAATTTGTTCTATTACTTATTAATTATTTATCTTCTGTAATCAAACTGTTTAAGGGGGAAAAGCACAAAAATACAATTTGTTGAAATTCAATATAATTATTAAATTTTTATCACGACAATTCTTAGTGAAATAGTACAATTTTGAATTATAATTTATCATATATAATCAAATTAACATATTATTAACTTCCGGGCATTATTTCCGGTATAATCGCATGACAACATTTGTTTGAATTATTCAACACACAATTGGGAAGCCATGTTTGTATGTTTATATTAACGTGTTCAAAATAGCGAAGTTCTTTAGTTCAGTTAATCATCTGAATTTGATTGAAATGTAACTCCTGGTTGTGTCTAGTTCGGTTTCTTCTGCTGGAAGAACAGGTAGGTCATTTTCGTCAGAAAATATATAATTTAACAACCCTCGAAAATGAGATCGGCATTCGGCAAATATGCCGACCTATTAAAATGCCGACTTATCAACCTCCCAGGTTTGCTGACCTTAATTCAGCCAAAGTAAGAAACTTTTTTGGTGCTAATAGCTTACTCGAACCGTCCTGACCGCGTAGCTCAGTTGGAAAAGCATTGGGCTAGTATTCCAAAGGTCGTAGGTTCGAATCCCGCCGTGGCCAGGCATATTTTTCAAGCCTGCCCGATGTGGATATACACTCAGAGTAACATCACACAAACAGCTGTTAAAAAGTCAGCGATTATAGAATTCGATACACTTTGGTGTAAGGTTTAAGAATTAACGGGTATTATGATATAATTTAGGTAAGACTCTAAAAGAAAAGCCTTCATGACATTTATACTTTTCAATGATTCGTAAATAAGTGATTACTAGTGCAGGCTACTAGTGCTCCAAAACATGGAAACAGATTTTAAAAAATGCCGAGATGTGCCGAGCTAGGTCAGATTTAGGTCGGCATTTTTTAAAATCTGTTTCCATGTTTTGGAGCACTAGTA